CTACTTGTGTGGATCACTTACTATTTCCAGAACTTAACATTTCCTCAGATTAATTCTCATACTTACAGACAGGGAAACAGTCTTGCAGTCACATAGCTAATAAGTGGCAGTGCCAGAATAAGGGAATAAGGGAGAAGTAAACCAACCTAAACTTAAATCCATAGGCCTCCAAGAATCCCAGCGCCCAAACCAGAATCGTCTAGTAACAACGCAACTGGAAGAATTCTTCCTACTGTGCCCTCCTCCCACCATTTTTATTTCACATAATCAAGCTGGCCACAGGCTTTTCCCAAAGTCAGCCATGCCCACACCTAAACATTTTCCTCTCCTTTGTTAATTCCCTGTGTTCTATTCTAAAGCCACAATAGCAGCAGTTTCCCCAAATTACATTTTTCTTTTTTGCTTTTTTTTTTGAAACAGAGTCTTGCTCTGTTGCCCACACTGGAGTACAGTGGCGTGATCTCAGCTCACTGCAGCCTCTGCCTCCTGGGTTCAAGCAATTCTCCTGCCTCAGCCTTCCAAGTAGCTGAGATTACAGGCATGTGCCACCACAGTTAGCTAATTTTCTGTATTTTTAGTAGAGACGGGTTTCACCATGTTGGCCAGGCTGATCTCGAATTCCTGACCTCAAGTAATCTGCCCGCCTCGGCCTCCCAAAGTACTGGGAGTACAGGCCTGGCCCCAAATTACATTTTTCAACATGTTCCAGGAGATAAATTTCCAAGTCTCAATAATAGAAAACACCATATAATTGACACCTTCTTCCTAAAGACATACAATGCACACTTCAAAAAAACTCTAAGAAAATAACTTTACAGAATTTTAAAAAGGTGTTTTGGGGCCTAGTGTGGTGGTTTGCACCTCTAGTCCCAGCTATTCAGGAGGCTGAGGCAGGAGGATCACTTGAGCTCAGGAGTTCAAGGCCAGCCTGGGCAATACAGCCAAGATGGCTCTCTAAAAAAAAAACTAAGCAAGAAGGTGGGGTGCAGTGGCTCACTCCTGTAATCCCAGCACTTTGGGAGGCCGAGGCGGGTGGATCACCTGAGGTCAGAAATTTGAGACCAACATGGTAAAACCATGTGTCTACTAAAAATACAAAAATTAGCTGGGTATAATGGTGCACACCTGTAACCCCAGCTACTTGGGAGGCTGAGGCACAAGAATCACTTGAACCCAGGAGACACAGGCTGCAGTGAGCCGAGATCGTACCACTGCACTCCAGCCTGGGCAACAAGAGCAAAGCTCCCTCTGGGGAAAAAAAAAAATCAAGAAGTAAAGAAAAAACATGTTTAGACCTAGTTCAGCCCAGGGTTTCCCAAGCTTCTCTGACACACACACCTTTTCTCAGGTACACCTTCAGGGGCACCAGTGTCCTACAAACAACTTGGGAAAGGTGCAATTAAATCTAAAAAGGAGAGCTGAGTGTGGTGGTGCACACCTATAGTCCTACCTACTCAGTAGGCTGGGGGAAGGACTGCTTGAGCCAAGGAGTTCAAGGCAGTAGTGAGCTATAATCACGCCACAGCGTTCCAGCCTGGGCAAGAGTGAGACACTGTAAAAAGGACTCCATAAAAAAGAACAATGAAAACAAAGGCTCCTGAGTTAATGTTGTTACTGAAAACCCTTCCACCAGGGAAAAATGTAGACATCATGAGTTCAATGCACACGTGTCAAACCCTCTGGGGGCTCTTGCTCAAGGGGCCAATTATATGGCTTGATTATCATCAATCTTTCAGTCTTCCAATTTCATTATGTTGATGCAAGTCAATGTCTTGTATATATACACACATATATATAATGGAAAAATACAGCCTCTGGGTTTTTACTCAGTGGCAACAGCACAAGAAATACAAGGATCTTAGAGCAATAAAATGGAATACTCTGATAATATTGGTCCACACACAAAAGACACTCAGATTCAATGACCACTGAACCTATGTGACAGCTTGAGAACTTTAGTAAGAGAATCACATGCATTTGTAGATGATTACCAAAGATGCTGTCCTTTCTAACTCACAATATTTCTAAGAGTGGATACTAATATTATCTCTTTTATTATTATTAATTTTTTAGACAGAGTCTTGCTTTGTTGCCCAGGCTGGAGTGCAGTGGCACAATCTTGGCTCACTGCAACCTCCGCCTTCCAGGTTCAAGCAATTCTCCCTGCCTCAGCCTCCCGAGTAGCTGGGATTACAGGCGTGCACCACCATGCCTGCCTAATTTGTTGTATTTTTAGCAGAGACTGGGTTTCAGTATGTTGGCCAGGCTGGTCTCGAACTCCTGATCTCATGATCTGCCTGCCTTGGCCTCCCAAAGTGCTGGGATTACAGTACAGGCGTGAGCCCCAACGCCCAACCACATTATCTCTTTTTTTAAAATGAGGAAACAGAAAATTAAGTGATTTGCTCACAACTAAAAAACAAATTCAGGGCTGGGCGTGGTTGCTCATGCTTGTCATCCTAGCACTTTGTGAAGTTGAGGTAGGTGGATGTGTTGAGACCAGGAGTTCACCCAGAACAGTATAGTGAGACCCCCGTCTCTACAAAAAACAACTTTTTGGGTTTTTTTTTTTTTTTTTTTTGAGATGGAGTCTCACTCTGTCACCCAGGCTGGAGTACAGTGGCGCGATTTTGGCTCGCTGCAAGCTATGCCTCCCGGGTTCACGCCATTCTCTTGCCTCAGCCCCCCAAGTAGCTGGAACTACAGGCACTCACCACCACGCCCAGCTAATTTTTTTGTATTTTTAGTAGAGACGGGGTTTCACCGTGTTAATCAGGATAGTCTCCATCTCCTGGACCTCGTGATCCGCCCACCTCGGCCTCCCAAAACATTTTTTTAATTAATCAGGCGTGATGACACACACCTGTGGTCCCAGCTACTTGGAAAGCTGAGGTGAGAGGACTGCTTGAGCCCTAGCGTTTGAAGGTGCAGTGAGCTGTGATTGCACCACTGCACTCCAGCCTACGCAACAGAGTGAGATCTTGTCTTTCAAAAAAAAAAAAGGAAAGAAAAACTCATGGCACAGTGAGAAATAGAAAAAAAAAAGCTACCATTTCCAGTCAGTCTTCAGGGAAACCTTCAATAAACTTCACATGAGCATTTTACAAGTCTATTTCTTATTTTATAAACATAATTGCATATTTGTGTATACTTGAATAATTGAAAACTGAACAGCAAATCAATGTTTATGGTTCATTTTCTCCAACAAACAACAATAGTAAACTGTATGAGAAGTAATATTTATTCCAACAGGTTATGAGGTGGAAACAAGTAATTTGTCTTACAATTTGCTAGAAGCATGACAGAGCTTACTAACATTTTGAAGAAAAAACAGCAAAGAAAGACGTCATCAAACAAGATGGTATCTTGACAAAGGCACAGTGCTCCACAACTGCTTCATACTCTGTGCACAAGAAAGCCTCTCAGAGAGAGGAGAGGAGTGATGCCAAACGGGCTTGGATTTGAGCTGTGGACACTACCACTGCTATTATTCATACAACCAAGGCTCTACAACACCCCTCTGGAGAAAAAGTGCAACACAAAATCTGTGTAACAAAGGAAATCAAAAGTAGCAATAAGGGCCCAGAGGAATACAAACAGTGCAAATACAGTACTGCAAACTCAGTAAAAGGAGTTTTTTTATTGGAGTATGAACTTTCAAGTTGAAGATATATTTCGCAGGAACATTCACCCAAAGCTTGAGAGCTAGAGTGAAGAGAGACTTGCAGTGGATGAAACGCCTAATTTTTCACTAGGTGATAATTCCCTTTGGGAAGAAGTGCTTTATCTTTAATTATTCCACTTTTTGTTAAATGGTTCATGCTTTTAAACTGCGATTGTCTCAAACTTACTTGCTATTGAATTGTGTAACATCAGAAAACGGCAGGCTGCCAAAAGATAATCCCAGTGGAAAATTTAAGCTGCTTTTACAAGAAGCATGGTGCTGAGCTGCCTTACACAGTCTTTTTACAGTAACCATAAAAAACTGAGTTTATTTGACCAGGTATTATCCCTTCTCACATAAAGTCATATTAGAGGAGTTCTTTTTAAAAGAAGCTTTCAAACTAGTCCTTTGGGCATTTAAAAAATCATTATATAAAAGTACACTTCTTCAATACATAAGAACAAACATTTTTCCTTTACAAAAAAAACTCATTTTTAGGCCAAAATAAATTACAACTTGCTGAAAACCTTTTATGGCTCAGTGCTCATTCCAGATATATGAAGCTATATATATATATTTTTTATTTTTATTTTTATTTTTATTTGAGACAGAGTCTCGCTCTGTGGCCCAGGCTGGAGTGCAGTGGTGCGACCTCAGCTCACTGCAAACTCCGCCTCCTGGGTTTACGCCATTCTACTGCCTCAGCCTCCCGAGTAGCTGGGATTACAGGCACACACCACCATGCCCAGCCAATTTTTTGTAGTTTTAGTAGAGACGGGGTTTCACTGTGTTAGTCAGGATGGTCTTGATCTCCTGACCTGGTGATCCGCCTGCCTCAGCCTCCCAAAGTGCTGGGATTACAGGCGTGAGCCACCGCGCCCGGCCAAAGCTGTATTTTTAGTACATCTTCAGAAATCAGAGATACTGACAGAGAGTGGTTTTTTTTTTTTTTTTTTTGAGACGGAGTTTCACTTTGTGCCCCAGGCTAGAGTGCTGTGGCACAAACTCAGCTCACTGCAACCTCCATCCCCTGGGTTCAAGCGATTCTCCTGCCTCAGCCTCCTGGGTAGCTGGGATTACAGGCACACACCACCACACCTGGCTAATTTTTGTATTTTTAGTAGATGGAGTTTCGCCACGTTGGCCAGGCTGGTCTCAAACTCCTGACCTCAAGCAATCCGCCTGCCTCGGCCTCCCAATGTTCTGGGATTACAGGCATGAGCCACCGTGCCCAGCCAGAGAGAGTGGTTACTTCTAAAATGACATGATGATATAACCCTGGCTCAGGGAACAGGTCAAGTTCTAAATCTCAGGAATAAAAAACTGATACTCATTATCCAATTCATATAGTCTTGTATTATATACATATTAGTATTAACAGTCTACGCAATGAAAAATAAAGACGTTTCATAAAACTATTTCAAAACTCGGAACATAAAAATGTAAAGAAACAAAACATTTAGTGTACAATCTACTCCATTTGGCAATGTGTACTGAGAGATAAAAAACTTATCTACAAACAGAATATAACAAAAGGAAAATGTGACTTAAGAAGTGATCTCAGGTCCATAGCTCTTCGGTTCTTCCAAATTTGTAGATCAGAGTGCTAGAAAGATAGGAAAACAAATCATGAGGAAAAAACAGATGGAACAAGCAACACAAAATTCATTTTCTCAATATGCTTTGACAGGTACTTCACTGATTCCTTTCTATCAATTTAAAAAATTAAATTAGACATCATGGCAGTGTTGGTCTTAATTTGCTTATTTTGTAAAGCAGTCTGTTAACCACGATGGCTGAGCATAACTGTATTCTTTCTTAAAGCCTGGAAAGTTATTACTAGGCAACTTGTAAGGAAAAGAGACATTTCTCTATGACTCAGAAACAAAAAAAATGAATCAATACATCAAAAAAAATAAAAGAGAGACAGAGACCATTCTCATAGTGACAGGCATTAGGGCCATTTTATGTCTCCAGGAGCCTACCATATCTAAACTACAGTAACTGAAGCACCCTACAACAGACCATACTGCAATTCTTCATTCCTTCAACAAATAATTATTGTGCACTGAAAACTGGTTATGTACCAAGCACCTAAGTGCTGGGATGAGACTTTGAGTCCAGACAAACTTGCTCCCCAATGGAGCTAAGGGTCTAATAAGGAAACAATCAAATAAATATAAAATTCCAACTATAAAAAAAACGCTATAAATGAGAGGTGCAGTGTCCTAAGAGTGAAACATAAGGATCAGACCTAGTTAGAGAGGTCAGGAAAGGTTTTCCTGAGGAGTGGTGACTGAACTGAGATCCCAAAGAAGAGGGGGAATTATCTCGGCAAAGTGAGAGAGGGGATAAGGAGGTGGGAACAGAGAGATGGGACACTCCAGGGCCACGCATTGAGCTGTGGGCGTACTAAATGTTTTGGATTTGAAATGTCAGCAACCCAGGAAGGGATGTGAAGTAGGAATCTGGATATATGGTTTAGGCCTGGAAAGGGACATCTGTGACTCACTGGCATATAAGCAATAACTGGAGTCCTAAGTATACATGAGTTCACCCAGAGACAGAAAAATAACAAGGAGTTTCTTAAGGCCAAGAACAGAGCTTTAAGAGACTTCAAAAGGTAGTAGGCATGGAGTGGAGGATCAGCTTGCAAGGGAAACAGAGGAGTGACCAGAGATGTAAATAAAAGAGGCTGTACCCCAGAGCTTAGAACAGGTCCAGCACAGAGGAAGCACACAGGCTGCCTGATAACTTGCCAGCCTCTGGGCAGAGCACATAGTTGACACGGCTGTCAGCTATGTCCACCTGAGCATACAAGGTTTCTGTTCATCCAACAGTCATTTAAGTGGATTCATCTACCACCACAAAGCGTTGAATCTGACCTTAAACTTAATCTATAAAGATTGCCTCAAATGTCTTCATAATAACTTATCATATCACCAGAAGGCTGTCAGTCACATGCCAAAGACATGTGACTGACAGCACGTAAGACAGCAGAAACTGCCAAACATCTTTCAAAACCAGAATGTCAAGGCCATAAGGAGAAATCCAGGTAGAGCAGGGTGGTCTGAGAGTTGGGGGAGACCACATGGCTACGGTTTGCCACGCAGCATACAGACAGCCACACAGAGGGAACGCAGGAGATCTGCAGGGGGTGCTCCTTGAGTCTGTGGCTGAGTGTTGATCAGTCTATACATAAGAGGAAACTACCCAAGTGAAGGAAAGAACCACTGGAAAGAACACATCCCAGAGCTCCCACAAGGCTGGAAGACAGTTCACATTCTCACAAGTCGAGTAGAGAAACCTTGGAATACACGAAGCATCAGACCGTGGAAACACTCAAAGTACTGGCATGACTGCCTTAGTATGCGGACAAATCAGTCCTGGGCTATAGCTGCTCTGGTCCTGCCTATAACAAAGCTTAAAAGACATAAAAGGACCAAACTGTTTCTGAGTCACCTAACTGCATCCCAAAACAAAGCTCAAAAACATTTAAAGGACTAACAAAGATCCAGTCCCAACAAATTGTATGCAAAGCACCAAATAAGGGAAAATAGGTCCAAAATGAAGAGCAAACAGAAGCAGAAAAAAATCAATAGAAGCAGATGCAGAAATGACACAGACAATTGGACAAGGACCCTGAGATAGCTATAAATATACTCTGTGTGTTCAAGAAGGTGGAAGAGGGCATGAGCATGTTAAAGAAAGACATCAGAAATATTTCTAAAGACCCAATCAAGCTTCTAGAGACAGAAAATACAATGTCTGAGATGAAAAAATCATTGGATGGCATAGATTAGACACTGCAGAAGTAGAGAGTAATTTTTTTTTTTGGAGACGGAGTCTTGCTCTGTCGCCCAGGCTGGAGTGCTGTGGCCGGATCTCAGTTCACTGCAAGCTCCACCTCCTGGGTTTATGCCATTCTCCTGCCTCAGCCTCCCGAGTAGCTGGGACTACAGGCGCCTGCCACTTCGCCCGGCTAGTTTTTTGTATTTTTTAGTAGAGACGGGGTTTCACCATGTTAGCCAGGTTGGCCTCGATCTCCTGACCTTGTGATCCGCCCGTCTCGGCCTCCCAAAGTGCTGGGATTACAGGCTTGAGCCACCGCGCCCGGCAATTTTTCTTTTTTTTTTTGAGATGAAGTCTCATTCTCGTTCTGTTGCTCAGCAATGGTGCGATCTTAGCTCACTGCAACCTCAGCTTCCTGGGTTCAAGTGATTCTCCGGCCTCAGCCTTCCGAGTAGCTGTTACAAGCATGCACCACCATGCCCAGCTAATGTCTGTATTTTTAGTAGAGATGAGGTTTCACCATGTTGGCCAGGCTGGTCTCGAACTCCTGACCTCAAGTGATCCACCCGTCTTGGCCTCCCAAAGTGCTGGGATTACAGGCGTAAGCCACCATGCCCAGCAGAGATTAATTTTAAAATGTAACAATAGAAACTATCCAAACTGAAACACAAAGAGGAAAAAAAAATCTGACCATTAGCGAGCTGTGAGACAACTTTAAGCAGTCTGTTATAACATGCAACTGAAATACCAGAAGAAGGGTGGAGTGGATACAAAAAATGCTTGAAGAAATAATGGCTGAAAAGAATCTAGATTTGTTGATGAACTATAAACCCACAGATCCAAGAAACTCAATATACACCAAGTGAAAGGAATATGAAGAAAACTAGACCACAGTACATCATAATCAAATTACTTAAAACCAGTGACAAAAACAAAGTTTTTCAAGGCTTAGAATTTACTTAATGATTTATGGGGGGTGGGGACAGAGGCAGATAAAATTTTATAAATAAATACCTAAATATCCTATGTTGACATTAAAAGACATTCATTCTAGGCCGGGCATGGTGGTTCACACCTGTAATCCTACCACGTTGGGAGGCTGAGGCCGGCAGATCACTTGAGGTCAGAAGTTCGAGACCAGCCTGGTCAACATGGCAAAGCCCCATCTCTACTAAAAATACAAAAATTAGCTGGGTGTGGCAGTGCGTGCCTGTAATCCCAGCTACTAGAGAGGCTGAGGCACGAGAATTGCTTGAACTTGGGAGGCAGAGATTATGCTAAGCTGAGATTGCACCACTGCACACCAGCCTGGGCAACAGAGCGAGAATCCAGCCCCCCCGCCTCAAAAAAAAGACATTCATTCTAAAAATCATAGAATATGGACTTCATTTGGGGGATATTTTTAGAAGATTGCTCCTAAAAAATACTTTTAATATTGGTTTATTTTTCCACTTAAGTTTTCTTAAAAAGGCATTCAGAAAACACAATTTCCCAACAGGTTTTGTATATAACATGCATACCATGTATTAATTATTATTATTATTTTTGATACAGCTCTGTCACCCAGGCTGAAATGCAGTGGCACTATCTTGACTCACTCCAACCCCCGCCTCCCGAGTTCAAGTGATTCTCCTGCCTCAGCCTTCTGAGTAGCTGGGATTACAGGCATGCACCACCATGCCCGGCTAATTTTTGTATTTTTATTAGAGATGGGGTTTCACCATGTTGGCCAGGCTGGTCTCGAACCCCTGACCTCAGGTGATCCACCTGCCTCAGCCTCCCAAAGTGCTGGGATTACAGGCATGAGCCACCACGCCTGGCCACTATGTATTAATTCTGGTTTTTCCTTTTTTCTTAATAAAGGTACTTTACCTGTTGTTGTCGTTAATTTTTTTTTTTTTTTTCAAAAGGCTAGTTAAGAGAAACAACGGGTCTGATATGTTTTTTAACAAAACACAGGCTATGGAAGCAGCAGTCTGGATTCAAATCCCAGCTTCTCAATTACTAGCTAGGCATCCTAAAGCAAGCTCTAAACTTTATTTCCTCGTCTATAAAATGGGAATAACGCTGGGTGCAGTGGCTCTCACCTATAATCCCAGCACTTTGGGAGGCCAAGGCAGGCAAATCGTCTGAGCTCAGGAGTTCGAGGCCACCCTGGGCAACATGGTGAAACCCCGTCTCTACTAAAATACAAAAAATCAGCTGGGCGTGGTGGTGTGCACCTGTAGTCCCAGCTACTTAGGAGGCTGAGGCACGGGAATCATTCGCTTGAGCCCTGAGGCAGAGGTTACAGTGAGCCGAGATTGTTCCACTGCACTCCAGCTTGGGCTACAGGGTGAGACTCCATCTCAAAAATAAATAAATAAATGAAAATAAAAATAAATAAAATGGGAATAACACCTGACATATATTTAAAATAACTAAATGGGAATTTATTTATTCATTTATTTATTTTATTTTATTTTTGAGACAGGGTCTCACTCTATTGCCCAGGCTGGAGTACAGTGGTGCAATCATGCCTCACTGCAGCCTCAACCTCCTGGGCTCAAGCAGTTCTCCCACCTCAGCCTCTTGAGTAGCTGGCACTGTACATCATCACAACCAGATAATTTTCATATTTTTTTGTAGAGACAGGGTTTTGCCATGTTGCCCAGGCTGGTCTTAAACTCCTAGGCTCAAGCAATCTACCCACCTCAGCCTCCCAAAGTGCTGGGATTACAGGCATGAGCCACTGCACTTGGTCTAAATGGGAATTTAAAAGGTAAAATATATAAAGGATCCAGCTAAAGTCTTGATACACGGCAAGACCCCTATTTAAAAGGCCTGTCTGCTCTTATGTAACAGTGGAATTCTCACCCTTTAAAAGAAGTTCTATCATTGTAACCAGTCCATGGGATTTATATGTGTTTCATGTATATGCTGCCTTAATTAAGCTGACATTTCTGTAAATGTTACAGGTGTAGTCAAAAAATTAGGCAACTTACCTAAAAAATATAAGTGCATTTTGAAAAAACACAGCTAGACCCGGATAAACATCAGTATCTACATACATAAAGTAAAACAGATTAGAAGGTTATATAGGCAAACGTCACTAATAAAGTATCAATACCATTCATAATGATACATTTTGTATATTACAACATAACACTATTATTCATTAACTCTAAGACATCTATAATGACACTGAAAGAAGAAAATGCCAATTTAATTCCCCCAAAGCAAAGGACTGCTCTTACTCTGGATAAAAGTCAATGAACTTAATCAAGTTTTCTTTTAGTCTAAAGTAATTGCTAGTTCTAGCTACATCAAAACTGCTGAGGAAGCAGTAACTTGTTCCTTTGCCTCCTATGGCCAACAATGAAATACAAAATCGTAAAAATATACAAATTAAATTCTTGACTTTTTTTTTTTTTTTTTTTTTGAGACGGAGTCTCGCTCTGTCGCCCAGGCTGGAGTGCAGTGGCCGGATCTCAGCTCACTGCAAGCTCCACCTCCTGGGTTTACGCCATTCTCCTGCCTCAGCCTCCCGAGTAGCTGGGACTACAGGCGCCCGCCACCCTGCCCGGCTAAGTTTTTGTATTTTTTAGTAGAGACGGGGTTTCACCGTGTCAGCCAGGATGGTCTCAATCTCCTGACCTCGTGATCCGCCCGTCTCGGCCTCCCAAAGTGCTGGGATTACAGGCTTGAGCCACCGCGCCCGGCCAAATTCTTGACTTTTAAACAGTCTGTTAATTTATTTTCTTTCATGAATTCAAGAAGTTTTTTGTGTTTGTTTTTAAAGAAATGGGGCCTCACTACATTGCCCAGACTGGAGTGCAGCAGCTACTGACAGGCACTATCATAGCAAACTACAGTCCAAACTCCTGGGCTCAAGTGATCCTCCTGCCTCAGCCTCCCATGTGGCTGGGACTACAGGCACACACCACAGTGCCTGGCTCTCAATCCAGGAGTTTTGTTATGCAAACATGTCAGATATAAATAACACAGTTATAATTTATCATTATTCTCTCTCACTGAATCTATCCTGGAGGAAATGGTTACTATCTTTATAGGAAGAGAAAAGAAACAAAATGGAAACTACTTAAATTTTTGTAGATGATTAACTTTTGTAAAACTATAAATGTTGATTAAAAAATACTGGAGAGGATGAAGAAACTGGTTCAATTCTGAGCTCTTGATATCATAGCAAACAAAGAACACCATGGTTAAGAGCTCCAAATTTGAGCCAGACCCAGGTTTGAATCCTATCTACACCAATGACTAAATGTATGACCTTGGACAAATTATTTAACCTCAGTATATCTTCATTTCCTCACCTGTAAAACAGGCATTGTAATAGCACCTACTCCAGAGTGTAAGAATTAGATGAGTGACTCTATATAGTGTTAGAACAATATCTAGCCTATAAAGTAATATATAAAAGTTGGCTATCATTATGAATATTAATAGTTCAAGCAAATCTGCACAATAAAAGACTGGAAACATGCCCTAGAAATGCTCTCTGAAATAAAGTCATATTCACTTTACAAATAAAAAAGAATATTTAGGCTGGGCGTGGTGACTCACGCTTGTAATCCTAGCATTTTGGGAGGCCAAGGTGGGTGGATCACTTGAGGTCAGGAGTTTGAGACTAGCCTGGCCAACATGGTGAAACTCTGTCTCTACTAAAAATACAAAATTAGCCGGGCAGGGTAGTACGTGCCTGTAATCCCAGCTACTAGAGAGGCTGAGGCACGAGAATTGCTTGAACTTGGGAGGCAGAGATTATGCTAAGCTGAGATTGCACCACTGCACTCTACCCTGGACGACAGGGCGAAACTCCATCTTAAAAAAAAAAAAGTAAATTTAAATTGTAAAGCTGTTGAAATAGAAAGATGAAATTCACAACCAAGAAATTTATCAATATGTACTAGTTCTTTAAATATTAAGATACAATTGACTGGGAGTGGTGGTTCATGCCTGTAATCCCAACACTTTGGGAGGCCAAGGCAGGTGGATCGTCTGAGGTCAGGACTTCAAGACCAGCTTGGCCAACATGGTGAAACCCCATCTCTACTAAAAATACAAAAAATTAGCTGGGAGTGGTGGCAGATGGCTATAATCCCAGCTATTCGGGAAGCTGAGGCAGGAGAATCGCTTGAACCCAGGAGGCAGAGATTGCAGTGAGCCAAGACTACGCCATTGCACTACAGCCTGGGCGAGAAGAGTGAAACGCGTCTCAAAAAAAAAAAAAGATACACTCAACGAGAGTACAGCCTTTACAAACAATATTTCCCTACATACCTTAGAGAAATGGTAATTTATTCCTATTTTCACTATAGAAACTGTAAAGTTCATGGATCACTTCAAGTGCTAAAGTAAATAAGCAGGTGGCCATTAACCTGAGGCTATCTCCCCACTCTGAGTTCCTGTGTGACCCCACCCCCTGCAACCTAACTTATGTAAACAAACTGAAACCTAGGGTTATATTTTTGTAATAAATAGCTGAATTTTAGTCAATCACAAACAGCTAAGCTTTAGCCAATCCCAAGCAGCCAACTGATGAGACCATGCACAAATAAGACAAACATAGCTATAGACAATCTAAAAATTTCTTGTCTTTGCTTTGTGTTCAGCCTACAGCTGCTCATGCTGCTGGGTGAAGCTCTCTGAACCTCTTCTTCGTTCTGGGTCCCGCCCAATTCATGAATCATTCTTTGCTCAAATTGTTAATTTATCTAAAGTTTTTCTTTAACATAACTATGGAGACCTTTTAAGAAAATCAGTGACAGCAGCCCACCCTTCTTAGTCAGGGATAAAATGAGTTTAAAACACACTTTTGGCGGGGCACAGTGGCTCATGCCTGTAATCCCAGCACTTTGGGAGGCCGAGGTGGGTGGATCATGAGGTCAGGAGATTGAGACCATCCTGGCTAACACGGTAAAACCCTGTCTCTACTAAAAATACAAAAACTTAGCTGGGCATGGTGGCGGGCGCCTGTAGCCCCAGCCACTCGGGAGGCTGAGGCAGGAGAATGGCGGGAACCTGGGAAGTAGAGTTTGCAGTGAGCCAAGATCGCGCCACTGCACTCCAGCCTGGGCGACAGAGCAAAACTCTGTCTCAGAAAGAAAAAAAAAAAAAAAACACACACACTTTCTGGCTGGGTACAGTGGCTCATGCCTGTAATCCCAGCACCTTGGGAGGCTGAGGTGGGTGGATCACCTGAGGTCAGAAATTCGAGACCAGCCTGACCAATATGGTAAAACCCCATCTCTATTAAAAACACAAAAACTATCCGGGCGTGTTGGCATGCACCTGAAATCCCAGCTACCCAGGAGGCTGAGAAAGGAGAATTGCTTGAACCTGGGAGGCAGAGGTTGCAGTGAGCCAAGATCACGCCACCACACTCCAGCCTGGGCAACCTTATATGTATTATGCATATCAAAGATAGTCATATATTTATATAAATCTGCTCTAAGTTAAATGAATGATTTAAAAAAAAAAAAAAAACTAAAAAGAAGTTAAACCATACATGGAAAAGGAAAAAAAGTAAGTTACCTTTTTACTGACTAGAGAAATGAATGCCCTAACTAAAAAGGATTGTGGTGATGGTAGCATAATTCTGTGAAAATACTAAAAACATTCAACTGCATATTTTAAATGGCTGAATTATATGGTATGCAAATTACATCTCGATGAAGCTATTTTTAAAAAAGCATTTTCCTTCAGATACGCTTCATACCAGAACTATGTGCTCTAGTAGTATTTTTAATTAACTAAAAAACACATTTCAGACACAGCTGGTGACCAATGTTATTTAAGCCAACCACTGTCCTCTTGTAATGTGACTTATTTTGTACCAAGTGAAAGACAAAGCAAAAACAAAGGTATTCCAAAGATCTTATACTGATCAAACTATGAGACTTAAATGATACTATCAAAAGTATTCAAAAATCAGCTGTGAGTCAGGACAAGGAGATGTGACAGTTAAGCAAAGAAGGCTGACAAAGAGATTCCAGAGGCAGAGGAGTCAGAGGATGAATAAATTGTGTTCTCTGACTCCTGTCTTTGGAGCAAAGGAAGACGGCCAGTGAAACAGTCTTCCAACGCTTCCAGAGACACTTCTGAAGCTGGGTTCTGTTTTTCAACACTACTGTGAATGAAAAGCTATGGCACCTGGCACATCCAGAAAACTCAGCATGGTGTAATAAGAGTTCATCCTGGCCGGGCGCGGTGGCTCACGCCTGTAATCCCAGCACTTTGGGAGGCCGAGGCGGGCGGATCACAAGGTCAGGAGATCGAGACCATGGTGAAACCCCGTCTCTACTAAAAATACAAAAAATGAGCCGGGCGCGGTGGCGGGCGCCTGTAGTTCCAGCTACTCGGGAGGCTGAGGCAGGAGAATGGCGTGAACCCAGGAGGCGGAGCTTGCAGTGAGCCAGGATCGCGCCACTGCACTCCAGCTCAAAAAAAAAAAGAAATAAGAGTTCATCCCACTCCATCAACTGTTTCTGTATGAAGGGTACACATATATATCTTCAGTCTTGCCCTTAAAAAACTCCCTCTGTACCCGTGACTTAAAATAACAGGTTTGGCTGGGTGCGGTGGCTCACACCTGTAATCCCAGCAGTTTGGGAGGCCAATATGGGTGGATCACTTGAGGTCAGGAATTTGAGACCAGCCTCGACAACATGGTGAAACCCTGTCTCTACTAAAAAAAAAATACAAAAATTAGCTGGGCATAGTGGCACGCACCTCTAATCCCAGCTACTTGGGAGGCTGAGACAGGCGAATTACTTGAACCTGGGAAGTGGAGGTTGCAAAGAGCCAAGATCACACCACTGCACTCCACCCTGGGCGATAGAGTGAGACTCTATCTCCAAAAAAAAAAAGTACAGGATTAGGTTGGACAGAGAAGGTGTTTATGAAAAGAAAGATTAGTGATAATCCATAGATTATCAGATAAGGGGTCTATGCCCCTTATCTGAAATCCCTGGGGCAAGATATATTTTGGGATTCAGAATTCTTCAGATTTAAGAACAGTAAGGCAAAGCACATATACTGCATAGCACTGCCAGCTGGGTATGGACAAGCATCCTATAACCTAACACATCTATTTTCATTCCTACAACAAAACATTTGAATACTGACACTAAATGGGATAAAGAAAACAGTGAGCCCTGTGTCAGTTTAGGTCAGGTTTTGCTGCCAAACTAGTTATAAATAACTTGATTTTCAGCATTTTGTGGATTTTAGAATTATATATAAGGGACTGTACACCTGTACTGGTTTCTCACTTGTTCTACTGCAACTCCCAGTAAATGGGCCTCTAGCATAAAATCCTGGCTATCCTAAGGTAAGGAAGGAAAGCAGAAAGTCTGGAGATGGCTGAGAGACACCGGCTTTGTCAGTGGCTTGGATTTCCTAACCAGAGCTATCCTACTGCACTGTGTTCCCACTGACAAGTTTTATTAAACAACTCATGTATCTTCACACAGAGTAATATCTTCAATCTAACTGAGTAATGATACTAAATGGTACTCAAGGTAGAGTTAGCCAAATATAAAAGACATATCTGAATCTCTCCTATAAAATACAGGAAGAATACTTACTTTGGGTAACATATGCACCAAAAAGAATCCACATGGAAGCAATAAGTGACCCAAACATCAACATGAAACCAATGAAAAGCCAAACTCGAGCACCTGTGTGGAGAAGAGGCTTATGATTTTGTTCATTTTTACAGCCCTATAACGTCTTAGGAATACATAACACTAGAAGCCCTGTTAGCCTTATATGTATTATGCATATCAAAGATAGTCATATATTTATATAAATCTGCTCTAAGTTAAATGAATGATTTAAAAAAAAAAAAAAAACTAAAAGAAGTTAAACCATACATGGAAAAGGAAAAAAAGTAAGTTACCTTTTTACTGACTAGAGAAATGAATGCCCTAACTAAAAAATTATGCTGCTGTATATATTATCAAAATAACTGCCCTATTAAAAGTAGCATATGCATTCTGGATAGCCATCATCACAAAGGAATGAGAGACGTCAAATGAAGAAGGACTAATATGTCCCTTTTTAATCAATAATAAGCTTCTATAATCACACCATTACTCAATATAGTACAAATAATGGCCATTCTTTAGAGTATATTCAGGCTTGTTTATTGCTGAGGCAGCCAATCTGTACCACATATTCATGAAAACTTCAAAATTAGAAGCATCTCTTCAACCCTGTATTGAACAAAATTCTAGATGTCAATAATGTAATCATCTGGACACCCGAGTAGATTCAACACATTTTTAGGAAAGCAGGTTAACACTTGCACCAGACCCTGTTCACAGGTATACTGACAGCCCCATCACCTCTGCAAGGGGAACAAAGCTCCACTGAAGTAAAAATAAAATCCTAGCCAACTTCCATAACAGAAAACTAAATTTGCCTCAGTTGCAAATATTTTGTTACCACTGAATAGATTCATTTTAGACACTAGATAAGGAGGAAACACTGATCAAAGTTCATGATGGTTAGAACAGCTGATATTTAAGAGAAACAGATCTCTATATTATCTAAATTTTATTACAATACTAAGCAGATCTCCAGAAATAAAAACAGTAATGTTTAATGCTTTGGAGAAATACAATCTCTAAATTATATTCAATTATAGCTTTTATCTAATGTGAATAAAAGGAACTATTAAAAATCCTTAAAGGCTGGGCACAGTAGCTCACACCTGTAATCCTAGAAATTTGGGAGGCCAAGGAGGGCGGATTGCCTGAGCTCAGGAGTTCGAGACCAGCCTGGCCAACATGGTGAAACCCAGTTTCTACTAAAAATACAAAAATTAGCCAAGCATGGTGGCGGGCACCTGTAATCCCAGCTATTCAAGAGGCTGAGGCAGAAGAATTGCTGGAGCCTGGGAGGCGGATGATGCAGTGAGCTGAGATTACACTACTGCACTCCAGCCTGGGTGACAGAGTAAGACTCCATCTCAAAAAAAATACATACAAAATTAAAAAAATAAGATGCCAAGTAGAAAAGCAAGCTAAGCTCTTCACAGCTGCTTTATTTGGTTTAAAAGGCTATGATACTTACCATATGATCCCATTTATATGAAAGAGCAGAAAAGGCAAAGCTACCGTCATAGAAAGTATATCAGTGGTGACCAGGAGGTGAGGGGAAGGGGATTAACTATAAAAAGGGGTATGAAGGAACTTTTTGGTGTTCTATATCATGATTGCAGTGGTAGTTACACAACTGTAACTGTACACATTTGTTCAAACTCATCAAATTGTACACTTTAAACTGGTGGATTCTGGTCAGGCATGGTGGCTCATGCCTGTAATCCCAGCACTTTAGGAGGCTGATAACTTGAGGACAGGTGGATAGCTTGAGGCCAGATCAAGACCAGCCTGAACCACATGGTAAAACCCTGCCTCTACAAAAAATAAATAAATTAGCTGGGCGTGATGGCATGTCCCTATAATCACAACTGCTTGAGAAACTGAGGTGGGAGGATCACTTGAGTCCCAGGCTGTGGAGGCTGCAGTGAGCGAAGATTGTGCCACTGCACTCCAGCCTGGGGGACAGAGAGACTCTATCTCAAAAAAATTTCATAAAATAATAGTGAATTATATTATACTTAAATTATATTCAGTTAAGCTGACAAAAAGAAAAAATATACACGTGGTACCAAACCAGACAAAGTGACCAAATGGTTCTAGATGGGAAACAAGTACAGCATGGTGGCTAAAACCATGGGCTCTGGAGCGTTCAATCACTGTCAGTGTTCAATCCTGGCTCCACCACTTACTTGCTCTGTGACTTTGGACACATTATTTAAGCCCACTGTACCTTAATTTCTTCATATTATAATGTAAATTTTTTTGTTTGTTTGTTTTTGAGACAGAGTTTCGCTCTTGTTACCCAGGCTGGAGTGCAATGAGGTGATCTTGGCTCACTGCAACCTCCGCCTCCCGGGTACAAGCGATTCTCTTGCCTCAGTCTCCCAAGTAGCTGGGACTACAGAAGTGAGTCAACACGCCTGGCTAATTTTGTATTTTTTTTTAAGTAGAGACGGGGTTTCTCCATGTTGGCGAAGCTGGTCTTAAACTCCTGACCTTAGGTGATCCACCCGTCTCAGCCTCCCAAAGTGCTGGAATTACAGGTGTGAGCTACCATGCCCGGCCGTAAATTTTTAAAAAACACAACTGGGCCAGGCACAGTGGCTCACTCCTGTAATCCTAGCACTTTGGGAGGCCAAGGTGGGCAGATCACCTGATCAACATGTAGAAACCCCATCTCTACTAAACCTACAAAACTAGGCAGGCATGGTGGCGCATGCCTGTAATCCCAGTTACTCTGGAGGCTGAGGCAGGAGAATCGCTTGAACCCAGGAGGTGGAGGTTGCGGTGAGCCAAAAACGCACCACTGCACTCCAGCCTGGGCAAGAAAAGCGAAATTCCGTCTGAAAAAAAAAAAAAAGGATGATAATTCAAATGAATTCAAACTAAAAAAACTAATTTATGTGTAGACAAAGAGCATCTTTCTTCTGAACAATTTTGTTGCAGTCTGTGGGTGGCTACTCAGGTGATCAGAAGTGAATGTAAAGACACTGTAGTCCTAGGTTCGATCCCCTAATGTGTTCATTATTTTCCGTTAATAATCACAGTCAGCCATCTTGTAAGTAGCATTATTGGTCAACAACTGGGATAAGAATAAATCCATCATTAGCACTGGAGTCCAAGATCCATCTGAATAGCAACATTTTTTATCTATATCATGGGCAGTGTAACATGACAAAAATAATAACTTCTAGCAATAACTTACTTTCTTAAGGATTTGAATAACACTAAAACTTGTTTTTAAAGCAAATAAAAAATATTCCACATAATCATCACCAGTCCTGAATAAAGACTCACAAGAGAGGCTTTTTTTCTGGTGACAAATTTCTATTTTGTTAACACACATTAACAGCTCAAAGTATCTTTACCTGTTCTTCCTAAACAGCCGCTTTCATAGCTATCACCTCTCACCTGAGCATTGGATACAGCATTTATCCTAGAACAGTACAAAATCATTAAATGAATTTCAGTATTTGCTGTTAAAATACTCAAATATTTATATATCACTTAGAAAACAGATTATTTCATAACTAAAATCAATATATGAATAATTTAACATCTTTTAACCTAATAAAAATGCTAGTGGATAGAAATGTTACATTAGTCTTATTTTTCATTAAGTACACCCAGAAAACACACTTATTTTAAGAGATTTCTATCACTTGTCTGCAGAGATTATACAAGAGGGGCCAGTTTTCTGGTTTCTTTGTTTATTTCACATTTATACATGAATGACTCACTGCTATCCCATTTCAAGGTTCTCATTATTATCAAGAGTTAAACAGTTTCTCCTTGTGTTAAAAGTCAAGTGATTTTCTATGATCCATTCCTTAAGCTCAGAGAAAATGTAGTTTATGTAATATGCCCACTTTATTCAGCTTCCCCTTTCATTTTTGTTAGAGCCAGGTACATTAATTAGTAGCAGGAATTTCCTTTTTTTAGCAGTCACAATGGATATAAGTAGTTCCAATTCCCATAATATAACCTTTTTAAACTCCTGGCCAGGTGTGGTGGCTTACACCTGTAATTCCAGCACTTTGAGAGGCCAAGGCAGGTGAATCACAAGGTCAGGAGTTCAACGCCAGCCTGGCCAACACAGTGAAACCACCGTCTCTGCTAAAAATGCAAAATATTAGCTGGGTGTAGTAGCAGGCACCTGTAATCCCAGCTACTTGGGAGGCTGGGGCAGGAGAAGCACTTGAACCCAGGAGGCAGAGGTTGCAGTGAACTGAGATCGCGCCACTGCGGTCCAGCCCAAACAACAGAGTAAGACTCTGTCTCAAAAAAAAACAATAATAATAAAACCTCCTGACAGTATAAGGAAATGATGTAATCTTAATGTTTCATATTTTTTAATTGTTAAAAGACATCCATAAAAAGCTTCCAAGTTTTATGAAATGAGGTAACATAAACTTAAAAATAATTTAAAATAAAAGCTACAAACAAATCTCTTTGAGATCAATCTTGCCTTTTCCTCAAACACTGGCAAACACAGTCAAGTAGCACATTAAAAAAAATAATAATAATACTGCAAGGTAAAAGTTGAGTGTACTACAACACCTATGGACAATTCACTACTAAAAAATACAGAAATGTAACGTGTTTCATTAAATCTCAGAGGCCATGAGTTTTAAGATACACCATTAATTTTTAATACTGACAAGAAATAAAAATGTTATCAATTATATTCTAATTATATTAAATATACTAATTATATACTGACTGCAAGATGCATCCTGATATTCAGAGGTATTAAAATGCGAAAAAGTAGATCTTGGAACTGACAAAATATGTAACTGACCAGATTAAAAAATATGAGGGAAAAAAATCACAAGATAATCGTTATAGGTGCTAAAAAGATATATGCCCAAATCCAACACTCATTCTTGGTTAAAAAAAAAAATCGTAATAAAATGGGAATTATGTATGCATCATGTTAAAAAATAATCTATCAAATAAATCAAAAAGTTATTCAAGAAAGCACTGCACATTAACAGGAAAGTATTTTTAGAAAAATCATATTGATTACAGAATTATCATCATACTTACATGAAGAAAGCCAATGTGGAAAATACACCACATGTGTGAAAGGCATGGTTCAACTGTTCTGGCTTAGGATACACCACAGCTGCATCAATCATTATCCACCAGCCTGTAAAAAACTTAAAACACAGCCCAAGTCACTGAAACACTGAAACTCTTGCTAGCACAATACCTGCTTTTTAACATTCCTTTTGTCCTACAGATCATATAAATGGGCCGGGTACAAAGGCTCACGCCTGTAATCTCAGCACTTTGGGAGGCCGAGGCAGGTGGATCACTTGAGGTCAGGAGATCGAGACCAGCCTGGCCATCATGGTGAAACCTCACCTCTACTAAAAATACAAGGCTGGGCGTCGTGGCTCATGTCTGTAATCCCAGCACTTTGGGAGGCCAACATGGGCAAATTACCTGAGGTCAGGAATTTGAGACCAGTCTGGTCAACATGGTGAAACCTTGTCTCTACTAAAAGTACAAAAATTAACTAGGCATGGTGGCAGGCACACATAATCCTGCCTACTCAGTAGGCTGAGGCAGGAGAACCGCTTGAACCCAGGAGGTGGAGGCTACAATGAGCTGAGATCACGCCACTGCACTCCAGCTTGGATGACAGAGTGAAACTCTGTCTCGAAAAAATTCAAATACAAATACAAAAATTAGCTGGGCATGGTGGCATGTGCTTCTAATCCTAGCTACTTCGGAGGCTAAGGCACAAGAACTGCTTGAACCTGGGAAGTCGGAGGCAGAGGCTGCAGTGAGCAGACTGCTTCACAATTATCGTTAGTTCTTGCTCTGCTTTATTTCATTCTATTGGACTTAAGTGTAGAACTGTACATTCAAAGAGATGAATTTTTAAAATGTAAACAAATAAAGAAATTTGCTTCCAAAAAATGCAGTGGGAGCCAGAAATGGTAGTGTAGAAAATCTGTAGTCCCAGCTACTTGGGAGACTGAAGCAGGAAGATTGCTTGAGACCATGAATCTGAAGCCGTAGCACACTACAATCATACCTGTGAATAGCCACTGTACTCCAGTGGCTGTACAACATAGCAAGACCTTGTCTCTTTAAAAAAAAAAAAAAAAAAAAAGTGCGGCCAGGGAGTGGTTGATGGAATTATACAGCAAGACAGGTCCTGATTTTGGGGTGGTGGTGTTTTTTTTTTTAAGCTGGATGATAGATACATGGGATAAAGGAGGAGACGGAACCTTTGTAACATTCTGCCTACTTTTGTTTTATGCTTGTCATTTTCAATAATAAAAAGTTAAAAAAAAATGATGGAAAGAAAATTAAACAATAGTTTCCTTCACAAATGTCTTCCTCTGATATTCCCCTGGTGTTGCAGCTGGGGAAACAGAGATGGTATTTCTTCCCTAGAGCCGCTGTAGGGCTTCAGTTCTAATGGAGCCTAAGGTTGTCACTATTATCTGCAGAGTACTGTCACTGTTGTCTGACCTTCAATAAGTCACAACAATAATTTTGTGTTACATTAAATCCTGAGCCTTTAAGGATCTTAAAGTACTTATATACATTGTATCACTAAGTTAAAAATGCTATTGCCTATAATAATTATATTATCACTGAAACTGAAGAAAAGATATTAAGTACACATTTACAAAGTCAAAATGAATCCAGGGCCTACCATACTCTGCTTGGCAATAGTATCTAGAACTCTGATAATTATCTACACAAAACAGCAGTGAAATAAATAGTTCTGGAAAGCCATTCTCAGTTCAAAGGAACTGGCATTGATTTCCAGGGCAAAAGGTAAGGGATAAATGTCACCAACCTGTCTTTCTCACTTACCAATATACCTGCGACAACAGACGCCACAGCATTTCTTCTCTCGCTCCAGTCAATACACTCACATTCTGGCCAACGAAAATTGTCTAGGAAGCCTGCCATTTTTACTTCTTAAGCATAAATGTTTCATTAAATGCTGTATCCTACAAACAGAAAGACAAAAACTAATCAACCCAAGACAATGTTTTCTAAAAGTAAAATATCTTACTCCTTTACTTTACTTTAGGTCCTATTCTACTATAGTTAATAAAAATTCAATACTTCAACAAGTACCTAATTGAGATGTATACAGGACTACGCTAGGACACAAGGGGGAGATTGCTATTTGATAAATGAGCACTGTGGTTTTAAAACAAGTCTAGGAGCTAGGTGACGTGGCTCATGCCTGTTATTCCAGCACTTTGGGAGGCCGAAGTGGGCAGATCACTTGAGGCCAGGAGTTTGAGACCAGCCTGGCCAATATTATGAAACCCTGTCTCTACTAAATATACAAAAAATTAACTGGGCCTGGTGGCACATGCCTGTAATTACAGCTACTTGGGAGGCTGAGGCACAAGAATTGCTTGAACCTGGAAGGAGAGATTGCAGTGCAAGATCATGCCACTGCACTCCAGCCTGGGCAACAGAGCAAGACTCTGTCACAAAAATAAATAAATAAATGAAATAAATTAAACATGTCCAAAATATTTGACACTTCTTCCATTGAGAGGTGGATTTATGTCCTACCTTTGAATTTGGGTCAACAGTAAAGACTAGTTGACCAGTAGAGTAGAGGAAGTGATGCTAAGTAACTTCTGCCATGCAACTTCCAAGATCAGGTCACAGAAGGCAACGGACCATCTGCCTGGTTCATCTGGAACACTAATGCTCGGGCTATCATGCTGTAAGGAGACCATTTATAGGTGTTCTGACCCACAGTTCCAGTTGAGGTCCCAGCTAATAGCTAGTACTAACTGCCAGACATGTGAGTAAAGACACGTCTCTACTAAAAATACAAAATTAGCCGTGAGTGGTGGCGCATGCCTATAATCCCAGTTACTTGAGAGGCTGAGGCAGGAGAATCACTTGGACCCAGGAGGCGGAGGTTGCAGTGAGCTGAGATCTCGCCACTGCACTCCACCCTGGGTGATAGAGCGAGACTCTGTCTCCAAAAAAAGAAAAGAAGTTAGAAGACCAGTAAAAAAGATTCACATATAAATAACACAGGTATTTTAGAAACTACACAGGAAACAGAAGAGAAAAAAGAATCAACAAAATATTTCAAGAAAATTTCCCCAGAATAAAAGTTCTTGTATTTCCAGATTTAAAGTACCCATTGAATACTTAAGTAATGGAGTAAACCCATACTTCATTTTAAATTTCAAAACACTTTATAGTAGATTCTATAAGTTTGCAGATACGGAAAAAACCAGGTCGCATACAAAGGCTTTTGGAACTCGTGTGTGTGTTTGTGTGTGTGTGTCTGAGAGAGAGAGAGAGAGAGAGAGAGAGACAGACAGACAGAGAGAGAGACAGGGTCTCGCTCTGTCACCCAGGCTGGAGTGAAGTGGCATGATCACAGCTTACTGCAGCCTCTACCTGCTGGGCTCAAGTGATCCTCCCACTGCAGCCCCCGGAACAGCTGGGACTACAAGCACACACTACCACACCCAGCTAATTTTTTATAGAGATGGGATTTTGCCATATTGCCCAGGCTAGTCTTGAACTTCTGGACTTAAGCAATCCACCCACTGCAGCCTCCCAAAGTGCTGGGATTACAGGCGTGAGCCACCATGCCTGGCCCTCAGCTTGGAATTCTTAACAGTAAAACCACAAGCAAGATGACAATGGGGCAGTAAATTCAAAACTCTGTAGGACAATTATTTCCAACCAAAAGATTTTTACCAGTCAAAATATGAATCAAGTATGAGGATAGCATCAAAACATATTCAGAAGCATTTTGAGAGGCCAACGCAGGCCTCTCACTTGAAGCCAGGAGTTCAGGACCAGCCCGGCCAACAAGGCGAAATCCCGTCTCTATTTAAACAACAACAAAATATTCAGACACACAAGGTCTCCAAAAAATGTAACTATTCTTGTCAAGAAGCTACTGGAGTTTGAGCTTCAACAGGGAGAGTGAATTAATAAAAGAGAATATGGGATACAGGAAAGATCCTGCACAGAAGAACTAAAGAGAATCCAGCTGTGCCCCAGAAGCAGCAGATAATCAGGCCAGACTGCAGCAGTGTAACTCAGGAGATAACGTCCTGGCTGGTATAGCAGTTTTTTGTGGGGGATTTTGTGCCTTTATAAAAAACAATCTTTTAAAAAATCCACTGGAATATAGCAGCTTTTGAAGCTGAGGACTGAATGCTCCAAGAACTTGGCCCAGAGCCTATCTGTACTCACTGGGGCTTGGCTTGATCCTGAGCATATGCTGATGCAGTTCCTGCTCTCCTGCAAGGCGTGCAGCCTTCGTCAGCAGACGACACTCACTTCCCCCACAGAGAGGTTCTGCTTTCACCTACCCTGTTAACTACAGGTAGGCCATGGTGAGCTAAGAAGCAGAAAATGCAGAGAAGCCCACTCCTTCTGACCTTATTTTTGTTGTCTTTCCATTACGTGGTCCACTAGAACCTTCCAGATACCCTGACTGAGGTGACCCCCCTTTCCTAGGACTCATAACACAGCACATAAACTTCCTCAGAAAGGCCCCCTGTAAACAGGCAAGGGATCTGAAGTCATTCTGTTCAGCTCATCTTTACTTGAAAACCTTCATCTAAGTGGCTATCCTTTCCTTAGTCAAGTTTGACCTTATAATTATAAAATGAGGCCAGGCATGGTGGCTCATGCCTGTTATCCCAACACTTTGGGAGGCCGAGGCAGGTGGATCACGAGGTCAGGAGTTCGAGACCACCCTGGCCAACATAGTGAAACCCCATCTCTACTAAAAATACAAAAATTAGCCGGGCATGGTGGCACACACCTGAAACCTTGGCTACTCAGGAGACTGAGGCAGGAGAATTGCTTGAACCTGGAAGGTGGAGGTTGCAGTGAGCCAAGATGGCACCACTGCACTTCACCTGGGCAACTGAGCGAAACTCGGTCTCAAAAAAAAGCTCAGGCTGGGCGCGATGGCTCACACCTGTAATCCCAGCACTTTAGGAGGCCAAGACAGGTGGATCACGAGGTCAGGAGATCGAGACCATCCTGGCTAACACGGTGAAACTCCGTCTCTACTAAAAATACAAAAAAGTAGCCGGGCGAGGTGGCGGGTGCCTGTAGTCCCAGCTACTCAGGAGGCTGTGGCAGGAGAATGGTGTGAACCCAGGAGGCGGAGCTTGCAGTGAGCCGAGATTGTGCCCCTGCACTCCAGCCTGGGTGACAGAGTGAGATTCCATCTCAAAAAAAAAAAAAAAGAAAGCTCCAGCATTTTCTAATAAGTATGTCTGGACTTCATCTACGCTCTCAGGGACAGAACTTGGTTATTACAGTTTATTTAATGAACAACCCACTATTAATAAAGATGCAGACAGTTTATAGCCCTCTGGGGTTTAACTGCAGAAATTAATGAGGTGTTATGATTTTATAGCCTGGTAAGAAAATCAATCCCAAAGATATTATGATTTTGTTGCCCTGTGGAACATTAACCAATTAAACTAACTTAGTCATACTATTGAGACTTTTCTTTCCCTACAAACTGCATAAATACCGATTCCTTATATCCTTTTAAAACCAGCTCTTTGGCTGGGCACGGTGGCTCACACCTGTAATCCCAGCACTTTGGGAGGCCAAGGTGGGCAGATCACCTAAGGTCAGGAGTTTGAGACCAGCCTGGCCAGCATGGTCAAAGCCCATCTATACTTAAAATACAAAAATTAGCCAGGCATGGTGGCGGGCGCCTGTAATCCTAGCTACTCAGAAGCCTGACGCAGAACTGCTTGAGTCCGGGAGGAGAAGGTTGCAGTGAGGTGAGATCATGCCACTGCACCCCAGCCTGGGCGACAGAGCCAGACTCCAACTCAGAACAAAACAAAAACACAGCTCTCAAAACAAAAAAAAAAACTCTCAATAATAGTAAAACAAAACTGAAACACACTGCTTAACTATCCGCATGAGAATTGTGTTTCTAACACTATTCATTCAAAACAAAGGTGGCTCACACCGGTAATCCCAGCACTTTGTGAGGCCGAGGCACATGGACCACCTGAGGTCAGGAATTCAAGACCAGCCTGGCCAACCTGGAGAAACCAGGTTTCTACTAAAAATAAAAAAACTAGCCGGGTGTGGTGGTGGTCACCTGTAATCCCAACTACTCCAGCGGCTGAGGCAGGAGAATCGCTTGAACCCAGAAGGCGAAGGCAGCAGTGAGCTAAGACTGCGCCAATGCACTCCAGCCTGGGTAACAGAGCAAGACTCTGTCTCAGAAAAAAAAAAAAAAACCCACTAAATACACTGTTTAGGATATAGGAGTGTGTCTGCAAATTTATGTATATATTTGTAAACATTTATGCACATATGTATACATGTATATGTACATGAATTTATATGTTTGTGAATGTATGTATACATGCATAAAGCTTATTTTAAAAAGCAAGAGAAAGATAAACACAAAAATCAGGACAGAGGCTACCTCTGGAAGAAAAAAATGCAAACATTTTGTTCCCCCACCGCCGCCACCCCCAAGACGGAGTCTTGCTCTGTCACCCAGGATGGAGTGCAGTGGCGTGATCTGGGCTCACTGCAACCTCCACCTCCCAGGTTCAAGCAATTCTCCTGCCTCAGCCCCCTGAGTAGCTGAGATTACAGGTGCCCACCACCACGACTGGCTAATTTTTATATTTTTGGTAGAGACAGGATTTCACATGTTGGCCAGGCGGGTCTCCAACACCCAGCCTTCAGTGATCTGCCTGTCTCAGCCTCCCAAGATGCTGGGACTACAGGTGTGAACCACTGCGCCTGGCCCAACATTTTGTTTCTTAATTTGGTAGTGGATACATAATGATCATTGCAATAGTATTCTTTAAATTTTACATGTTTTATATATTTTTTGTACCTGAGATAAAATTTGCAATAAAAGAAATTACTTTTTTGTGTGTGTGTGTGAGATGGAGTCTCGCTCTGTCGCCCAGGCTGGAATGCAGTGGCACCATCTCGGCTCACTGTAACCTCCACCTCCTGGTTTCAAGCAGTTCTCTGCCTCCACCTCCCGAGTAGCTGGGATTACAGGCGCCCACCACCACAACTGGCTACTTTTTTGTATTTTTAGTAGAGACGGGGTTTCACCATCTTGGCCAGGCTGGTCTTGAACTCCTGACCGCGCCCAGGAAGAAATTACTTTTAAAAAGAACAAGCAGCCGGCGCGGTGGCTCACGCCTGTAATCCCAGCACTTTGGGAGGCCGAGACAGGCAGATCACGAGGTCAGGAGATGGAGACCATCCTCGCTAACACGGTAAAACCACATCTCTACTAAATATACAAATAAATTAGCTGGGCATGGTAGCGGGCGCCTGTAGTCCCAGCTACTCAGGAGGCTGGGACAGGAGAATGGCGTCAACCCAGGAGGCGGAGCTTGCAGTGAGCCAAGAGCGACAGAGCCAGACTCCGTCTCCAAAAAAAAAAAAAGAAATATATATATATATAGATATATATGGAGCCAAGGTGGGTGGATCACCTGCTGAGGTCGGGAGTTCAAGACCAGCCTGACCAACATGGAGAAACCCCGTCTCTGCTAAAAATACAAAATTAGCCAGGGTGGTGGTGCATGTCTGTAATTCCAGCTACTCGGGAGGTTGAGGCAGGAGAATTGCTTGAACCTGGGAGATGGAGGTTGCGGTGAGCCAAGATCATGCCATTGCACTCCAGCCTGGGCAACAAGAGCAAAACTCCGTCTCTAAATAAATAAAATATATGGATATTAGAAATGCATTTAATTCCAATAGATTTAGCTACTGCTTTTAAATTATAAAATCTTTAAGTTACAATGTCAGGCGTGGTGGCTCATGCCTATAATCCCACCACTTTGGGAGGCTGGGACAGGTGGATCACGAGGTCAGGAGATCAAGACAACCCTGGCTAACATGGTGAAACCCCATCTCTACTAAAAATACAAAAAACTAGCTGGGCGTGGTGGCAGGCGCCTGTAGTCCCAGCTACTCGGGAGGCTGAGGCAGGAGAATAGCGTGAACCGGGAAGGCGGAGCTTGCAGTGAGCAGAGATCGCGCCACTGCACTCCAGCCTGGGCGACAGAGCCAGACTCCGTCTCAAAAAAAAACAAACAAACTAAGTTATAAAAAGATTCCTTGTGAAATAAAATTATATCAAAGTACAATCATCTGTTTATATTATCTACCTGAAACTTACCCTACAATGACAAAAAGATTTTCATAAAGCAAGGCTTTTAATGGCTAAAACCCAGAAACAGCCAAAATGCCCATCAATAAGGAACCAAAAAATGTATATTAGGGTACATCCAAACAACAGTATACCCCACTACATTTTGAGAATGAGGCAGGTTGGCTGGGCAGGATGGCTCACACCTGTAATCCCAGCACTCTGAGAGGCTGAGGCAGGTGGATAGCTTGAGCTCAGGAATTGAAGACCAGCCTGGGCAACATGAGGAACCCATCTCTACAAAAATTACAAAAATCAGGCGTGGTGGCACTCACCTATAGTCTCAGCTACTCGGGAGGCTGAGGTGGGAGAATCGTTTGAGCCCCAAGGCTGCAGTGAGCAGTGAGGGAACCACTGCACTCTACCCGGGGCAACACAGTCAGACCCGGTCTCCAAAGTGAGGGGTGGGGTTGCAGGGAAATGAGTTAGGTCTCTACGTGCTTAAGAAGGAAATGTGTCCTTATATTATCATCAGCTGCCGAGCAATATTATAGTATAATATCCTCCTAGGGAATTGAATTGAGGATGTAAAGAGTGAAAAGTGAAGAAACAAGGAATCCTAACTTGACATACCTCTGCGCTGAATTTTACTTGATATTCTTCTGTCATGTTTAAATGTTTTAAACAACCTGAATGTTACTTTAACCATTTAAAAAGGAAAATGGACTAGGTACGGTGGCTCACGCCTGTAATTCCAGCACTTTGGGAAGCCGAGGCAGGTAGACCACCTGAGATCAGGAGTTCAAGCCTCTACTAAAAATACAAAAATTAGCTGGGCATGGTGGGGGTAATCCCAGCTACTTGGGAGGCTGAGACGGGAGAAACGTTTCAACCTGGGAGGCGGAGGTTGCAGTGAGCCACGATTGTGCCACTGCACTCCAGCCTGGGTGACAAGAGCGAAACTCTGCCTCAAAAAAATATATACATATAAATAAGTTAAAAACAAACTTTAGGCTGGGCACAGTGACTTACGCCTGTAATCCCAGCACTTTGGGAGGCCGAGGCGGGTGGATCATGAGGTCAGGAGATCGAGACCATCCTGGCTAACACGGTGAAACCTCGTATCTACTAAAAATACAAAAAATTAGCCTGACGTGGTGGTTGGTGCCTGTAGTCCCAGCTACTTGGGAGGCTGAGGCAGGAGAATGGCGTGAACCCAGGAGGCGGAGCTTGCAGTGAGCCGAGACTGCGCCACTGCACTCCAGCCTGGGCGACAGAGTGAGACTCCGTCTCAAAAAATAAATAAACAAATAATAATAAACTTTAAAAGGCCAGGCGCGGTGCCCACGCCTGTAATCCCAGCATTTGGAGAGACCAAGGCGAGATCACTTGAGGTCAGGAGTTCAAGACCAGCCTGGCCAACATGGTGAAACTCCCTCCCTTCTAAGAGTATAAAAATTAGCCGGACATGGGGGCAGGCGCCTGTGATCCCAGCTAGTCGGGAGGCTGAGACTGTAAAATCCCTTTAACCCTAGAGGCATGGGTTGCAGTGAGCAAAGATCGCGCCACTGCACTCCAGCCTAGGCGACAGCGACAGTACTTGCAGCCTGGTCAACGAGTGAGACCCTGTCTCAAAAAAAAAAAAAAAAGGAAAATAAGGATAAAATAAGATAAATTTTTTACCTTGGCCCCCAGAAGTGAATTCAGAATTCAGAAAAGACTAGCCAGTGTAAAGCCGCCATAACCCTAGTTGACAGAGAGGAGGGATTGGGGTGGCGAGTGGGGAGGCTGTGTCTCTGGAAGAAGAAATATACGTCCCCACCTCAGTCTGATTAAACCTGCTTTTCCAGCGCGATCAATATTCAAGATAACTTTTGGTTTGCCTTTCAAGAAAGAAGTCTTGCACCACTATCCTCAGTTTTAAAAAAAATGTTTAATGTTTGCTCTACGTTTGAAATGCATGCAGGTTTAAAAGACGAGAAGAGACAAAATGATGAAAAAGTGTGACCGGCCTGAGAGTTCAGTGCCTCTGGAAGTGTCAAGGGATCCACAGTGCAGGTAGGATGAAGAGTCTGAGACGGGAGGTGGGATCCTCCGAAAAGAGAAAGTCTGGTCTTGGAGCGCGACGATGCAGATGCCACTTCCCTCCCATCCCGTCCCATCAGAGGCCTCCACTCCCTGCCCCTCCGCACCCCCCGACCCAGGCACGCGCAGCGGGGAGCAGCCTAGCCCAGGCCGTCTCACTACTTTGGTTTTGAAAGGCTACATATTTATTTTAGAATTTCAGCGCCTTCTAACGTACTGTTTTAAGTACCTTTAACCAGCTTATCGGCCTAAAACCGAAACGGTCCTACCCGCGACTACCACTGCTCCACTGACAATACTCTGCTGCTACTTACTTAACGGGGCCCAAGGCTTACAATTCTCGAAAGAATGTTGTTCCCCTTTCCTTTCCCTTCCCGCCTCTGTACTTGACTCTGGTTAAGTATGAAATCAGAAAAGTGCAGAAAACACGGGCAGCTTCCCAGCAATGGTTCGGGGCAAACCAGAGGGGCGAAGAAGGGCTGGAGCTCCCCCGGGCCCCTCGCTCCGGCCCTGGAAGGGCGTCGCGGCCGCAGCAGGGCGTCCCGAAAACCGTCGCCTCCTTGCCCGCCGCCCGAGAAGGTGAAAGGCACGAGATGGAACCTCTCCACCCCTCCCCAGGAACGCAACCTGACGGCGCGACAGAGCGGCAGGGAGGCCTCTCCGGGCTGCTTGCGGGTCGCCGCGGCGCCACAGTCACTGCCGGCCCGAAGGGAAGCGGGCAGGGGCAAGAAGGGGCGGCGGGGGTTCCGCGGGCCCGAGTCTGCAGGCCGGCGCCGAGCGCAGGGAAAACCTGGCTGGGCGGCGCCACAGCCCCCCGAAGGCCGGGTCGGGCCCGACTAGGGCGCCTCCTTACGCGCGGGCGGCGAGCGCGAACCCCCTAGGGTTGCCTGGCGCCGGAGACCCGCAGACAGGACTCACCCAGCTTCCTCAAACGCTCACGCCGACTTCAGGCGCGCGCGCAGAAAGGACACTGCTGCGCCACAGCCCGGCCGCCGTCCACCGGCTCCACCTCAGCCCCGGCAGCCGGGAGCTGGAGGCCGGCGCGAGGCTAGGGCGCCCGTGAGGCGGGGCGAGGCGCCGTGCGCACTGCAGCGACCAATCGGAGCGCAGCAAGTGGCCGGCGGGGGGCGGGGCGGGACGCGAGGGGGCGGGGAGAGAGAGTTGGCTGGGCGCAGCTGGACGCCGGGCGCTGCTCAGCGACCAATCCGCGTGCAGCAAGTGGCCGGCCGGGGGCAGGGCGAGCTCCGAGCGGTGGGGTGGGGAGCGCTGCTCTGCTGGCCTCCCGGAGCCGGGGTCCAGACCCAACTACCTACGGTTGGGGACAGAGTAAGACAGGCGTCTCCTATCTCCTGCGGGTGGGCGGCCGCCGCCGGGTTCCCACTGCTGCGTTTCTGCACGCAGACTTGAAGTGCAGTACCGTGAGATCACGTGCGGACGGAACTCGAGACTCGGGGGACCAGGGTCTCCCTTCGCCTATGGCCGATCAGCCTTGTCTGCCAGCTGCCCAGAGTAGGGAAGGTGCTTCGGGAGGGTTCTCGAAGGGAACGGAGGGTCTTTAGAGATGCCTTTTTCTAATCCCCTCAATTCAGAAATTGAGCCCCAGAAAGTTGAAGTTAGTCAACCAGGGCTACTCAGCGACGGCTGGTTACCCGAGGTGATCCTCACAGTACAACTAGTCTTCTGATTTTGTTCGGCGCTTTCCCGTCTATTCACGCAGATTTTTGTCTTTTTTTTTTTTTTTTTTGTCTTTCTTATAGTCAGATATCTTTTTGTTTGTTTGTTTGTTTTTCTTATAGTCAGGTATCTTTCAGCCTCTTGGATTTTCAACATAACTTTAACAGCCTTTGGAAGCCCCGTCTGAATTTCCTACAGAAATGCGTATAACCATTTAGTTGTTTGGGGAAAAGTTGACCTTTGTTTTTTGGGTGCTTTGTTTGTTTGTTTTGAGACAGGGTCTTGCTGTGTTGTCCAGGCTGGAGTGTAGTGGTGTGATCTTGGCTCACTGCACCCTCTTATCTCCCACGTTCAATCGATCCTTCCACTTCAGCCTTCCCAGTAACTGGGATTACAGGTGCACGCCACCATGCTTGGCTAATTTTTGTATTTTTAGTAGAGACGGGATTTCACCAGGCTGATCTCGAACTCCTGACTTCAGGTGATCCACCCGCCTTCGCCTCCCAAAATGCTGGGGTTACAAGCGTGAGCCACTGTGCCCAGCCAAGTAATTATCAATGGAAATCTAAAAAGCATTTTACTTGAGGTATAATGAAGTTAAAGGTTTTGCATCATGGAATTATCACCAAAAACGCCATCCTGGATAATGTTCTCCTATAGCTCTTATACATGGGCTAGGATCTAGGTGTTCAATAAATATGTGCTGAATAAGTTACTTTTGAAATATGTCACAATGCTGGCATTCCACCAGAAGAGAGGATACAGAAGGGAACACTCTCCTCTCTTTAAGAACCTTTTGAAAGGGGCGGGGGTTGCATGTACCATTTTTGTTTTCATTCTGCTACTAAAATAGTCACTTGACTACACCAAATTGCGAAGAAGCCTGGAAAATGGGGTTTCAGTACTAAGGAAGGAAAACTAGATATTAGGGGACAATTAGAAGTCTCCAAATCTCATCACTTATTTTGGGGGGGGTGGGGGAGGCATCCCAAAGGGCAGACTGGTTTATTAGGCAGCCTGGGCAACAGAGTGAGACTCTGTCTCAAAAAAAAAAAAAAAAAGAAAGATATTGGAATTAAGTTGCTGATGTCAACATTTCACTGTCAAGTCTTTAGTAGAATTGTAAATCAGCCTTTAAAATATACCACACATGGCCCGGCGCGGTGGCTCAAGCCTGTAATCCCAGCACTTTGGGAGGCCGAGGGGGCGGATTACAAGGTCAGGCGTTCAAGACCAGCCTGGCCAACATGGTGAAACCCCGTCTCTACTAAAAATACAAAAATTAGCCAGGTGTGGTGGCGCTCACCTCTAATCCCAGCTACTCAGGAGGCTGAGGCAGGAGAATTGCTTGAACCCAGGAGTCAGAGGTTGCAGTGAGCCGAGATCACACCACTGCACTCCAGCCTGGGCGACAGAGTGAGACTCTGTCTCAAAAAAAACAAAAACAAAAAACCACAATTTTCTGCTTCAGTTCCACCATGTAGCTACTGAAGCATATGTTTTGTTACATTCCTGTTACCTAAGCACTTCAGAGAGGCTCTCCTAGATTCTGGAGACATTGTGACTTCAGGACCATTTTCAGGTTTGGGCCAGGACAGGTTCTGAAAGATCTACTTCACCTAAAACTGGACAGAAAATGCAGTCCAGTTGGTACAAGTCTATTAAGAGAAAGGAACAATTCAGGCTGTCCTTCACGCTATGCCCCATGGGTTCTAGTTTGTTCTCTCTCAGGGCTGCTTCATGAACTTCTGATAGAGTGGTATTCACTTCCATCTTTTGAGTGTACAAGCCAAATGTGTACCATGGGAATTATCTGAAAGGCTAAAACATGTTGCATAAACAGGTACTTCCCAAAATATTCTCTTTCTCCATATGCTTATGTGGTTATAAAGCAAAAAGACTTCATCTGAATAAGTCTTAGGCAGCTATTAGAACGGTTGTATTTTGATAAAGATGTCTTAAGACTAAGGTCATACTTCCTGTGGGTCTGAAATGGACTCTCTCCTGAAAGGATGGCTACTCAGTGTCAGTCATTTAGGAGAAAAGGTTGATCTTTAGATGGAAAACAAAAAACTAAGGCCTGGAAGATAATTTGACTCCAGCAGAAGAGGAAACACTTCTTTCCACATCTAGGCCCTGAAGACAGTGGATACATTTGTCAGTTGGTCTCTTTCAGTTATAAGTAACAGAAGAAAAATCTCAAACTGGCTTAAATAATGAGGAGGATTCTGTGGCTCATGGAACTGGAGGATCAGCGTTACCATGGTGTTATGGTCTGAGTGATTATGTCTCCTCAAAACTCTTACATTGGGGTACTATATTAGTTCATTTTCACACTGCTGTAAAAACATTACCTGAGCTGGGCACAGTGGCTCACGCCTGTAATCCCAACACTTTGGGAGGACGACAAGGGCGGATTACGACGTCAGGAGTTCGAGACCACCCTGGCCAACATGGTAAAACTGTCTCCACTAAAAATAAAAAATTGGCTGGGTGTGGTGGCAGGCACCTGTATAGTCCCAGCTACTCAGGAAGCTGAGGCAGGAGAATCGCTTGAACCCGGGGGACACAGGAAGTTGCAATGAGCCAATATCGCGCCACTGTACTCCAGTCTGGAAGATTTGTTTTTCGGTTTTTTTTTTGAGACAGGGTCTTACTCTTGCCCATGCTGGAGTGCAGTGGTGTAATCAGGGCTCACTACAGCCTTGGCCTCCTGGGCTCAAGCGATCCTCCCACCTCAGGCTCCCAGGTAGCTAGGACTACAGGAATGTGCTACCACACCTGGCTTTTTTCTTTTTCTTTTTTTTTTGGTAGAGACAGAGTTTCACCATGTTTCCTGGACTGGTCTCAAACTCCTGGGCTCAAGCAATCCTCCTGCCTTGGTCTCTCAAAATGTTGGGATTACAGGCATGAACCACTGTGCCTGGCCAATCAAAAAGATTAAAAAAAAAAATGCATTTAGCATTTAGGGCTGGGTGTGGTGTCTCACGCCTGTAATTCCAGCACTTTGGGAGGCTGAGGCGGGTGGATCACCTGAGGTCAGGAGCTCGAGACCAGCCTGACCAACATGGAGAAACCCCATCTCTACTAAAAATACAAAATTAGCCGGGCGTGGTGGCGCATGCCTGTAATCCCAGCTACTTGGGAGGCTGGGGCAGGGGAATCTCTTGAACCCAGGAGGCAGAGGTTGTGGTGAGCCAAGATTGCACCATTGCACTCCAGCCTGGGCAACAAGAGAAAAACTCTGTCACAAAAAAAAATTAGGTGCCTAGCCCAAAATATTATTACCATTATAACAAAGGACCATTGAATAATCATTATAATAACTTTATTAACATAGACAACATTTACAAACATAAAGTGCACTGTGCTGAAATTAAAAATGTACTGACATTTTCTGGTAACCTTACCTTCTCATTGACCAGTATGGAAAATGGTTTTGTTCATCTACGTTGCTGTAATGCAGTTAAGCCTCTTACATCTAATTTCTACTTTTTTTTTTTGAGATGGAGTCTTGCTGTGTCACCCAGGCTGGAGTGCAGTGGCGCGATCTCGGCTCACTGCCAGCTCCACCTCTTGGGTTCACACCATTCTGCTAGCCTCCCCAGCATCTGGGACTACAGGCGCACGCCGCCACACCTGGCTAATTTTTTTTTGTATTTTTAGTAGAGACGGGTTTCACTGTGTTAGCCAGGATGGTCTTGAGCTCCTGACCTCATGATCTGCCCGCCTCGGCCTCCCAAACTGCTGGGATTACAGGCATGAGCTACTGCGCCCGGCCTCTAATTCCCACTTTTAACAAAAGTCACAAAACTACTGCCTTCTAAAATGTTTTTGGAACTATAGCTCTTATTAAGCAACATTCCATACTGTTCACAATTTTATTTACAGTGATGCTATCATTGTAGAAGTCAAATGACAACTCATTCAATAAAATAATCACATATTATGCCAATTAATGCTGCAGCATCTAAGCTAAAGGCCCAAAATTTCTTTTTTTTTTTTTTTTTTTTGTTGAGACAGAGTCTCGCTTTGTCGCCCAGGCTGGAGTGCAGTGGCCGGATCTCAGCTCACTGCAAGCTCCGCCTCCCGAGTTCACACCATTCTCCTGCCTCAGCCTCCCGAGCAGCTGGGACTACAGGCACCTGCCACCTCGCCCGGCTAGTTTTTTGTATTTTTTAGTAGAGACGGGGTTTCACCGTGTTAGCCAGGATGGTCTCAATCTCCTGACCTCATGATATGCCTGCCTGGGCCTCCCAAAGTGCTGGGATTACAGGCGTGAGCCACTGTGCCCGGCCCTTTGAAGGTGTAGTTTTGTTTGTTGTTTTAACTATCACACATTGTACAAAATAACACGTGCTTCCAAAATGCAGGTTATGAGTACCTCACTTCTGAACCACTTCTGTAACACAGGACTCTGGATTAAAGAAGGAAACACACCGGCCTCTTTGACCACACTTCACATTCTTCTAGTTGCCAATTCTGTGTGACAAAAGCAATTATCCAAACCTAAAACGTCAGATTTTCTGAAAGCAGATGAGACACAACTATCTCATTAGTATTAACCTCATCATTTGCCAAAGATGCAGATGCAGGAAATTCAGACATCTCGTCTTTTGTTTATCAAAGGGTCACTAAGACAGGAAATTTGGTCCATGAGGCAATTAAGTTAGAATCGTCATATGGCTACAAAGCCACTGGGAAGTCTGATTCAAGACATAGGGAGGTTTAGGGTAGATTTTATGGAAATCTAACATTTCAATCTCTGATAAAAGATGAAGCTAGAAGTGAAATTTTACATTGCCACTGAGCCCACGGATTTTTATCACCTCCTGAAAGGTGAGAAATACACTCACACTTTTTAAAAAGTGAACACTGTGGAGAAACCCCGTCACTCCTAAAAATACAAAATTAGCTGGGCATGGTGGCACATGCTTATAATCCCAGCTACTGGGGAGGTTGAGGCAGAAGAATCGCTTGAACCCAGGAGGCAGAGGTTGCAGTGAGCCGAGATTGTGCTATTGCACTCCAGCTCAGGCAATGAGAGTGAAACTCCATTTCAAAAAAAAAAAAGTGGACACTGTACTGGCATGGTGGCTCACGCCTGTAATCCTGGTACTTTGGGAGGCTAAGGCGGGTGGATCACCTGAGGTCAGGAGTTCGAGACCAGCCTGGCCAAAATGGTGAAACCCCATCTCTACTAAAAAAAATATAAAAATTAGCTGGTGGCAGGCACCTCTAATCTCAGCTACTTAGGAGGCTGAGGTAGGAGAATCACTTGAACCCAGGAGGCAGAGGTTGCAGTGAGCCAAGATTGCACTATTGCAATCCAGCCTGGGCAACAAGAGTGAAACTCCATCTCAAAAAAAAAAAGAAAAAAAGTGGACACTGGAGTTTATTTCTAGAATTGCTAAATCAACTAGCTTCACTGATTTCTGCTGCCAATAAACCATCAAGTTAGACAGGAAAAAGTAGAATCTGCATGGTTGGTATGTTTTTCATTCAGTACCCACAGAGAAGGCCCTCATAAAAAGAAAGTGCAGTAATTCCAGTAGGCTAATTTCCACCCATATGGAGAGTGTCGCAAAAGTCTTGGAACAGTTTTGAGCCTTAATAAGCTCAGGGGTATAAATCCAGCAAACGTGTTTAAAAAAATCATCTGGAGGTTTAATTGGTTAAATTTCATTACACTTAAGTTTTGTGACTTTTGATAACATATTTTTCGGTTTCCCTGTTGTTAAGTACCTATGTTTGAAAATGGCAACAGTGACTGCTTTTAAGTTAGTTATTACAGCTCAAAACTGCACTAAAACTTTTGGAATTCGTGTATGATTCCTAAGAAACCTGATCCTAGCTCTTTTCACTAGATGACTGACACTTTAACACTGGAATGAACTAAATTATTTTCTTTAGTAGGTTATTTTATTTTCTTGCTATATCCTCAGGACAAACCTGATCGGTGTCTCACTCACACATCATTGGGTATGTGATTAGTTTTGTGAAAAGTACAATGGCACAGTTCTTAATATAGCAATAAATCTCATTTTCCATGTTAAGTGTCAGTGGAACTAAGAATGATTTATGATAGTAAACATCAAAATGATCGTATTTTAATAAATTTCCACAGATTCATCCACTTTAAAAAACCTTTCTTGATTTCAGGTGTTTTCTCTCTTTCTCCTTGATCAAGGTTATTTGGGTTTCCATCTGTGACTTCTTTTGTTTTTATAAAGGTCTCATATATTTTCTGGGCTCTGACGATTTCTTTCTGAGCATCAAAATGGACTTTTTGCCTAGTCAGGATGGGAACAATTAAATTAAAATCATTAATTCGCTTGTTTAATTTTCTGATGTTTTCTTGAAACTGCTCACAAACATGTTTCCACTGTTTCTGTTCAGTTGGTGTCATTGGATTCCCAAGTTTTTTCCTAGACACTAAAATTGCCTCTCTGAGTTGCTCAATAGTATCGCTGATTTCCTTTTGCATAAGGATCCATTCTGGTTGGTATCCGTTATCGATCAGTATTCGGTTCAGGTTGTGAGTCATGGGATCGATGTAAGAACAGTCAGAAAACTTTTTCAGAGGTTTTCCTTTCCCACTGAGATTGTCAAAGTCTCCTTTTGCCATGGATTCTTGAATGAGGTCCTCCACTAAACGCTCTATAGCCTGAGTTATCTTTTGCTGTTTGCTCTGTTTTATATTTTTAACAGTTATACTATCAGGAAAATACTGGCTTTGTAGTTTCTGCTTTTGATATTCCATCACTTGTTCAGTAGCACGGTCTGCCCTAAATTGCCTATATTGCTTCTCTCGTTGAGTTGGAGTCCCAAAACCAATACCTTCAAAACTTAAATAATGCCGGTGTTGGGGTGTTTTATATTTGAATTTTTCTACATCTTCTTCTTCTTCTTCTTCACATTTATTCTGACTCGCATTTGCTTGTTCTATCACATGGGAGAGCACCTTTCTATAAGCTTTTTCAATCCTTATAAATGTTGCAGAATCAGCCGTATTAGAGCCACCGTCAGGATGATATTGCTTGGCAAGCTTATGAAAAGATTCCCTGACTTCATCTGCAGAGCAGCCTTCTTCCACGTTCAGCAGCCTATAATATTCTCTGATCTTCTTTTTGGATTTATGGGTTGACATCATTCTATTTCTAATGATACCAATATATGGAAGCATTTTCACTCGATTAGGAATCACTGTAGCCTTTATCAGGTGAGATCTTAAGATCTGAGCCATCATCATGTACGTTGTATTCATTATTGTACCCAGAGTTCTTCCTAGCAATGATCTATAAAACGACAACAAATATAGGTTGAACAAAGTTGTATTATCAGTTAATTTCTTATTTTCAACAATAAGGTATAAGATACGGCATGAATTTACAAGTACAACAAGGGGCAGTTCTTTTGAATGCTGCTGTCAACATTTTCCTTTTTTTTCCCCCTTTTTTTTCCTTTTGAGACAGTCTCTCTGTCTCCCAGGCTGGAGTGCAGTGGTGCCTCCGCCTCCAGGGTTCAAGCGCAACCTCCACCTCCAGAGCCACGCCCAGCTAATTTTTTTGTATTTTTAGTAGAGAAGGGTTTTCACCATGTTGGCCAGGCTGCTCTGGATATCCTGACATGGTGATCCACCCGCTTGGCCTCCCAGAGATTACCGGCATGAGCCATCGCGCCTAGTTTTTTTTTTTTTTTTTTTTTGAGACAGGGTCTTGCTCTGTTGCCTGTGCTGGAGTGCAGTGGCACAATCATGGCTCACTGCAGCATCAACCTCCTGGGCTGAAACGATCCTCCCACCTCTACCTCTCATGTTGCTGGGACTACAGGCGTGCACCACCACACCTGGCTAATTTCTGTATTTTTGTAGGGATGGGGTTTCGTCACGTTGCCCATCCTGGTTTCCAACTCCTGAGCTCAAACGATCTGCCAGCCTCTGCCTACCAAAGTGCTGGGATTATGGAGGTGAGCCACTGTGCCCGGCCACATTCTTTTTTTTCTTTTTTTTTTTGAGACAGAGTCTTGTTCTGTCGCCCAGGCTGGAGTGCAGTGGCCGGATCTCAGCTCACTGCAAGCTCCACCTCCCGGGTTTACGCCATTCTCCTGCCTCAGCCTCCCTAGTAGCTGGGACTACAGGCGCCCGCCACCTCGCCCGGCTAGTTTTTTGTATTGTTTTAGTAGAGACGGGGTTTCACCGTGTTAGCCAGGATGGTCTCGATCTCCTGACCTCGTGATCCGCCCGTCTCGGCCTCCCAAAGTGCTGGGATTACAGGCTTGAGCCACCGCGCCCGGCCTTCTTTTTTTTTCTTTTTTTGAGACGGAGTCTCACTCTGTTGCCCAGGCTGGAGTGCAATGGCACGATCTCGGCTCACTGCAACCTCCGCCTCCCAGGTTCAAGCGATTCTTCGCCTCAGCTCCTGAGTAGCTGGGATTACAGGTGTGCAACACCACCCCTGGGTAATTTTTGTATATTTAGCAGAGATGGGGTTTCACCATATTGGCCAGGCTGGCCTCGAATTCCTGACATAAGGTGATCTGCCTGCCTCAGGCTCCCAAAACGCTGGGATTACAAGCGTGAGCCACCACACCCGGCCTGGCTGCATTCTTTTTTTTTTTTTTTTTTTGAGACGGACGTTCAAGCGATTCTCCTGCCTCAGCCTCCTGAGTAGCTGGGATTACAGGCGCATGCCACCATGCCCGGCTAATTTTTGTATTTTTAGTAGAGACGGGGTTTCACCATGTTGGTCAAGCTGGTCTCGAACTCCCGACCTTGTGATCCTCCCGCCTCGGCTGCCCAAAGTGCTGGGATTACAGGGGTGAGCCACCGCGCCAGGCACCAGCTGCATTGTTATAGCTATATTTCACTGATGTGGACAGAAAAATGGAAGTTGATGAAGTTTAGTGTTAATATATTGTGGGGCCAGGCACGGTGGCACATGCCGGTAATCCCAGTACTTTGGGAGGCCGAGGCGGGCGGATCACCTGAGATCAGGAGTTCGAAATCAGCCTGGTCAACATGGCAAAACCCTGTTTCTACTAAAAATACAAAATTAACTGGGCGCTTGCAGTCCCAACTACTCGGGAGGCTGAGGCAAGAGAATCGCTTGAACCCGGGAGGTGAAGGTTGCAGTGAGCCGAGATCGTGCCACGGCACTCCAGCCTGGGCGACAGAGTAAGACTCCATCTAAAAAAATATATAGATAGATAGATAGACAGACAGATAGATAGATAGATAGATAGATAGACAGACAGATAGATAGATAGATAGACAGACAGATAGATATAATCTGGATTCTACCCCTCACTAACCATATATTTTACTAGCGGAAAATTCTTAGAGATCATCTAATCCAATCTTTTCGTTTAATGACAAAACATAGGTCCGGAAGGTTAAGCAATTTAACCAAGTCCCATAACAAGGTGTAAGCAAAATGGTTAGGGGTGGGCACTGTAAAAAAGGAGGCTTGCTTAACTGTCTATACCTCCAGCCGATTATAAACTGCACCGAGAGTCTGCATCATCTCAAGGAGTCTTCTCATAAGACGACTTATGGACAAGGTAGGTACCTGGTCTGACACTGGATTGAATAGAATCAAGTGTCCAAAAGACTTTAAGCTCCACAGCTCGCTAGGAAGGAGCCATCTGCCAGAGGCCAGAAAAACCACGATGAACTGTGAGGCCTCCCAACACGTTTGCTGCTATTGCAATAACATGGTCTCGAAGAGGAGGAAGACTTGTACACTGACAATGGCCAAAAAACACTGGAAGTGGCTTAATTGAAATTGGGATATGCGCTAAAACGGAGCTCCTGAGACCCCCTATTTTCTAGACAATCGGGGCCAACGGTCTGGGAGCCCGCTGCGAAGGTGGTTATCATGGGAAGGGAGGTCGGTCCTGCCCCGCCCCCTCCTCACCTGCGCAGCCCTTGGGTAGGGGTTCTGCGGCTCCCGCGCCCATGCCGCGTCTCTGTGCATGCGTGCGCGGCCCGCCCGTCACTCCCGGTGTCTGTGCAGCGCGCGGTCTCCAGCTGGTGCCTCCGCCAGGCTAGACCATCTGCCACTTTACCCTGAGGGGCTCAGCGGGTACGGAAGGCAGAATCGTACCTGATTGGGACAGGTGACCTTACCAGGGAAACGGACAATCTTTCGTCAAACGAACTTTACTCCGGAGAACCCATGCAGGGCACCTCAGGAGGCTTCGTCCCGGCCTGGGACGACCAGCTCCGCTTCCGTCCCCGCCCCGAGCGGAGGTGGTCGGCCGATTGGGATTGTGGGAGATGTAGTTTGCTAGAAGGGGCGATGTGCGCCTACGCCTCTCGGGAGGGACTTAGGGAGCGTCGAAAATGATGCAAAGACCGAGTTGGCGGCGTGGGGGAGCTGTGGCTCAGAGGGCGAAGGTAACTTTTTGGGGGCTGGGGAAGGCAAGACTGTTTCCCCGGAACAGGACCTGAACAGGTTTCTTCGGAGTCACAGAAGGAGCCGTGATATATGGGGCTTAAAACCTGCCCTTTTATTAATTCAAGTACTGTTGAGGGGCTGGCGACAGGCCAGAGGACAAAATCAAAATAGGGATCTTCTGGCTTCGAGTTTTCAACCACTGAGGTGGGGACTGAACATTTCCCCTCTCTGTACGGGAAGCAAGTTTTTTAAAAAGGACAAAGAAAAAGGATAAAAAGAAAGGAAAAGGCAGAGGCTTGGGAGGTTTTTGTTTTGTTTTGTTTTGAGACGGAGTCTCACTCTGTCGCCCGGGCTGGAGTGCAGGGGCCCGATCTCAGCTCACTGCAAGCTCCGCCTCCCGGGTTTACGCCATTCTCCTGCCTCAGCCTCCCGAGTAGCTGGGACTACAGGCGCCACCACCACGCCCGGCTAGTTTTTTGTATTTTTTAGTAGAGACAGGGTTTCACCGTGTTAGCCAGGATGGTCTCGATCTCCTGACCTCGTGATCCGCCCGTCTCGACCTCCCAGAGTGCTGGGATTACAGGCGTGAGCCACCGCGCCCGGCCTGAGGCTTGGGAGTTTTCAGATCTGGGTTGAAAATCTTGTTTCTTCTGCTTGCACCTTAGGCAAGATACCTGCAAAATGAGAGTTGCAATAAATAGTAAACTATAGTAAATGGTATGGCATTGTGCTAAGTGCTTTATGTATATTCTCATTTCCTTTTTTTTTTTTTTTTTTTGAGACAGTCTTGCTCTGTCTCCCAGGCTGGACTGTGGTGGTGCGATCTCGGCTCACTGCGACCTGGACCTCCCGGGTTTAAGCGATTCTCCTGCCTCAGCCTCCCAAGTAGCTGGGATTACTTTCACAACCATGCCCGGCTAATTTTTTTGTATTTTTAGCGGAGACCAGGTTTCACCATTTGGCCAGGCTGGTCTCGAACTCCTGAGCTAAGGTGATCCGCCTGCCTCGGCCTTTCAAAGTGCTGGAATTACAGGCATTCATTTAATCTTTACAACAGCCCTCTAAGATAAATGCTGTTATTTTCCCTATTTTACATATAATGAAATAATAATTGTATCAAGTTCATTGACTTTTTTAGGGGGAGAAATTACACAATGTATGTAAACCACTTGGCACTGTGCCTCTCACATTAAGCAATATTTTTTGTTATGACTGTGTCTCCTAAAAGGAGCCAGGAATAGGTATTAGCCTTCTCAGCTTCCGCATCATAAACATTATAATCATTTATTGCCATCTATGTAGGAGCACAGAAAAAGATACAGTATAAACTCTGATTCAGAGGGCTTTAGTTATAAGAAAACAATCAACAAAATACCTCATGTGAAAGAAAATAGGATTTCTGGCTGGGCGCGGTGGCTCACACCTGTAATCCCAGCACTTTGGGAGGCCGAGACAGCGGATCACAAGGTCAGGATATCGAGACCATCCTGGCTAACACGGTGAAACCCCGTCTCTATTAAAAATACAAAAAATTAGCTGGGCGTGGCGCCGAGCGCCTGTAGTCCCAGCTACTCGGGAGGCTGAGGCAGGAGAATGGCGTAAACCCGGGAGGCGGAGCTTGCAGTGAGCCGAGATTGTGCCACTGCACTCCAGCCTGGGCGACAGAGCGAGACTCTGTCAAAAAAAAAAAAAAAAAAAAAAAAAAGCAGGATTTCTGTACAAGTTAACTCTTCTAGGCAGCATCTTAAACAGCATAAAATAAAAACAGGCCAGGTGAAGTGGCTCATGCTTGTACTCCCAGTGTGGACAACATAGTGAGACTCCATCTGTACAAAACTTTTAAGAAGATTAGCCAGGTGTGATGGTGTCTGCCTGTAATCCCAGCTACACAGGAGGCTGAGGTGGGAGGATCACTTGAGCCCAGGAGTTGGAGGCTGCAGTGAGCCATGGTTGTACCATTGCTCTCCAAACTAAGCAACAGAGTGAGACCTGGCCACTAAAAAATTTTTAACAAGAAAAATAAGGCCAGGCACAGTGGCTCATGCCTGTAGTCTCAGCACTTTGGGAGGCTGAGGCAGGCGGATCACCTGAGGTCGGGAGTTTGAGACCAGCCTCACCAACATGGAGAAACCCCGTCTCTCTAAAAATACAAAAAATTAGCTGGGCATGGTGGCACATGCCTGTAACCCCAGGTACTCGGGAGGCTGAGGCAGGAGAATCGCTTGAACCCAGGAGGCGTAGGTTGCAGTGAGCCGAGATCGCGCCACTGCACTTCAGCCTGGGTGACAGTGAGACTCCATCTCAAAAAAAAACAAAAAAAAAGAATGACATGGTTCGGTAGATACAGCCACGGAAAGGTAGTCACTATGTTTTGTGAATAAATAGGTATTGCTAAACTATGTTCAAGAAGCGATGGACCAATTTGCACCACCAACATATTTGGGAATGTCTGTTACTCCACACTCTTGGGAACACACAGTAGTCTCTTTTTAATCTTTGCAGTCTAATAGGTGTATATCAACACACACACTTAAGATTCCTTTATTGTAATTATTGGCTGGGTGCGGTGGCTTACACCTGTAATCTCAGCACTTTGGGAGGCCGAGGCGGGCAGATCACCTGAGGTCAGGAGTTCGAGACCAGCCTGGCCAACATGGTGAAACCCCATCTCTACTAAAAAGACAAAAATTAGCCGGGTGTGGTGGTGGGCACCTGTAATCTCAGCTACTTGGGAGGCTGAAGCAGGAGGATCATTTGAACCCAGGAGGCAGAGGTTGCAGTGAGCTGAGATCACTCCATCGCACTCCAGCCGGGATAACAAGAGCAAGACTCCGTCTCACAAAAAAAAAAAAAAAAAAAAGATTTCTTTATTGTAATTACTAAGGTAGTAAGGAATTACTGCTCTCCATCCTTCTAGTCCACAAAGCTGGTGGGATAAACACTGGTTATTTTGATGATGCATTTGCACAAGGAGGTGGGTAAATCAAGATAGTGTTCACACAGCTGTCTCCCTCCAGATGACTTGGTCACTTCTCCACTCTTTGGGCTGAATTGTGCCCCCCATATTGAAGCCCTAACCCCCAGTACTTTAGAATGTGACCGCGTTTGGAGATGTTATTTAAAGAGGTGATTAAGTTAAAATGAGGCTGTTAAGGTGGGTGATAATCCAATCTGACTGGCGTCCTTATAAAAGGAGGAAATTTGGCTGCAGAGAGACACCAGGGTTGTGCACACACGGAGCAAAGTCCCTGTGAGGACACAGGGAGAAGGCAGCCATCTGCCTGCCAAGGAGAGGCCTCAGGAGAAACCCACCCTGCAGACACCTTGATCTTGGACTTCCAGTCTCCAGGACTATGGGAGAATAATGGTCTCCTGTTGTTGAAGCCCCAGTCTGTGGTGCTTTGTCACATCAGCCCCACCAAACCAACACAGCAGGTATCTTTGATCCTTATACGTCCCTTCAGTAGGTCCCAGGGATTTGTGTTACCCAAACTGTTTCCTCCCAGATGGAAAACTGAAAGCAGGCAGAAGCTTTCCCCCTCATTTTCCTCTTGCTGAATACACCCTGCCCCGAAGGACGAGCTCTGGGCTGCTGCCTCCTGCTTTCCTCTTTCGGAGTCATTCTGCCACCGTGGAGATTTGGATTTGGGTGAGCTGTGCTGGGGGTGGGATGTGGGGCAGAGCCTCCTCATCCGAAGAAAGACAGGAATTTCTGATTCTGGGATTTCGGGTGTGCTGAAGGGTGCTTGTGCAGATGGCACGGACTCTTCTCTCTTCTTGCTGTAGTTGGCCTCTAAGAGAAACGCACCAGAAGCTCGTTCTCTGCTCTTTGAGACAGGCTTCTTCAAGCTTCGTGGCGTCTCTCTCTCTTCTGGGTCCCCCTACTGCACAGCCTACTCATACCCAGTGTCCTTGGCAGGCTCCGCCCTTCTCACGCGATTGGTGCTCTCAGATTCCATGCCTCTACGTTATGTTCATGATCTACTCTCTCTTGCCAACGCCAATGCCTAAACCTCCTCCTCGAAGCTAATGATTGACCCCGGAGTGGTGTCACAGTGTTGAATACAGGAATCCCTCAAGGTGTACAAGGAAGTCCCACCTCCCCTCTGAGCATCATCCCTCCCTCATTTTGCAAAAGAAAGGCACACCTCTCACTTACCCCAGACTGTTAACACCTTCCAGGCAGCAAAGGCGCAATTGAAAAGGTTGATTTACTGTGGGTGCTGAAGAAGGGAAATTAATCCTTTACAGATTGGATGGTTTGGCCAGGTGTAATGGTTCACACCTGTAATTTCAGAACTTTGGGAGGTTAAAGGGGGAGGATTGCTTGAGTTTAGGAGTTGGAGAGCAGCCTGGACAACACAGTGAGACCCTAACTCTATAAAATACAAAAATTAGCCAGGCATGGTGGCACGAGCCTGTAGTCCCAGCTACTCAGGAGGCCGAGGTGGGGGTTGCAGTGAGCCAAGATCGCGTCACTGCACTAAAGCCTGGGCAACAGAGTGAGACTCCCTCTCAAAAAAAATTGCATGGTTTCCAATAATTGGTTTTCAACAAAAGTAAAGGAGGATCTAATAGACTCCTCAACTGAATATTTCATTTAAAATGATTTTCAATGGTATATTTTCCTGGTGCATGTAATTGAAGCTTTCAAGGAGTTGAGTGATACTGTTATAACAACTATTTTTTTTTTTCCTGTGACTTTCTGGAGTTTGGTGATGTAGGAAATTTAAAATGCTGTTTGGGGCCAGGCGCAGTGGCTCACACCTGTAATCTCAGCACTTTGGGAGGTTGAAGTGGGCGGATCACCTGAGGTCAGGAGTTCGAGACCAGCCTGGCCAACATGGTGAAACCCTGTCTCTACTGAAAATATAAAAATATAAAAATTAGCTGGGAGGCCGGGCACGGTGGCTCATGCTTGTAATCCCAGCACTTTGGGAGGACAAGGCGGGCGGATCACATGAGGTCGGGAGTTCGAGACCAGCCTGACCAACGTGGAGAAACCCCATCTCTACTAAAAATACAAAAATTAGTTGGGTGTGGTGGTGCGTGCCTGTAATCCCAGCTACTTGGGAGGCTGAGGCAGAGAACTGCTTGAACCCAGGAGGCAGAGGTTGCAGTGAGCTGAGATGGCACCACTGCACTCCAGCCTTGGTGACAGAGTGAGACTGCCTCAAAAAAAAAAAATTATTGTTGAGGTTTCAGTGTCCATAGATATTTCAATTCATGAAACTTTCGTTTTATAAAGCAAAATCAACTTGTAATATTAAAATCTTCACATCTTTATTGCAATGCTCAGAATACAGGTGGGCTTAGGAGTTAGCTTCTTAAATAAGGTTACACATGAGGACGAGGCAGGTGGATCACCTGAGGTCAGGAGTTGGAGACCAGCCAGGCCAACATGGTGAAACACTGTCTCTACTAAAAATACAAAAATCAGCCAGGAGTGGTGGCCCTTGCCCGTAATCCCAGCTACTCTGGAAGCTGAGGCAGGAGAACCACTTGAACCCAGAAGGCGGAGGTTGCATTGAGCTGGGATCGCACCACTGCACTCCAGCCTGAGTGACTGAAGTGGGGTTCACTATGTTGGCCAGGATGGTCTTGATCTCATGACCTGGTGATCTGCCTGCCTCGGCCTCCCAAAGTGCTGGGATTACAGGCGTAAGCCACCAAGGCCAGCTAGTCTTTCTTTTTTTTGAGAAAATGTCTCACTCAGGCTGGAGTACAGTTGTGCGATCACAGCTCACTGAAGCTTCGACCTCCTGAGTTCAAGGAATCCTCCTACCTCAGCCTTCCAAGTAGCTGGGACTACAGGTGTGTGCCACCATGCCCAATTTTTCTATTTTATTTGTAGTGATGGGGGTCTCACTATGTTGTCTAGGCTGGTCTTGAACTCCAGGGTTCAACTGATCCTCCTCCCTGGGCCCTCCAAAGTGCTGGGATTACAGGTGTGAGCCACCATGCCTGGCCACATGTGGTCATTTATGACTGAATTCTTTCACTTAGCATAATGTTTCAAGGTTCACCCACACTGTAGCATGTGTTAGTATTTCATTCCTTTTTATAATTGAATAGCGTTCAATGTATGGATATATCTATGGATATAGCTATCCATAATCAGTTCATTTGCTGATGAACATTTGCACTGACTCCACTTATAAATCGGTTTTTAACTGTTAATTAACATTTGGCTCCAGATAAAGGAAAATGATCTAACATTGTGGTAAATGTCAAATTTATATGGCTTGTGAAAGAACGACTGTCAGAGATGGTGTCTTTTAAACAGTGGAGGAGGCAAGTGTATGCATTAGAATTGCTGAAAAACACTTTGGGAGATAAAGACAATTTTGGTTTTAAAAAAGCCAAAAAGGGGCTTTTTCCCAAGGTTTATCTTCCCTACTAGAATCTTCTTCCTACTAACTCAAGGAAAATCCTACAGGGAGTTTTAGATTATAAAGAAAGCTTTTAATGTTGATGTATTAAAAAATCTCCCGCCTGGCTGCTATATACAGCCAAGTTTTGTTTTCTTGGAGACAGGGTCTCACTCTGTTGTTCAGGCTGGAGTGCAGTGGCACGATCACAGCTCACTGCAGCTTCAACTTCCTGGAATCACGTGACCCTCTGACATCAGCCTCCTGAGTAGCTGGGACTATAGGCACAAGCCACCACACCCAGCTAATTTTTGTCATTTTTGTAGAGATAAGGTCTCGACATATTGCCCAGGCTGGTCTTAAACTCCTGGGCTCATGCGATCTTCCCACCTCGGCCTTCCAGAGTGCTGCTGACTTTGTACAGGCGTGAAGCACCACACCCAGCGCAGTCAAACAGCCAAATCTTCTTACAGTCTGAGTCTGGGGGTTTTTATACAACATTACATGAGTTAATGAAGTTTTTTTTTTTTTTTTCCAATTTGTTTTACTTCAATTCTCTCGCTTATAATCCAAAGAATCCTGACAAATACAAAAAACAACTACTATAGGAGGTACTCTTGGGGCCTGCCGATTACCAGTAGAAGAGAGTTTTGTTAGAATCCTTCTTCACTTCTAGCCCCTGCCAACAAATATCCAGAAGGGAGAGTGCAGTAGGAAAAGTTAGGGAACCATCACAGTGATGCAGCTGGAATGCCATATTATCATAGAAAGACACTTAGAGGTCCTAGGGTCAGGTTCAAGTCTGAATTCCACTTAAAAACCAAAGAGGTCAGCCGGGTGCAGTGGCTCACGCCTGTAATCCCAGCACTTTGGGAGGCCAAGGTGGGCAGATCACCTGAGGTTGGGAGTTTGAGACCAGCCTGACCAGCACGGAGAAACCCCATCTCTACTAAATATACACAATTAGCTGGGCGTGGTGGTGCATGCCTGTAATCCCAGCTACTCAGGAGGCTGAGGCAGGAGAATCACTTGAACCAGGGAGGTGGAAGTTACGGTGAGCCGAGATCGTGCCACTGCAATCCAGCCTGGATAATAAGAGTGAAACTCCCGTCTCAAAAAAACAAAAAAAAAACAAAAAAAAAAACAAACCAAAAAAAAACAAAGAGGCTGGGTGTGGTGGCTCACGCTTGTAATCCCAGCACTTTGGGGGCCAAAGCAGGCAGATCAAATGAGGCCAGGAGTTGCAGACTAGCCTGGCCAACATGGTGAAACGCCGTCTCTACTAAAAATACAAAATGAGCCGGGTGTGGCAGTGTACGCCTGTAATCTCAGCTACTCAGGAAGCTGAGGCAGGAGAATCACTTGAACCCGGGAGGCAGAGGTTGCAGTGAGCCGAGATTGTGCCACTGCACCCCAGCCTGGGCGACTGAGCGAGACTGTCTCATCAAAACAACTGTATGAATGACATTTGCCTACTTTAATCGACGAGGGAATAGAGAGAGTGGATGAGAAACATGCCTAGTTTTATGCTTGAATCTAGAAGCCACCAACTCTCCCTCTAATCCTCTAGTGACTTACAGAGAAGTATGGATCTTTATAAACCACAGGATAACTAAACTTTACTGAAGCTAAAATCTGGGGATTACAGAAACTGTCAATAATTAGAGGAACGTTTAATGATACTTCAAAGCATAAAAGATACTATCCTTCGGAAATGGGAGCTATACAGAAATCTTAACACACCAGATTATGATCACGATGATCAGAAAAGTCTCAAATCAGATATACAATATAAGGAAGAGATACTGCCTCGTTAGACTTGGGGAAGAGGTAAGTCACTTGACGCTGATCAGAAGGAGGCTGGGCAAGTTTTACACAGTGGAATTTATTTATTTATTTATTTATTTATTTATTTATTTATTTATTTGAGACAGAGTCTCGCTCTGTCACCCACGCTGGAGTGCAGTGGCCGGATCTCAGCTCACTGCAAGCTCCGCCTCCCGGGTTCACGCCATTCTCCTGCCTCAGCCTCCCGAGTAGCTGGGACTACAGGCACCTGCCACCTCGCCCGGCTAAGTTTTTGTATTTTTAGTAGAGACGGGGTTTCACTGTGTTAGCCAGGATGGTCTCGATCTCCTGACCTTGTGATCCGCCCGTCTCGGCCTCCCAAAGTGCTGGGATTACAGGCTTGAGCCACCGCGCCCGGCCCACAGTGGAATTTATAACCAAGATTATAAACGGAACCCAGGTGATACACTCAGGCTTGTCCTCATGTTTCTTTTCCCCATTTTAACTCAGATACATCCAGCAGTCATGGCTTCAAAAGCATATGATCAAAGATTAGAAAACATATAACTTACTATTTTTTTTGAGACGGAGTCTCACTCTGTTGCCCAGGCTGGAGTGCAGTGGCGTGATCGTGGCTCACTGCAACCTCCACCTCCTGGGTTCAAGCGATTCTCTTGTCTCAGCCACCTGAGTAGCTGGGATTACAGGCGCGTGCCACCACGCCCAGCTAACTATTATTTGTATTTTTAGTAGAGATGAGGTTTCACTGTGTTAGCCAGGATGGTCTCGATCACCTGACCTTGTGGTCCGCCTGCCTCGGCCTCCCAAAGTGCTGGGATTACAGGCGTGAGCCACCGTGCCCGGCCGAAAACACATAACTTACAAAAATGGAGGTGATTCCTCATGTTGTCAGACAATACCAGCAACAACAACAACAACAACAAAGAGGTGGCGACGGTCAGAAAAAGAGCATAAAAAAGACCAAGATACCTATATGTCTCAGATATGCTACACTAACCAGTCTTGTTTTTAATGTCTCTATTTATTAAAAAATAGCAGATGAAGTAAGGGTGAGGTCTTTTTTGTCTTTTAGCAGTTTTTCTTTTGGGCCAAGTTCATGATAAAAAACCACCATGCAAACAGCAAATAATTCTTTCAAAACTGGCCCCATTTCTGAATTAGAAGGCTTCATTCCTCTTTAACCCAACAGATCTTGCCATTTTCTCCAAGCTGTACAGTTCCACTGGCCACCAACTGGAGGGCTGCAGGAAATGTTTTATGTTCTGCTACTTTTACTCTTTCAGAAAGAGTTGCAACAGTATCACCCCTCTTCACGGGAACAGCTTCTTGCAAAATAATTTGTCCAGCATCTACATCTTCCTGGAAAAGTAAGCAAAAGTTTTGAACATTACCTTCTAGCCAGTGTAATTTACATCTGACTACTAATATTATGTTGGTAGAAAAAGACATACTCACAGCTACAAAGTGTACAGTACACCCAGTAACTGTGACTCCGGTTTCCAGGGCTTGCTCATGGGCATTCGAACCCTTAAAAGAAGGGAGCAAGGATGGGTGGATATTGAGCATTTTTCCTAAAAATTAAAAAAAGCATAGCGGTCAGAATTTAAAAATCCTGGGTATTCTGTTAAAGGAATATGTTTTTCTATCTAGATCTGAAGTCAAACAGGAGTTGGATTCTGGGATGGATGTTTTCTTTGCCAAACACAGAAATGAGGTAAAAGGAAGTCAGTTCTCATCCACAAAGGTCCCGGAAGTAGCAAGTACCCGCCTTGCACAGCCAAAGGCATGCTGGGATGCTCTGAACAGACACTCATGGTGACAGGAAGGTGGGGAGTTCAAGCTGATACCAGCTTGTTGCTGGCACATACTATTAAAAAGAAGCAAGAGGTTCTTACATAGTGTCTACGTGCTTGACTTCTAACCACAAAGTGACCTGTCCACCAGACAGATGCTAGATTAGTTCTGTGTGGCTCATGTCACCAAAAGCATTGTTGATTTTATATCACACCACAAGTGCTCTAACTACATTCACCTAAGAATACATAAAGTCTTTGGAGGGAAAATGCATTTATTGTCCAACTGTGTGACCAACTGTGTGCACACATACACAAACAGGATGCAGTCAAGGCTTTTGGGGAGAAGGCAGTAACATAGATAGTATGTGTTTTCTGGCAATAACCTCCTCCTTGCCAACGTCTGGCAATGGTCTATGTTTCCTGAGAGAGGATGGACTCTTCCTTTCGGGACATACGGAATCATTCTCTTTTGCTTCTAAAGAAGTAAAGGAAGGTTCCGAATATTTATTCAGAAGATGAAATATTATCTTTGGAGTAATGTGAAACAAAACTAAGCTACATTAGAAAAAGTGATTAATTACAGCAAGCCAAAGTAAATGGATAGAGAGCAGGTTAATAAATCATCATTGGGTCATTCTTTAGAGTAAAACAAAGGAAATTAAACTGTGACCTGTGTTGAAGTATTAATAAAATATCACAGTCAAACAGGAGTTGGATTTCTGGGAAGGGTGTTCACTACTGGGATTGTCTGGCAAGTTAACTGTTCTGGAGACCATTTTCAATTGATTTCTCAATGTGATATCAAATAATTTTTGCTTACCATTCCACTTTCGGACAAAGGGGCCAGAGAGAATTCTCATGAATCCTGCAAGACAGACTATGTCTATGGAGAACTCTTCAAGGACTAGGTCAATTGCATTGTCAAATTCTACACGATTTTTATACAGTTTATGATTAATTACCTGTAACAGAAAAAGATAAGCACAACCTTTTTCAATGAATTACCAAAAATAATTAAAAACTCAACCTTTACACAGCCCATACTTCACTTCTTTGTAAAGATATACCTGATAGAGAGATTATTAAGAAAGGGACAGGATGAAGGAGAAGGCAAGGCCAGCACCGACCGACAATGGCAGAAGTCCAAAGAATAAGTGCCCCACAGACCAAGGTCCAGTGAGGGCAGATTATGAGCTTAAATATGGCCCACAGGAAAGATATTTTCCCAAGTCACTTACTCTAGTGGGAATACCAGCTCTTTCCGCTTTATCTAACCCAGCTACTGCGGCTTTGTTGGAGATAACAACATCAATTTGTGCAGAGCTATTTGGTTCCCGAGTACTGTCTATAAGTGCTTGCAGGTTCGATCCTGAGAAGGGAGAAAAACAACAGTGAGTTCATACTTTTTTTTGAGACAGAGTCTCACTGTCGCCCAGGCTGGGAGTGCAGTGGCACGATCTTGGTTCACTGCAACCTCTACCTCCTGGGTTCAAGGAATTCTCCTGCCTCAGCCTCCCAAGTAGCTGGAATTACAGGCATGTGCCACCACGCCTGGCTAATTTTTTTATATTTTTAGTAGAGACGGGGTTTCACCATGTTGACCAGACTGGTCTGGAACTCCTGACATTAGGTGATCTGCCCACCTTGGCCTCCCAAAGTATTGGGATTACAGGCGTGAGCCACTGTACCAGGACTCACACTTCTTAAAAAAAGAGATGTGCTGTTTTGAATAGGGGACTGTCAAATTTTCTGAATAAATGTCTTGGAAAAGACTGGTGATATGTGAGGCTTCTAAATTCCCTTTCTCTTGGCATAGGCAACTAAAGTAAATATGGAAAAAGCTTCTGTATAGCAATGGAAACAATCAACAAAGTAAGGGGACAACCCACAGAATGGGAGAAAATATTTGTAAACTATCCATCTGACAAGGGATTAATAACCAGAATATATAAGGAGCTTAAACAATTTATTAGGGAAAAATCTAATACTCTGATTAAACATGGGCAAGAGATCTGAATAGACATTTCTTAAAACACACAAATTGCAAACAGGTATATAAAAAGGTGCTCAACATCATTGATCATCAGAGAAATGCGAACCAAAACTACAACAACGTATTGTCTCACCCCAGTTAAAATGGCTTTTATACAAAAGACAGGCAATAACATGCTGGCGAAGATGTGCAGAAAAGGGAACCATCACACACTACTGGGAATGTAAATTAGTACAATTATCATGGAGAACAGTTTGAAGGGTCCTCAAAAATTAAAAAAAAAAAAAGAGCTACCATATGATCCAGCAATCCCATTGCTAGGTATATACCCAAAAGAAAGAAAATCAGTGTATCAAAGAGATATCTGCAGTTTCATGTTTATTCTCCATAGCCAAGATTTGGAAGCAACCTAAATGTTTATCAGCAGACAAATGGATTAAGAAAATGTGGTACATCACATAATGGAGTACTATTCAGCCATAAAAAAGAATGAGATCCTGTCATTTGCAACAATATGGATGGAACACGAGATCATTAAGTGACATAAGTCAAGCACAGAAAGACAAACCTCACATGTTCTCACTTACTTGTGGGAGCTAAAAATTAAAACAGTTGAACTCATGATGATAGTGCAATGAAGGTTATCAGAGGCTAGGAAGGGTACTGGGAGAGACAGGGAGAGGGGATGCTAATGGGTACAAAAATATAGTTAGAACGAACAAAATCTAGTGTTTGGTAGCATAACAGGGTGACTATAGTCAACAATAATATATTACACATTTAAAAATAACTGAAAGAGGCTGGGCGCGGTGGCTCACGCCTATAATCCCAGGACTTTGGGAGGCCAAGGCAGGTGGATCACCCTGAGGTCAGGAGTTCGAGACTAGCCTGACCAGCCTGGCCAACATGACGAAACCCCATCCCTACTAAAAACACAAAAAATGAGCCCGGCATGGTAGCAGGCACCTGTAATCCCAGCTACTCAGGAGGCTGAGGCAGAAGAATCGTTTGAAACTGGGAGGCAGTGTTTGCAGTGAGCCAAGATTGTGCCACTGCACTCTAGCCTGGGCGACAGAGTGAGATTCTATCTCAAAAAACCAAACAAACAAACAAACAACACACTGAAATAATATAACTGGATTGTTTGTAACACAAAGAAAGAATAAATGCTTGAGGTGATGAATACCGGGACGTGATTATTACAGGTTGTATGGCTGTATCAAAAGATCTCATGTACCCCATAAATATATATACCTACCATGAACCCATAAAAATTAAAAATTAAAAAAATTCCCTTCCTCTTGGGATAATGGATTAATAGATTGTGAAAAGCACGGATATTCCTGGATGGCCTCCAGTTCCATCCATATTGCTGCAGATGATGTGGTTTAGGATATGTAATTGCTCCTACAAATATTGTATCTTATGATCTAGCATTGTAGTAGAAACAGTATAACATTATGTCAAAACTGACTGATGAGAAATAAGCTGCTTAATTAAGCAAGAAAAATTGACCCTCTCAAGAACCACTATGCTATGACCATTACAATAGTTTCTTTAAAAAAATTATTTTTACATTTAGATTCAGGGGTACACACGCTTGTTTAGTACATGGGAATATTGTATAATGGTGGGGATTGGGCTTCTAGTGTACCTATTACCTAAATAGTGAACATTATACTTGATAGAAAAATTTTCAACCCTCACCCCTTCTCCTACACTTCCCTGTTTTGTCTACTGTTTCCATCTTTTTCTTTTTTCTTTTTCTTTTTTTTTTTGAGATGGAGTCTTGCTCTGTCGCCAGGCTGGAGTACAGTGGTGCGATCTTGGCTCACTGCAACCTCCGTCTCCCGGGTTCAAGCGATTCTCCTGTCTCAGCCTCCAGAGTAACTGGGACTACAGGCGTGCGCCAGCACGCCCAGCTAATTTTTGTATTTTTAGTGGAGACAGGGTTTCACCATGTTGGCCAGGATGGTCTAGATCTCTTGACCTCATTATCTGCCTGCCTCAGCCTCCCAAAGTGCTAGGATTACAGGCATGAGCCACAGCGCCCGGCCCTATTGTTTCCATCTTTATGTCCACATGTACCCACTGTTTAGCTCCTACTCGTGAGAACATGCAACATCTGGTTTTCTGTTTCTGAGGCAGTTCACTCAGGATAACGGCCTCCAGTTCCATCCATATTGCCGCAAATGATGTGGTTTTATTCTTTTTTATGGCTGCACCTTACAATAGTTTCTTTGCTTTATTATCAACTTGGGCCTAAAATACATTAAAACCTTAAGATCGACTTGTAAAGCAATTAAACTTCTGGGAATGAATCCTGAAGAAATATCAGAGCTGGGTGTGGTGCTGCATGCCTGCAGTCCCAGCTACTCGGCGAGCTAATAAGGTGGAAGGATTGCTTGAGGCCACAGCTGGAAGCTGCAGTGTACTATGATTGCATCTGTGAATAGCTACTGTACTCTAGCCTGGGCAACATAGCAAGACTGTCTCAAAAAGAATCATGATGATCTTGGCCATCAAATAAAAAAAAAATCAGATATGCATTTAAGAACATACTGAATATTTGCAAGAATGTTCATAGCAATGTTACTTACAATAGAGGGAAAAAAATCAGGCTACATCCATCTGAGAGAATACAATACTCATTACTTTACCCCTTTATCCATAAAGGTCAAACATAAACAACTTCTTAATAATATAACAATAAAAATTCCTCAACTGTTTTCAGACTTTTCAACAACAAAGCTATGATACAAAATGAGCTGGAACTTCAATCTTTTCTGGTTTCTCTTTAACCGGCTTTCTGAAATCCTCTACTTTTTTCTTTGGGAGCGGTCTCAAATTCCTAAGAAAAGTGGAAAGCCTAAGAATGCTGAAAAGACATAGACAACCCTCATGATTCCCTGCAGTCCCTAGACTCTGCCTAGAGTATCCTTACAATCTCAAAAAGTGCAGGGAGGAAAGGAAGGGCAGTCAACAGCTCTACAGTGAAAAGGAAGCCATATCTCACCTGTTCCAGATATTAAGACAGCCACTCTGGCCTTTTTTTTTTCAAAAGAGAAATGATTTTTCAGGGAGCCATTCTTCAACACTGACCCATTTATTTGCATGCTTTCAATCAGATTCTTGACTTTCACACGTGGAGAACCTTCATTCCAAACATATTCATAAATAAGTAAAGAACAATTGTGAATTAACAGGAATAATGGAAAGAAAAATATTTTATGAAAACTTTAGGGTATATTTTATCCTGAAAGTAAGATAATGCAAAGACTAAAATGAACAACACCTTTGTATCACTTAACACTATTCGTTCATAAAAACTTCCAAAAGGTGAACATACGTAATTACTTCAACTAAAAGCTACAGATCACATCACTATCTTGAAGCACATAGTGGATATATACAACTGCCTGCCAGTATTCTGCCCCTATCCCCCAAATCTTCCTAGTGAGACCACCCACAGTAGTGCCATGACCTCCTGGTCTGGGGGATAAGCATGTGACCCAGCAAAACCATTTAAAGACTTGATATGGGATGTTTTTATTGTAATGTGAGCTGAAGGATGTTATGTTTCCGGCATTTGGAGAACCCGCTTGAAAATGAATCCTACACAATAGAGGAAAGAAAGGCAGATATAGGTGAAGTCAACAAGGTCTGACTCTTTTTTTTCTGTTTTTTATTTTTGTGAATCTTCTCTGTATCATTCCAATTTTAGTATATGTGCTGCCGAAGCGAGCATGTGACATCTTTGTTAGTGAATCTGAGTGGATTTTCTGCCCCTCTGCCAAGTTCTAGCACTTCTAGCAGACTCCTGACTGATACAGTACTTGTCAGGGTGCTCGCTATTCCTTGAATTGAGCTGAGTGACAAAGCAGAACCATGAGGTCTTGTGTGTGGGGAGATTACTTTGGGAAGTGATCCTGTGGGGTGTGGTTGTGCATGCATGAATGCTCAGAGTTCTGAGGCAGAAATGAAGAGATATGTGGTATTGCTGGGGTGGGTGCTGTCATGTTACATCTGTGTAAAGATAGTTGCCATAGCGATGGCTGCACTAAAAGGTGGGCAGAAAGCTTGTGAGGCAAGGCTGAGGTATAGCTAATATTATACAGCTAAAATTATATACCTAAAAATGAATAAGGAGCAAGTACCTTCGGCTCGTGCAACCACACTGCCAATCACCCAGGCTTCTTCCTTGTGCTGCTGGATATCCCTCAGAATCTGCTCTGTCTGCTCCTTTGATACCACAAGGGCAGCGCCAACCCCACAGTTAAATGTTCTGGCCATCTCTTCCTCAGAGAGTTGTCCTTCCTGCTGTAACCATGAGAAGACTTTGGGGATCCTCCAGGTCTGGGCATCTGAAAATAGACATGAATTGTTTGATTTTTCCTACCTTCTCACACAGAGTACAAAAGTATGCACATATTCAAAGATATGGAAATTATAATCAGGCTCTGCTATTTTATGTAGAGTAAAACTATAAACTGGCCTCTGAGAACTTTTTATTTGGGGATCCACTGGTACCTTAGACATTAAGAACATTTTTTGTTGACACACTTCGCCAGTACTTACAATTGAATGAGGTTTTGTGCTACATTAACGAACTAGACCCTTAGACATTCCCTAGTGGATTAGATAAGGCTAGTAGCTGAATTCCAGCAAAGGCCAGTATACCATCCTTTTGCGAATGTTTGGCTGAGTCTTTGCGATGACCAAAATGCACCCAAAGTACAATGCAAAACTAGATGGCTTGTCTACTTATTTAGAGAAAATGCATATACTACTCAGGAAAAGTTATGCTAATGGAATGCAGATCAACACCCTCTCCCTCTCACTCATTTTAAAATTTAGACTTCCTAGGTCTGCTATAAGAATACATTCTCTCGGTGGGCGCGATTGCTCATGCCTGTAATTCCAACACTTTGGGAGGCCAAGGCAAGCGGATCACATGGTCAGGAGATTGAGACCATCCTGGACAACATAGTGAAATACCTTCTCTACTAAAAATACAATAATTAGCCAGGCGCGTGCCTGTAGTACCAGCTACTCGGGAGGCTGAGACAGGAGAATCGCTTAAACCTGGGAGGTGGAGGTTGCAGTGAGCCGAGATGGCGCCACTGCACTCCAGCCTGGTGACAGAGCGAAATTCCAACTAAAAAAAAAAAAAAAGAAAAAGAAAAAGAGTACATTCTCTCTTATCACAAATAATACAACAAAAATCTCTAATAAAAATGTTTAGGTAAAGGCCTATATACACACACACAACATTTCTGAATTTAAAAAGAATCTGGATAGTTCTTCGGGATCTATGATTATGGGATCTGATTTTTAAAAAAAACTATATCAAATTAAATTATTTATGATGCTCTTAAGAAAGGGAAGCCAATGTGAACTTAGCTTTTTATTAAATAATAAGGTTTACGATCAGTTCTGCCTATTTATTTGGTTTATCTATTGGAATTTTTTTTTTTTTTTTTTTTTTTGAGATTGCCCCTTGTCGCCCAGGCTGGAATGCAGTGGCGCAATCTCGGCTCACTGCAATTCCACCTGGGTTTTGCCATTCTCCTGCCTCAGCCTCCCGAGTAGCTGGACTACAGGTGCCCACCAAGCCAGCTAAGTTTTTGTATTTTTAGTAGAGACGGGTTTCACCATGTTAGCCAGGATGGACTCACATCTCCTGACCGTGATCCACCCGCCTCGGCCTCCCAAAATGCTAGGATTACAGGCGTGAGCCACCGTGCCTGGTCTTTTTTTTTTTTTTGAGACAGGATCTGGCTCCGTTGCCCAGGCTGGAGTGCAGTGGCATGAACACGCCCCACTCGATCTCCCAGGCTCAAGTGATCCTCTCACTTCAGCCTTCTGAGTAGCTGGGACTACAGGCATGTGACACCATGCTTGGCTATTTAAAAAACTTTTTTTGTAGAGACAGGGTCTTACCATGTTGCCCAGTCTAGACCTCCTGGGCTCATGTAATTCTTCTGCCTCAGCCTCCCAAAGTGCTGGGATTATAGGCATGAGCCATCATGCTCAGCTGATGATCAGTTTTTTAATACTTTGGAGTTGATAAATTTTTTTTTTTTTTTTTTGAGACAGAGTCTCTCTCTGTCGTTCAGGCTGGAGTGCAATGGTGTGATCTCTCGGCTCACTGCAACCTCCGCCTCCTGGGTTCAAGCTATTCTCATGCCTCAGCCTCCTGAGTAGCTGGGATTATAGGCATGTGCCACCACACCTAGCTTTTTGTGTGTGTGTGTATTTTTAGTAGAGACAGGGTTTCATCATGTTGGCCAGGCTGGTCTTGAACTCCTGACCTTAGGGGATCCACCCACCTCAGCCTCCCAAAGTGCTGGAGTTATAGGGGTGAGCCATCACCACACCCAGCCTGGAGTCGATACAATTTTAAAAATGAGGCCGGGTGCGGTGGCTCACGCCTGTAATCTCAGCACTTTGGGAGGCCGAGGCCAGAGGATCACGATGTCACAAGTTTGAGACCAGCCTGGCCAACATGATGAAACCCCGTGTCTACTGAAAATACAGAAATTAGCTGGGCGTGGTGACGCACATCTGTAATCCCAGCTACTAGGGAGGCTGAGGCAGGAGAATCGCTTGAACCCAGGAGGTGAAGGTTGCAGTGAGCCGAGATTGCGCTACTGCACTCCAGCCTGGGTGACAGGGCGAGACTCCGTCTCAAAAAAAAAAAAAAAATTAAAATTAAAATTAAATAAAAATAAACATAAAAATGAATCACATGTCTATGACTCTTAGATTCAATTCCATTTATAGTAGCTGGGAAATGTCCACTCTTAATAGTTGAGCTCTCAGAAGATTTAGTAACTACATTGTTCACTATGCTTTCAATAGTTAAAAGTCAATAGCAACTTAAAACTAAATAATGGTACATCTATAAAATGGAATACTTGTTATTAAAAATGATGCTACAAAGACAGGTAGATAGTGATGATATATTTAATGGCAGGGCAAGTAGCAGATTACCAAACTATGATCTTGTTTTAGTGAAGTTTTACAAAGTATTTATAGGAAAAAACATTGACAGACTAAGAGTCTAGTTTCTATAAATAAACAAGTACTTCATGAATAATGTAAGTTGTAATTTTAATGTCAAAAAGTCCTGGCTGGTGTGGTAGCTCATGCCAGTAATCCCAGCACTTTGGGAGGCTGAGGTGGGCAGATTGCTCTGAGCCAAGGAATTTGAGATCAGCCTGGGCACTGTGGTGAAACCCCGTCTCTACTAAAAATACAAAAAATAGCCAAGTGTGGTGGCGTGTACCTGTGGTCCCAGCTACTCAGGAGGCTGAGGTGGGAGGATCACTTGAACCTAGGACGTTGGGGCTATAGTGAGCTGTGACTGCACCACTGAACTCCAGTTGGGGCGACAGAGTGAGACTCTGTCTCAATAAAAAACAAACAAACAAAAAAACCCCAGAAGCCCTTACTTAATCTGTTGTCAAAGTATGATTCCTGGAAGAAACTTTAGAGGCTGGATGCAAGGAGTTGTGCAATGGCTTTTATTGGAATACAGACATTTGCGTAACTCAAAATATAACTGCTTTCAGGAATATGGCTGTATCAACTTTCAGTTTCTTAATGAGGTGACTACTATGTTGTTTTTTACTAGTGCTGTGCTAGAGCCAGCTTGTAGAGACTGTTAAACAGCCATTTTTAAAGCAGCTATGATGGGAGTATTTATACCACAGAAACTGGCAAATGCACAAATCAGTCCTGCTCCTTTCCCCATTCATCAGCAGGCCACTGTTTTTAACTACTTGAAAAGGATGATGAATGAAAAACTTATTAAGGTTCTTATATATGCTCATCAGAAAGCATTTCTACCCAAGGAAGGTCTTAAACCCCTAGTTTCACCCTCCTATGAATCCTTCAACTCCTTACTATGCTCAGTCCATGGACCTGGAAGAGACTCCCACTCAGCCTGGCCTGGCCTGTCTGTTTTGCTTCCCTGACTAGGCTGAAATCCCGTCTTCAGCTGGGACGACTCTCCCAGCTTCCCTTGCTGATCTCCTCACTTCCACACAACCTACCTCTGACTCTTCAGTTCTCTCCGAGCTTCACATACGCTGACTCTTGGGTTAGCTCACCAAACCTACTCACCTCTCTCTCTCTGACTGCTTCTCCCCCATGAATGACCCCAATACCTGCTTACTTCAGCTGGATCAACCTAACCAATCTATTTTTCTCTGTTCTTGCTTCAAGGTTATATACAGGCTTTTACTCTGGGAGAAAAACTACATGAGCAGCTTCAGCTTCACCTGTGCCTTCAGTCCTGCTCGCTGTCTCATTCCTGTTTGACCTTGACTGCTTTATCTACTTCTCTCTTCAAGCTCCATCCCAGGCCTGCTCATTTCACTAATACTTCACAGGGAAGTTATTTTATGTAAACTCCCTCAGTTTCTACTCCTTCAAGCCAATGTGTATTAGTTGACTATAGCTGGAAAAGTTTCTCTGACTTTATTCTACAAAAACAAGGAAGGGAGGGGCCAGGCACAGTGGCTCATGCCTGTAATCCCAGCACTTTGGGAGGCCAAGGTGGGTGGATCATTAGGTCAAGAGATCTAGACCATCCTGGCCAACATGGTGAAACCCCGCCTCTACTAAAAATACAAAAATCAGCCGGGTGTGGTGGTGGGCGCCTGTAGTCCCAGCTACTTGGGAGGCTGAGGCAGGAGAATCACTTGAATCCAGGAGGCGGAGGTTGCAGTAAGCCGAGATTGCACCACTGCACTCCAGCCTGGTGACAGAGCAAGACTCCATCACAAAACAAAAACAAAAACAAAAACAAAAACACAGGGAGGGAGGACTCTGTCCCTCCCTTTTGCTGCATGCATAAAATTATTCCACTTCCCTTTTACCAGTATGTTTCTTCAAACAGAAATCTCTACCCACTGTCTCCACAACTCTGCCACAACAATCTAGTGGGTGGTATCTATGTCCAGCAAACTGCCTTTTGACCTAACTCTGAAATACACCAGTCTTTTTCTAGTGCTTATTCTAGATATCTGTGCTGTACCTGACACTATGGACCAGTGTCACGTTAAAATCCTACCTTGGGGCTGGGCGTGGTGGCTCACGCCTGTAATCCCAGTACTTTGGGAGGCTGAGACGGGCGGATCACTTGAGGCCAGGAATTCGAAACCAGCCTGGCCAATAAGGTGAAACCCTGTCTCTACTAAAAATACAAAATTAGTTGGGCGTGGTGGTGGGTGCCTGTAATCCTAGCTACATGGGAGGCTGAGGCAGGAGAAGTGCTTCAGCCCAGGAGGTGGAGTTTGCAGTGAGCCAAGATCGCTCCATTACGCTCCAGCCCGGGCTAAAGAGTAAGAATCTGTCTCAAAAAAAAAAAAAAAAAAAAGAAAAAATCCAAGTTGATTTGATGATAATACTTTTACATGGTTTACCCTCTGCTTTGGACTGTTCTTTACAGTCACTCTACTTTGAGAAACAACCTTCTGGTCTCCCTCATTCTCTTGGCTATAACTATTACTATGTGCAAATAACCACCCAATTTATCTTCAGCCTGACTTCAACTTCTGCTCACAGTCACCTTGGAATAAACACACTGAAGATTTAAAAACCTTCTACTCCAAACTTACTCTTCTTCCTATGTTAATGATGTTATCACCTACTCACCTGCTTAACTAGAAACCTGAGACTTCTTTTTACTTCTAAGCATAAAATGATTCTCCAATGTGCCTCCCTTCTCTATGCCTTCGTTTAGGTGCTTTTATCTTGCATATGGATTACTTAATAGCTAACATTTCCTTTCCCGGTGTGTAGGGCTCCACCTTAATAGAGCTTGAAGTTACCAATCCCCTTGGAGGATCTGCTTAGAGTACTTCAACTTTATGTAAACCAATTACATGACAATATTTTGTCTTATAAATACAGATAATGAAGCAAAAGGAGATAGAAAAGGGTCAATGAGTTTTTCCCTCCCAAAGCCCCCAATGATTAAGAGTTTTCCATGTGTAATCATGTGTACACTAACTACCCATAGTTTTCTCGCACAATGCATTTTTTTCCTTAGCAATTTTCTGAACAGAAGTTTGTTTTAGTGATCTTACCTAAATCTACCCCAAGTTTCTCAGGGAGGATTCTGGGGATGTTCTCTAGTAATCCTCCACCAGTAATATGGGCAAACGCTTTGACATGTCCTGAACGTAGGACAGGTAACAGTGAATGGCTGTAGATTCTGGTTGGCGTGAGAAGTAAGTCCCCTGTATGTTGCAGAAAGAAGATAAAAACTTAGCCTTTGAATAGAAAACCAAAACATAAAAATCAACTCTGGAGAATGACACCAGTTCTACAATAATGACCAAGTAGCAAACCAAGGTAATTCACTCCCTTTTAGCTCTTAAGTAATGAGAGACTAAAACCACTAAATGCTTCCTTCCTCAGACATGTCCAAGCAGGACAGTTTAAACATGAGGGAGTTTACCTAAAGTCTGGTCACCACAACCATCAGGTGCTGGAGAGGAGTACTGGAGGAAAGATTTTGCCACGATCTTCCTCACAAGGCTAAATCCATTGCTATGAAGACCAGATGAAGCTATTCCAACAACAACATCACCCTCGGTGATTCTTTCCAGGTGAGGGAGTTTCTGATCTCGCTCCATGGCACCAACGGCAAACCCAGCTAGGTCATACTCTCCAGGGGGATACATGTCAGGCATTTCTGCTGTTTCACCTCCTGGTGGGATAAGACAAGAGCAAACAAATCAGAGTATCTATAAATCTGTCTAGGAAACAGTGGCACAGGCTACTCTTAACATGAACAATTAACACATGGCTATGTACTGCAAGCATTTAAGAAAATGTACTCTACCAGCTGTCTAACAGAACTTTCCACCAAGCAAGATTTCAGGAGAAATAGCGCTCGTTTCCACAAAAGGTGAGATTAGGTAACACCTCTGCAAGCATGTATGCAGCCTCCAAACACCACTGCTTTCACAGAATGAATGCTCAGTTGAATATAACATCATTTCTATAGCTGTTTAGTTTCAAAGTTGTTTCATATATATTTGATCTTTATAATCAGTCCATTTTTCAGCTGATGGTACAGCCTTAAAGAAGTGACTTAACCAGGACTGCCCAACTCCAAATACCCTAGCTTAAAAAGTATAGCATTTTACTTACAATTATATCACGTCAAGATGTAAGGTATAGGCAGACTCCAAATTAGAAACTGTGTTCTAAATGGTGGTTGAAAGGCAATTTTTGTTTGTTTCAAACTTTATTCCCAGGCTTCTTTAGCTTAATTAGCTACAAAGAATAAATTGTGGGCTGGGCGTGGTGGCTCACACCTGTAATCCCAGCACTTTGGGAGGCTGAGGCAGGTGGATCAGGTCAGGAGTTCGAGACTATCCTGGCCAACATGGCCAAACCCTGTCTCTACTAAAAACACAAAAATTAGCCAGGTGTGGTGGCTTATGCCTGTAATCCCAGCTACTTGGGAGGATGAAGCAGGAGAACTGCTTGAACCCGGGAGGTGGAGGTTGCAGTGAGCCGAGATTGTGCCACAGCACTCCAGCCTGCGCCACAGAGCGAGACTCCATCTCAAAAAGAAAAAAATATATATATAAGCAAAAACTAAAAAGAGCTGCAGTGTCCAAGGGGAATGGGGCTTAAAATATTAGAGATCTAGATTTTATGAGATCCATAAACAATTTTAGAAAGCAGTCATAATGTAGAATAGCAGCTCCTAGTTACTTCACATTTTTTCTTCTTCAGAAGTTGACTCAATTCAGTTTGCCTCATTCTTAGAAGCCTCATCAAAACTCTTCACAAGATCTGGAACTTCATCATCATCATCCCCTCCAGTAGCAAGCAGTGCTTTTCCATCCACAGACTGTTTGGGCAGAGCTTCAGTCGGTCTCCTTAAACTAGTCAGACTGTCTGCACCAAGCTGGTTTAAGATGCTGGTAGCATTTCTGTCAGCTGCTTTGTCTCAGCATTGCCTGTAACGGTGAAAGTGTTTACTGCCCCAGAGAAATGCTACCAGCATTTGAGGGTTGTTAAAGTGGATCACTGGTCCTTCATTTGTAAACATACTCACCTCTTCAATACCAGAGATATTGTTTACCCTTAACTTCTTAAGGAGAACTGAAGTTTTTGTCATCTGCTGTAGCTGAGCCACCTTCTTTTTGTTCCTTTTCCATCAATACGTAATTGTGTGTTTCTTTCATCTTGTCAGAGTGGAAAAGGGTCATGTGGAGGACTAGGGTGGTGCTCAAGGGGTCTTGGGTAGACCAGCTGAGATTAGGTGCACACATGCGGGGATGCAAGATGGCACAATTTCTGGTTGAAATGGTCATATAAAAGAGGCAGTTTCTTTGGGAAGCTGTGATGGGCAGATAGCTTGAGCCCAGCAATTCAAGACCAGCCTGGGCAACATGGCAAAACCCCATCTCTACAAAAAGTACAAAAATTAGCTGGGTGTGGTGACACATGCCTGTAGCTCCCAACTACTTGGGAGGCTGAGGCAGGAGGATCCCTTGAACCCAGGAGGTCAAGGCTGCAGTGAGCTGTGATTGAACCACTGCACTCCAAACTAGGTGACAGAGACAGACCCTTTTTTTTTTTTAAATAAAAAAAAGTGGTTGTTTTGTTTCTTGATCAACCTATAGATTCATTTTGCTCAAATATTTCATGTATAGTTAAAGATACTTCTATAAAACTTGGGCATATATTATTTATGTCACTCTATGGGAAAATTTGGCTTTAGTTAAGATCCGGAATGCCAGGAACCCATCTGCCTCTACCGTAGGGCCAATAAGGAGGAAATAACTCCTAGACCTGTTTGTTGAGGAGGCTACTGAGACTGATGCGGATGTTAAAAGGTGGCCAAAAATTGGGAAGAAAGATAAGGCCTGACAGTTTAGGAGTATGGGTCTAGTGGACAAACCCTTGAGGAGGGCTTTGAAGGTAGCAGGCTCTAAATTTAATTCAAGTAGTTTTACCTATATTTCATTTGCTGCATCTTGTGATATACAGTCTCCCTTGCTAGTTATATTGGCACCAATCACATTTTTACATAGGGCTAAAATACAATAAGAAAGATATGTTATTGATTAAAATGGCTGGTCATACCAAGAAGAGCACATCCAGCTTTTCCACAAGCTTTAGCAATTCCAGCAACAACGGCTTCAGTTACACTGAGGTCAAGTTTTCCACAGGAAAAGTAATCAAGGAAGAAGAGGGGCTCTGCTCCTTGTGCCAGAATATCATTAACACACATTGCTACCAAATCTTGACCAATGGTATCATGTTTGTTGCACAGCTGGGCAATCTATATAAGAACAATATAAACATCCACATTAGGGAATAAGTTCAAAATTGTATCTTATCCATTTGGCTAGCTGCTTTTAACACCTAAAAACAAAAGAACACGAAATTCTGACAAGCTGCTTGGTCTAAAAGTATCCCTTTATCCTCTAAAGTACCTTTCCATCCAAATATAATCTAAATAATAATTTGTTATTAGAAATGTGCAGATATTTTAGCCATTTTACATGGTTATTTGGTATGGTCCTTTTTAGCTCATATTATGTCAAGAGAAGAAAAATATATATTTGACATACAGTAAACTTCCTCTTATCTTTCATAAAAGGCCTTTATTCACAAAGGTGTCTGATTACCTTTAGTTTAGTTCCAACGCCATCTGTTCCAGAGGCCAGAAGGGGATCTTTGAAACCAGCTGCTTTTAAATCAAAAAGACCAGCAAAACCTCCAAGATCTACTTTACAGCCTGTTGGAGAGGAAATTAATTACTTGCTACATTTTAATAGATTAAACGTGTAATGATTTAAATGTCTACTAGTTTAAAAAAATCAGTATATTTAGCAGCCTGAGACATACTTCTGGAAGAAATAGATGATTGAAACAGCTGTTCTCAGAAATGACATAATCAAATCAACTGGGAGAATGTAATCATTTAATTAATACGTAACATGTTAATAGGTTAAACATATTAACATATGTTAATATGTTGTTATGTTTATATAACATACATACAATATGTTAATGTTTATATAACATATAAACATACCACTTCTTCATAAGAATGGCTGAAACAAGAGATGCCCTTCCTGAGCATGAGAGACTGCACCATGTGCTCAAAGAATTGATTAAGACAGTAATTAAATAGTAAAGGACCAGCCAGATGTGGTGGCTCACGCTTGTAATCCCAGCACTTTGGGAGGCTGAGGTGGGCGGATCGCCTGAGGTCAGGAGTTCAAAACCAGCTTGGCTAACATGGTGAAATCATGTCTCTACAAAAATACAAAAATTAGCCAGGCATGATGGTGGGTGCCTATAATCCCAGCTACTCAGGAGGCTGAGGAGGGAGAATCGCTTGAAATCAGGAGGTAGAAGTTGCAGTGAACTGAGATGGTGCCATTGCACTCCAGCCTGGGAGAGAGAGCAAGACTCCATCTCAAAAAAAAAAAAAAAGAGTAAAGGAGCATACATATCCTTTTGAGTTTAACATCACAGATGATAAACACTTTCCTTAATATTAAAGATAAGAAAGCAGAAGACTGGGTTTGGCTTAAGCGGGGCAAAACTTACAGTAACCAAATATTACTTTGGAAAAATTCCTGTTAAATATAAAACCCAAATCCATTCACAATGTATATCAACGTTAATGAATTAGCAAAGTATAGGATCACTGACCTGATCTGGAAGTGGCTTCTGCTAAAGGCTGAATTTTCTTGACCAGTGTATTTCCAGCTGCAATGTCTACTCCAGATTCCTTGTAAGTCAAACCCCTAAAGAATTAAAAACAAGTCATCACCTAAACACCAGGGAAAATTATTTTAATCTTAAAATATTATTTAAAGCAGAAGGTATCCCCAGTGATTTTCACATCCCCTAAAGTGCTTAAAATTTTTAAAAGTCAGTGCTTGGGCCCACATCTATACAGATTCTGATTTAACTGGTCTAGGGCAGGCTCTGGGAATTGAAACGAGTTTGAACAATCTCCCCAGCTGATCTGATTACATCATCCCCAAGAACCGCTATTCTAACTCAATCACCTATTTCTTCCAGAAGTACTTCTCACAGGCTGCTAAATATACTGATTTAAACTATTTTTTTATTAAGGTAAAATATACACAACATAAAGTTCAGCATCTTAACCATTTTTAAGTTCAATGGTATTGAATACAATGATAATGTTATGCACCCAGCCCCATCATCCATCTCCATAACCCTTTATCTTGTAAAACTGAACCTCTGTCCCAATTAAATAACTTCCCATTCCCCACTACCCCCAGACCCTAGCAACCATCTATTTAAAAGTAGACATACTGATATTTTGCTACAACTTTTCTCAGTTTACTTTTGGTATGAACAAGAGGAATGCCTCATCAAGTCAAAAAAATGAAAATCAGGTTTGTAAAAATTGTACACAAAGTATCCCTAAATAAACTGAGTTCTTAATTGCAATAATATATAACTGTATCTGTTTCCTAATAGCTGAGGACAGTAAGAAACACTATGACAAAAGCAAAACCAGGCAAAGATATTCAGTGCATCACATTTCCTTCTGTATAGGACCTACAAGTTGGAGCAGCACATTTAGAGATCAAATCTGTGAATGACACTGCAGATTTTGTAGTCTTGACTTGCAAAAATGAGAACTCTGGCCTGCTGGGATGCAGTGATACATGAATAAATATGTGTTTTATTAAAAACAAGCTGGCTTGCTTTTATAGAAGTGTCTTTTTAAAAAGCATACAAAATAAAATAAAAAATAATAATTAAAAAAACAAGGTGCCAGAATACAGTTGAGTGCATTGGCAGTTAACTCAAATAAAGACAGCAGCCCAGGGTCACTCTCAGATAGGAAACAAAGATTGATTTTAAAAAACTTTTTCTCCGGTAGCAACTAACACTGTGGCATTTCAATTTTTTCATCTTTATAACTTAAATAATTCAGACTAGAATTGAGATTGCAGTCCCTTCAAACAGGTCATTTCAATGGACTCTAGTCATTTTTAAATGAAAAATAAATTTTTAGCATGGCATTTTAATGTTCTCGATTCTTGGAAAATGTTTAAACTTTACAGTGTCTGCCTCTTGGTAACAGTATAGCTTGAATTAAGTTGGTAAAAAATTTTGTCTTAAAATTTATTCATTATCCGTAAATGAACTTCATGAACAATAGTAAATGTGATATATTTTTAAGAAATCAGGCCACGTGCAGTGGCTCACGCCTGTTAATCCCAGTACTTTGGGAGGCTGAGGCAGGGATCACCCGAGGTCAGGAGTTCGAGACCAGCCCGGCCAACAAGGTGAAACCCCATCTCTACCAAAAACACAAAAATTACCTGGGCACGGTGGCAGGCACCTGTAATCCCAGCTACTCGGGAGGCTGAGGCAGGGCAATCACTTGAACCCGGGAGGTGGAGGTTGCGGTGAGCCGAGATCACGCCACTGCACTCCAGCCTGGGTGACAAGAGCAAAACTCTGTCTCCAAAAAAGAAAGAAAGAAATCAAAATACCCATTTCCAACTAAGACTTTATTGATTTTACAAGTCAACAGTTTGTACATACCAACAATGCATCAGTAAGAGGTCAAAAAATACATTTTAGTAACAGATACAAACGAAATGATAAAATGAGACTGTCAAAATTTATAGTATAATCAAATCAAATTGCGAAGTTAGATGACCAATATTCTCATCTCGAGTTCTTTGATAAAACCATGAACTATGTTTCAAATACAATACTATGTGATAAAGCAAGGAATAAACATCAGTATCAGGCCAAGTGCAGTGGCTCATGCCTATAATCCCAGCATTTTGGGAGGCCAAAGCAGGAGGATCACTTGAGCCCAGAAGTTTGAGACTAGCCTTGGCAGCATGGTGAAACCTCATCTCTATAAAAAATACAAAAAAATTAGCCAGGTGTGGTGGCCTGCGCCTGCAGTCCCAGCTACTTGGGAGGCTGAGGCATGAGAACTTGGGCGACAGAGGGAGACCCTGTCTCAAAAAGTTAAAAAAAATTAAAAAAATACAAAATAAATAAAAATCAGTACCACTGTGATTTTGCTAAACTTTCCAAACTTAAGCTATCATGAAGTTTTTCCCATTTAATTTGAATATTGCTGTAACCAGTTTTGATTCAAACAAAATACAAACCAAGATCGTATCAGTCCCATAGAGAGAAAAGAATACTGAATGACTTATTATACGGTCAGTGAAGTGTTCTACATAGCCATTTAGGCCAGTTTCTGAAATGGCACTACAGCTAACTTGCTTAGAGTTTTACCTGGGCTGCTGGAGGAAAGCTATGGCACGAAAGCCAATGTCTTTCCTATAAATTGCTCCCTCAAACTTTATAGCTGCTAGTCCTTTCTTGGCTTCCTCGAGAGCTGATACGAGATTTTCCCGGATGGCTGTGACTGCAAGAACTCTACCCCCATGAGTTACTACTTTCCCATTTTTAAGGGCAGTGCCTGCGTGGAACACCTCCAGTCCTAGAGCTTGAGCCTCGGAAAACCCTAGAAGAGAGCATATTTGACATATGATTTGAAATAGCAATGGTATTTCACACTGTGAAGTGATTTATAATTTCCACAAGTTTTTTCTCTTTTCTAAAACTTGACTAGGTACGGTGGCTCAGGCCTCTAATCCCAGCACTTTGGGAGGCTGAGGCAAGGATTGCTTGAGTCCATGAGTTCGAGACCAGCCTGGGCAACAGAGCAAGACCTTGCCTCTACACACATACATACATAAATAAATAATAGCCAAGTGTGGTGGCACACACCGGCTGAGGTGGATCACTTGAATTTGGGAGTTTGAGGCTGCAGTGAGGTGTGATCGCACCACTGCTCCAAACGCAGCAATAGAGTGAGACCCTGTCTCAAAATAAATAAATACATAAAAATTAAAAATTAAAGATCTTTATCTCACTTAAAAGAACCTTCCCTATCAGACAGGTCTTCTTCTATTTTTTGAGACTGAGTCTCATTCTGTTGCCAGGCTGGAGTGCACTGGCACGATCTCACTGCAAACCTCTGCCTCCTGGGTTCAAGCAATTCTTCCTCAGCCTCATGAGTAGCTGGGACTACAGGCATGCACCACCGTGCCCAGATACTTTTTGTATTTTTAGTAGAGACGGGGTTTCAAAATGTTGGCCAGGATGGTCTCAATCTTTTGACCTTCTGATCTGCCTGCCTTGGCCTCCCAAAGTGCTGGGATTATACGCGTGAGCCACTGCGCCCGGCCCTGACAGGTCTTAATGCAATATAACAGTAAATAGATCTTTCTCCTAAGAACTGTCTGCTATTTTAGGATGACAACCTAAATTCTCGTGTTATCGTAAATCTCATTATAAAAGCAATTGTTTAATGAGGAAGAAAGAAAAATCCTGCATCTGATCACATTAATCTTTTCCTTAAGACTAAGAGAACTTCCTTTTCTTTTTGAGAGAGATGCTCTGTCACCCAGGCTGGAGTGTGCAGTGGTGCGATCTCAGCTCACTGCAACCTCTACCTCCTGGGTTCAAGCCATCCTGTCACCTCAGCCTCCTGAGTAGCTAGGATTACATGCATGCACCACTATACTTGGCTAATTGTTTTTGTATTTTTAGTAGAGACAGGGTTTCACCATGTTGGCCACGCTGGTCTCGAACTCCTGACCTCAAGTGATCCGCCCGCTTCAGCCTCCTGAAGTGCTAGGATTATAGGTGTGAGCCACAGTGCCTGGCCTGTAAAGGAACTTGTTTTCATCATAGTTATTCAATTAAAGCTGCTTTTTTCTTTTTCAATTTTTTTTTTTTTAACCAGAACATGAGACTTAAGTTTCCTTTTAAATATAACCAATATGATCAGTAAAATGCAAAACATAAGTAATCTTTTCAGTAATATAACACTTGTACCATTTTAAGACAAACTCGGCTTAAGTTTTGGGGTCAGCCCCAAATTCCTACCGCTTCATTGTATTTTGAATTATTTTAAGCTCTCAGATACAGCTTTATACTTAAAATATTATTAGACTATGTATTCTAAATTCTAAAGTGGCCAAAGGGGACAGTTTATATAAAGATAACACTTTTTCTTAATTTTTAGAAAAACATTCTTTTGTCTCCCGGTGGTCTTCTTTTTCCATCTCTATTTCTCTTCTCGGCGTCCTATTTGGTAGTTTGTTAATATACATCTTCCGTGAGTGTTTTTACAACAGAAAGCCATTTTGTGATTCTGAATGGCTACTCTGCCTGCCAGTATCAGTAAAACTCAATATTGCTCTGGTACAACTATTACACACTTGTTATTTCAATCTTAGGGAAATTTCACCAATGCAAGGGATCTTGGTTCTGGCCCATTTCTTTCTTTGTCCATATTCAAAAGCAATCAGTTCCTAACTGTCTAGCTGCCATGCGTGGGATTCATAAGGCAATGGACTTGGTGTCTGGGCAAGACAGTTTATGGGGTTGTTGAATTAAATACACTATTGGAGGCTGGGCACGGTGGCTCACGCCTGTAATCCCAACACTTTGGGAGGACGAGGTGAGCGGATCACTTGAGGTCAGGAGTTCAAGACCAGCCAGGCCAACATGGTGAAACTCCATCTCTACTAAAAATACAGAAATTAGCTGGGCCTGGTGGTGCACACCTGTAATCCAGTTACTTGGGAGGCTGAGCCAGAAGAATCACTTGAACCCAAGGGGAGGTTACAGTGAGCCGAGCGTACCACTGCACTCTAGCCTAGGCGACAGAGCTAGAGTCCATCTCAAAAAAAAAAAAAAAAGGAAACCCCCAAATACACTACTGGAGCACTGAGAGTGGCCAAACTATAGCCTGCTAGGGGTTACAGAGGTCTGCCTTTGGACTCACGGCACTGGACCTTAGATTTAACATCATTTAATGAGATTTTTCACCTACTATAAAGAGAAAAAAAAAAAAAAAGGACAAACTGAAACTGTTTGAATTTTACCATCCAAGTGACTATGGGGTGCACTGTAAATTGGGTGTCAAACCACACAAGACTGTATGCATTTGTGATAATTCAGAGTCCTAATCTCCAAAATGTATCTTATTGATATACTTTGCACTAATGTCCCTCTGACTCAGAGAATCTCATTATTACCCTGGCTCTAGGCAGGTGGAAGGCTGCACTGGGTGACACTCTGGAGATATGGTTCTGCCACTTATGTCTTCCTTGCACAGGAAGGGAAATCAACGGTTCTTTGAATATAGTAGTTGTGGATATTTGAACACACATATCCAATAAGCAGCATGGTTAGGTTAGGACCCTCTGAAAGGTTTCTGATGGCTTCACACTCTTATCAAGAGCAAGCCTTAGTGTGGGAGGGAGGTCTGCTGTGGCGCTGGCACTTGTCACATTGTACTCCAACCTCTTGCTCCCTGACACTCACCTGTTATCTCTACACCCTTGGTGTAGTCTCCAGGATAACCTTTACTTGCCATGACAACAGTTAGGGCGGTGTGGTTTTCTAGCCAAACAGGCAGAGATGTGCAGAGCAGTCCATCTAAGGTGGACTGAATCACTTCATAAAGATCACTTTTAAGAAGTGGGAGGATTACCTGGAAAAACATAATCCACATGGCAGGTGAGATAAATGTTAGTTTTCCTTAAACATTGTATTCACTGGGGTACTAGCAGAACTTGCACGAACTTCCCAAAGGTAATTACTTCCAGGCTGATAAATTCCAAGATTAAAATAATACATATCTTCTACTAAGTAATACTTTGATATTTTTACCCACTTGGCACTCTGGATCACCAAAACGGCAATTAAACTCTAGAACTTTTGGGCCATCCTTGGTCAGCATTATTCCAGCATAGAGAATACCTTCATTAAAAAAAAAAAAAAGAGAGAGAGAAAGAAAATCGATAATGAAGACACTGTATTACAAATATAAAATCTACTACATAAATTTCTAATAATCAAAGTTTAGGAAAAATCATAAACATTAAAAAAATGGTCCATTAAAAACTGGTGGAAAAAAAAGAATGGAAAATAAGTTTTATCAAAAGTGCAAAGTTACTCTATAGGTGGCTTCCATAGTAACGTGAGTGGGCCTACCTGTATATGGAGTACCCTCTTGCTGCATGCCATCCACTGTCCTCTGAAGAACAGTATCTTTAATTTTTAGTAATAGATCATTAGAAACCTGGAGAACATGCAGAAACACTTAAATGTAACAGGTAACTTAAAAAGTCTAAGAGGTATTACATGGGACAACAGAAGGGGATGATGAGGATAACTCATTTTTTTACTACCTGAAACAGGCTGAGCACTTTGAACTTGAAAGATTTAAACTTTCTCAACCTTCACAATGACATCAAGTAGGTATTTTAGCTTTATGATTTTCAAGAACACACACCTTTAAAAGAACTAGCCAAAAATAATTCCCCAAAACCTAACAGAAATGAAAGAAGTTCTCTCCTACCCTAAGGCTTCTTTGTATCTTTCCCAGTATATGCTGCATATTTCATAAGCCTATATAGGTTAAGAATCTGGACTTATGAATATAATTGTAAAAATTAGACCCCGAGATAGTTCCTAGAATCCACTATTACCAAATGGTAGTTTTAATACAAGTGTTGGGATTACAGGTGTGAACCACCATGCCTGGCTGGCCTATACTTATGAAGTCTTTAAAAAAAAAAATGAAGTTTATTTTTAATCTTTCTTTTTTTGAGGTGGAGTTTTGCTCTTATTGTCCAGGTTGGAGTGCAATGGCGCAATCTTGGCTCACCACAACCTCTGCCTCCTGGGTTCAAGTGATTCTCCTGCCTTAGCCTCCCGAGTAGCTGGGACTATAGGCATGTGCCAACGTGCCTGGCTAATTTCTGTATTTTCAGTAGGGACGGGGTTTCTCCATGTTGGTCAGGCTAGTCTCAAACTCCTGACCTCAGGTGATCCACCTGCCTCGGCCTCCCAAAGTGCTGCAATTACAGGTGTGAGCCACCATGCCCAGCCTATTTTTAATCCTTTAAGCAAGAAAAATATGTAAAGGGGCACTATATTAGCACAAACAATTATGAGTATCATCAATGAAAAGAACAGATGAGTTTCTGGATTGCTAACCTACTGGTAATATATGCCAACAACACAAATTCCTAATAAAAACTGTGTAGAAGGCCAGGTGTGGTGGCTCACGCCTGTAATCCCAGCACTTTGGGAGGCCGAGGCAGGCAGATCACAAGGTCAAGAGATCGAGAGCATACACTGGCCAACATGGTGAAACCCCACCTTTACTAAAAATACAAAAATTAGCCTGGCGTGGTGGTGTGCGCCTGTAGTCCCAGCTACTCGGGAGGCTGAGGCAGGAGAATTGCTTGAATCCGGGAGGTGGAGGGTGTAGTGAGCCAAGATCTCTCCATTGCACTCCAGCCTGGTGACAGAGTGAGACTCCGTCTCAAAAAACAAAAACTGTGCAGAAATTGTTTGGAAACGTGTTCTCTGTTATGAAGTAGAAAGATCAGAACAAATTCTGATCTGACTTGGTTCTCAATTCACATCACACACACACAGATACACACAGACAACACTTTTGTGCTGAACCACGGACATCCAAAGATGAATCCAAGACCACAACAGGCTCCCATGTGTTAAAATATTGGGTGTAGAGAGGAGGGAATAGGAGGATCTATTCAATCCACACTACAGATTGGTTTATTTTGGTTCTTCAAAAAAGGCTTTTAGGAAAAGTTATTTTTAGAGACCAGAAAAGATACTCTTCATTTAATTGCTGATTAGTAACAATTTATAGCAACAAACAAACAGAAAATAAAACAAAATATAAAGTATCATCTAAGAGTTCTCTGAGAAAATCAAACTACTACAAGACTTCAGCAGAGTCTTCAGGAAGTACCTGAGGGGCCGGACAATAGGCTCCCATTCCCCCTGTGTTAGGGCCGCCATCTCCCTCCAGTAATCGCTTATGGTCCTGCGCCGGTGGCATGGGGGCCACAGTCTTGCCATCAGTGAAGCACAGACACTATAAAGAAAACAAAATAGTCCATTTATGTTAACTGTGAAAAAGTAAAAAAAGAAATTTAGCAACACAAACTATATGTCCCTTAGTTCTTTGAGGGAAAGTTTTTTTTTTTTTTTTAAACAGAAAAATGAACTAAAACATCAATAACATTAAGCTACATACATCAAGAATCACAATGTACTCAACTTCTGAAGGATTTGTAATTTTTGAGGTAAGTTAGAAAAAAACCAAGCTACTCTCAAAGTAAAAGATTTCAACCTTTTCCCCACTTTAAGTTTCCAGGCATTAAAACTTGGTTTAAGGTGACTTTATTTATTTTGCAATAAACTGTATGTGAAAGAAAAAGCATGAAATGTTTGAATTAATTCAGAACCTCAATAATGTGTGATATAAGTCCAAGTGCCCCACTAACACACTAGGGATGACTAACAGAGGATCAATTCTTTTTTCATTTGCACCCCCCAACAATAAAGGTACACAAATTCCTTTGTAACTGCTGGGTTTACGTTTCTAGATGAAGCAACCAGAGTATATCAAGTCTTTTCTGGGGTACATAGGTCAGATGACAGCTTCTTACACACTATAAAAGCCAAAAAGATGGATATACATACAGACACTTCTTCTCCGTCAAGAAGTTCTTCAATGACAATTGTTTCTCCGGCTGCCCCAAAGGCTTTCTCCTGATTGTAAGTTTTTTTTTTTTTTTTAATTAAAAAAAAAGAGGTTTGGTAAGTTTTCAATATTTACCTAGTTGACTTTTAGCATTATCCAGCATTTGTATTATGAACCAGTGAGTACTGCAATTTTTCTTTCCCTTTCAGAAAGACTCAAAGGGAACATATAAATGTTTCCTATTTTTAATGTGGCAATAGTGTAGCAAACACTGGTATAGATGGAATAAACATATCTCTAATATTCTCCTGAAGATTTGGTGATCCAGTTTCAAATAACGTATGGGAAAAACAGATGTTTTCATTATCACCACTTAATCCTCACTTCCGATTATAATTATACATGTTTGGCTGTAATAACTATACTAAAGAATGCCTGTGAAAGTAGATTTCTACAAGGACAGAAAACCCACAACAACAAAGATCGATCACGAAAGACAAAGCATATTCATTCATTAATTTACTTCTCTTAGACCTGGGACACGTGGGACAAATACTTTTGTCCTCACGGATGGACATAATTTATTTATATGTTTTAGAGTCTGAGGATTTTCCTTCAGTGGCAGACAACAAAGGATGTTACAATTTACTTCAAAATAATACAATCATGGTTTAGTTTACCATGTAAATCTGTAATAACTATTTTGTAGAGATGGATTATAACATATGGAATTATAAAAAATAACTTACCCATGTGTTTGCAAAATAGATTTTCCTTATTGTGAGGAACATTTTTTAAACTTAAAAGGGTATTTATTCAGTATGAATAGAAAGGTAAATTTTTTCAAAAGACTCAGCCTACCTGCATGATCTCTTGTACAGCTTTGCAGGCCTCTTCTTTGCTCTTTGCAACAATCACCCCTTTTCCAGCCGCAAGACCACTGGCCTTCACAACCAAAGCAGGGAAGTCTGCACTGTAAAGACAGAGTAATCTTCAACATCCAACAAACTACTACAACTCAAGATTTTAAAATGCTGTGGGATTTTGTAACAATACGCTATAGCAATGACTGAAAAGCAGAATGAAAAAAATTACTTATCATTCCAACACATTTTGATGTACTTCCCACCAGGATGTTTTCCCCTACATATTTCTTTATAGTTGTAATCATACAGTACCTATAACTTTGCTTTTTTCATTTATCATGAGATTGTATAGGCAATATCTTTGGAGAATAGGTGTATAGAGCACATATGGTATAATCTCTAAGATACAAAGTAGCAAACAGTACTCTCATTCAAGTAGAAAATGCAGCTATATAACAACAAGCATACACAGACCATTTCTGGGAGTACACATACTAAATTATCAAGTGGGTCTGGGGGTCTGGAAGGAGACTTACCCAAAGTAAGTAACAAAACTGTTACTTGCTCAAGGCATCTGGCTACTAGGAAATGATAATATTCAGTGTTTAAGAAACTCTGTAGGATATGAATGGAAAAAAATGAAACTGATACAACTGAAAGGAAAACATACCAGGTAGCAGAAATGTCAACAAAAAAAGGGCAAAGGCATGTGTCTACTAACACTCATTAATTGCTCAATGCTTTCCACGTAGTAGAGAACAAAGGATGCTTAATTTTGAAATCTAAAATTGCAATAGTGGTGGCAGATGACCAAGTGATGATTACTCACTCTGGTTAATTATTTATGATAAAAAAAAATTAATGTTCTTTATGTTGTAAGATGCCACCGTGTTTGTCAATCTGGCTGTGAGGCCTAGTGTGATGGCTCACGCCTGTAATCCCAGCACTTTGGGAGGCAGAGGGACGTGGATCTCTTGAGCTCTAGAGTTTGAGACCAGCCTGGGCAACATGGTAAAACTCAGCCTTCTATAAAAAATAGAAAAACTAGCTGGGAGTGGTGGTGTGTGCCCATTGTCCCAGCTACTTCTGAGACAGAGGTGGGAGGACTGCTTGAGTCCAGGAGGCAGAGGTCGCAGTGAGCCAAGATCACACCACTGCACTCCAGCCTGGGTGACAGAAAGAGACCCCGTCTCAGACTGGGGGGATGGTGGGGGTGGGGACCCAAAAACCAAAAACATGGCTGTGAAAAGAGAGCAAAACTGCAGAACCAAGTGTATTTTACCCCCGAGGAGCTACTCAGATTTTATTAAACATGTCACCTTCCTGCAAGGCCACAAGATCGTATAAACTCCATATGCACAGAATCCCATTTTATTTTGGTTCTGGAAAAAGACAACCCACATAATATTTATTGAGAAAGCTTTTTCCATAATTATTTTACCATAATCTTGTGACAGCCTAAGGACCTAGCATTACATTTTCAACACAGAAGTAACCTGTATATTTATTTAATTTTTTTGAGACAGGCTCTCACTCTGTCACCCAGGCTGGAGTGCAGTGGCGCAATCCTGGCTCAGTGCAGCCTCCGCCTCCTGGGTTGAAGTGATCCTCCCACTTTGGCCTTTAGAGTAGCCGGGACTACAGGTGCACACCACCATGCCTGGCTATTTTTTTTTCTGTATTTTTTGTAGAGACAGGGTTTTACCATGTTACCCAGGTTGGTCTCTAACTCCTGAGCTCAAGTGATTCACCTGCCTCGGCCTCCCAAAGTGCTAGGATTACAGGTGAGCCACCGCACCTGGCCATTGACCTGTGTATTTAAATATCACAACTAAACAACTGTCCTTCACAGGCAACCATTTACCTACCTCATAATGAAGCTGCAGGCCTCTTCAGGTTTGGTGAAAGCCTTCCATTGCGCAGTTGGGATTCCATGTCTGTCCATAAACTCTTTGGCAAACCTTTTGCTGGACTCTAACTGAGCCGCTTCTGCTGTTGGGCCAAAGCATCGCACTCCTGCAGACGTCAGGTTCCCAACAATCCCTATGGATGAAAACAGTAGCCTTAGGTGAACCAAGGTCTCCCCAGGAACTTTTCAGCCTGAAGATGAATTAGTATCAGACTATATCTACATCTAGACAAGGCAGATGACTGGTGGCAGAGGATAACTAACTTTTTCATGTTGTCTACTGGATAGACATAAAATGCTACTAACGTTATTCAAATCTATCAAAAGTTGTTATATTTGCATATATGGATTATTAAACACACACCAGAATACAGCAGAATAAAGACATATAAAATGTTTTCCATGGCTGCAAATTTGATCTCTAACTCATCATATAATTGATGCTTGGGAAAAAAAATCTAGACTCCATAAATTTCGAGAGTGAAAGTTCTTTTTCCAATATAATATTACAAATTCTCATCTGTAAACTAAATTGGATTAGATGATCCCTAAGCTCCTGTTTGCACTGAATATACTGCAACAATAAACAGAAACAAACTTTACCAGCAGCCAGAGGTGCTTCTGGTCCAACAACTACGAATTCAATTTTCTCCTCTTTGCAGAATTGAGCAAGGGCAGTGTGGTCACTGATTGAGATGGCTGTAAACAGAAAAAACACTGCATTTACAAAAACATTCCTCTTAAGTAAACTAAGAGTCTTGCTAAAAACAAAGTTCTGTAATTTTGTATGCTTGTTATCTGTTGGTTTTCTTATAATGGCAGAGATGACAGTTTCAACATTTGAAATTCAGACGAGGGTGCATTAGGCTAACCAACAAAGCTCAGTTCTCAGTTCTCATTGTAGACAGATGAAAACACCAATAAACTTCCCAAAAGAGCCATAAAGTACCATCTCCATGATATTGTTCATGTCACTAATATTGATCACGTATTAAACAAAAAACATACCATAAGATATATTCAGAAATTGGTCTTTTAATGTCAATCATTCAATTATACTAAAAATCCACTATGTGCTAGGTACTATCTTCAGCACTGGTATTAAGATGTCAACACGGCTGGGTGCAGTGGCTCACGCCTATAATCCCAGCACTTTGGGAGGCCGAGGTGGGTGGATCACCTGAGGTCAGGAGTTTGAGACCAGCCTGATGAAACCCCGTCTCTACTGAAAACACAAAAAGTAGCTGGGAGTGGTGGCAAGTGCCTGTAATCCCAACTACTCGGGAGGCTGAGACAGGAGAAAAGCTTGAACCAGGGAGGCGGAGGTTGCAGTGAGCCGAGATCACGCCATTGCACTCCAGCCTGGGTAACAAGAGTGAAACTCCGTCTCAAAAAAAAAAAAAAAAAAAGATGTCAACACAAGCAAGGTCCCTATACTTAACATGTTTACAATCTGCTGTAGGAATGCTCGGTAATAAATATACAAACAAAAGAATAGCAAATATGAACAAATTAAGCAAATTTGATATGGAGAGAATTGAGAGGCTATTTCAGGTTGAGACAGGAGGGATCTCTTTGGGGCAGAGCTGTTTAAGCTAAGAACTCAATGACACTTTTAAGAGGAACCTCTCTTTTCCAACTTACAAGTCAGGTAAATTTTCCTCTGTGGACTTCTAAGTAACTAGTGGTAGAATCAACCACAACTGAACATCGTTTGGCTCCATAGGTGCTCTCCTGCTTCACTGTGTCTGGACCACCATTTGTTAAGTCAGCTGAAGTCTGCCAACACTCTGCCATTGGTAGAGTGCAAGAAGTGATATTTGTGAGGTACAGTTGTCCCTCCTTATCCTTGGAAGACACATTCTAAGACCCCAGTGGATGCCTGAAACCACAGTGCTGAACCCTATATATAGTATGTTTTTTCCTATATATAAATACCTATGATAAAGTTTAATTTACAAATTACGCACAGTAAGAGATTAACTGTCACTAATACTAAAATAGAACAATTATAACTATATGCCAGCATCAGCTTTGGAGCCATTATTAAGTAAAACAGGGTTACCTGAGCACGTGCACTGAGATAACATGACAGTCAATCTGATAACCGACAGGGTGACTAAGTAACAACATGGATATGCTGGACAACAAGATTCACCTATCAGGTTGGACGGCACAAAATTTCATCATGCTATGCTAGACTGGTGTGCAATGTAAAATTTATGAATTATTTCTGAAATTTTCTATAATATTTTTGGACTACAGCTGGCTGTGGGTAACTGAACTGTGGAAAGTGAAATTGTGGATAGGCTGGTGACTACTGTATAGGGTCCAAGTCCAGAAAAGGTAGGGTCCTCAGTCTGTAGCAACTACCTGACTGTGATTAGGATGGAGTACCATGCACTTTGGATTAGTGGTCCTGAACACAACTAGGCTGAGCAGGGTCAACTATATCAGTATAGAAGAGGGCAACAAGAGGAAGAGGTCTCTTAGTAGTCTTACAAGACTACTTGTAGTAGTCTCATGACAATCTTAAGAGATTTTGATGGGCTGGCCTGTATGACCTCAACTGCACATAAACTGTCCCAATTCTCTAATAAACAGATATAATACCTCACCCCTAGAACTAAGATCCCAGAAAAGGAGGTATTTTCTAATTTGTCTTTTTCTTATTCTTTTTGGTCTTATATACATGCCACTATCCTCTCACAGTTTGTGGCTTGCTGGGTCCATGCTCTTTTTTCCATAAATACTATGTGCCACATAGGGAACTAAGCACTGTGTACACCATGCAAAACAAGACAGACAAGTTCGTTGCCCTCATGGAGCTTACATTCTAGAGATTATATTCTAGTGGGGGAAAAGAACATAGGAGACAGACAATAGTGAGGTAAAAACAAACACAGACATTCATGATCATAAACAAATGAAATGGGGATGGACATCTGCTTTTAGTAAGAAACTGTAGGAGAGATATAATTAAGGAGGCTAACATTTTAGTGGAACTCTGAATAATGAGACAGTCATGGTAAAGGGTGGGAACAAATATAAAGTCCAAGGCAGCAAGCTTCTGCTTGGGAAACTGGTAGGACAGCATTGATAGGGTACACTGAAAAGAGAAAAAGGGATATAAAAGATCAGGCTGGAAGAGCAGGCAGAACACAAGACTGCACGAAGGGCTTTGTAAGGCATGGAAAGGAGTTTGAGTTTTATTCTAAGTATTATTAGAGTACTGAGGAGTTTCTGAAGCCACTGACAAGCTTAATGTAGGATATGAACTGACCATTTTTTCATTTTTGTCAATTAAGAGATAAGGGTGGAGGCCGGGCACAGTGGCTCATGCCTGTAATCCCAGCACTTTGGGAGGCCGAGGCGGGCAGATCACCTGAGGTCAGGAGTTGGAGACCAGCCTGACGAACATAGTGAAACCCGGTCTCTACCAAAAATACAAAAAATTAGCCAGGTGTGGCGGCATGTGCCAGCTACTCGGGAGACTGAGGCAGAAGAATCGCTTGAACTCAGGAGCCAGAGGTTGCAGTGAGCTGAGATCATGCTACTACACGCCAGTATGGGTGACAGAGTGAGACTCTGTCTCAAAAAAAAAAAAAAAAAAAAGAGAGAGAGACAGAGATAAGGGTTGAGATCTATCTATTAGAGTTACAACTGTTAAAAACTTTGTTTTTTGAGACACGGTCTCTCTTACTCTGTTGCCCTGGCTGTAGTGTAGTGGCAAGATCACAGCTCACTACAGTCTTGACCTCCTGGGTGCAAGCAATCCTCCCACCTCAGCCTCCGAAGTAGCTGGCACTACAGATGGGCACCACCATGCCTGGCTAATTTTTGTATTTTTTTTGTAGAGATTGGGTCTCACTACGTTGCCCAGGCTGGTCTCAAACTCCTGGCCTCAAGAAATCCTTCTACCTTGGCTTCCCAAAGCGCTGGGATTATAGGTGTGAGCCACTGCACCTGGCCAGACAGTTGTATTTAATAGCAATACTAAACTTTTTATTTACAAAAATACATATCAAAAATGCCTTTAATCTGTATTAGGCACTTATTACTTTTCCAATGGATGTGTTTTATCAGGTTTACAACAGTTTAAGATAAGGAAATGCCATATTCTGAACAATAGGTTACCTTAAGTTTATAACATACGACAAGCATTCAAATTACCAAATAAATTTTAAGGTCAAGGAAAGCACTCAACCCTGAATAGCAATCTATATTTTATTTTATTTTATTTTTTGAGACAGAGTCTTGCTCTGTCGCCCAGGCTGGAGTGCAGTGGTGTGATCTCGGCTTACTGCAAGCTCCGCCACCTGGGTTCACACCATTCTCCTGCCTCAGCCTCCTGAGTAGCCGGGACTACAGGCGCCGCCACCACGCCCAGCTAATTTTTTGTACTTTTAGTAAAGACGGGGTTTCACTGTATTAGCCAGGACGGTCTGGATTTCCTGACCTCATGATCCACCAGTCTCGGCCTCCCAAAGTGCTGGGATTATAGGCATGAGCCACTGTGCCCGGCCTATCTTTATTATCATAAAGCACAGATATGGTTGACAGCATACCATTAATAACAAATCATAACAATTACTCCCCACTTTAAAACATGATTACCGTTATTTGAAATCTTTTCAGAGCAGGCAGTGCCTGCGTTTCCTGGGGCAACCAACACTTGTTTGACATGATGAGACTGTGCAAGTTTCCAGGCCAGCGTATGTTCCCTTCCTCCACTGCCAATTATAAGTACTCGGGCTGCCATTGCTCTGTCTGTAAAGCAGAAATTCCAAAGGAAAATGAAACCTGCAGAAAGAAAACCACAATTGGTATCTTAGGATGCACATTTTAGAAACCCAGGGATGGGCATGGGGGCTCATGCCTGTAACCTCAGCACTTTGGGAGGCCGAGGCGGGTGGATCATTGAGGTCAGGAGTTTGAGACCAGCCTTGGCCAACATGGCAGAGCCTCATCTCTACTAAAATATAAAAATTAGCCAGGCATGGTGGCGGGTGCCTGTAAATCCCAGCTACTCAGGAGGCCAAGGCAGGAGAATTGCTTGAACCTAGTAGGCAGAAATCGCAGTGAACCAGGATCACGCCACTACACTCCAGCCTGGGCAACGTAGCAAGACTCCATCTCAACAAAAAAAAAAAAAGAAAGAAATCCAGATTTGTAAATATAATTTAAGTAATCATTTGTACTCATACAAATTACATTTTCATCCAATGATTCATTTTTGAAAAACTGGGATTGATAATTTGAGAAATATGACTGTGGTCACAAGGGTAAGGGAGGTATTTCAAAAAGAAGGCAGGCTGGCCTAGAGAGCTAGGTTAAGGAGTCAAATGATGACTCTCAGCTCCTTATGTGATATAATCTCCCTTCTCTGGGCTTCACTTCAAAAAGATTTAATAATCATCATGCCTTACTTATGAAATGAATCTTCATGTTTTAGACTCAAAATGTATTACAAAATATCAATTTTTAAACCTTGAAATCTTAACGATAATCAGATTATCATAAATTGAAAGATATACTGAAAACGGGTAAGCAACTTTACACAAAAAGGGCCACATGGTTCTGTCAAACTACCCAACTCAGCCACCTTAGCAGGAAAGCAACCAAATATAATACATAAATGAATCAATGTGCCAATGTCCAGGAAAACTTAATTGACCCATAAACAGGCAGTGGGTCAGAGGCCACTGTTGCCTATCAGTACTTTAAGTAGTAGGAAACCATCAAAGGTTTGTAACAAATAAGCATGACTTGCTTTCAATACAACTTTATGTACGGATACTATAATTTGAATTTCATAAAATTTTCACATGTCACAAAAACCTCATTTATTTCCTGTTCTTTTTCTCAATCATTCATATCTGGTGAGCTGTACAAAAGCAGGCAGCAGCAGGATTTGGTATGTGGGCCATAGTTTGCTGATTCCTAATTCAAATAGTGCAATATGCTAGAAAATTGAGAGAGAAGGCAAAAATCAAATTACAACTCATTTCGCTTTAGTTCTGGCACCTGAGACTTAGAAGGATGGATACAATAGCAGTGTAACCTAGGAGATTAACTGAAATGGTATTTATAAATAAGCACAATCTAGCACTCAGCAGTAGTAAATGTTAACTTGTTACATTTACTTACCACAAGGCAAACTGGTAACAGAAAAAGAAAATTGAAAACTTCTTTTGATGATGTTGGGATTACATATATTAAGAAAAATGTAAGCTGACAATATATACAACTAACATTTTTTGAACACTTACCTTGGGCAGGGTAAAATGCTTGTCATGAAAGAATCCTATGAAGGATATACTATGACTATCACCAATTTGCAGATAAGACAAGGAGGCCCAGATAGGTAAATAACTTGCTGGAGGTCACACAGGTAAGAGGGGGTAGAGCCTAACAGAAACAATTTTGCTTCAGATTCTCTCAAGTGAAACGATGATCATTAAAAATTTGAGAAAGGAAAAAAAACCCTGTTAAATTACAGTCTCGGAAGCAAAAGCTATTTTAGTGTAATGGGAAAACACATTTTACTTGCCATGCGTATCTGAAATAAACAGTTTTTTGTTTTTTTTTTTAGACAGAGTCTCGCTCTGTCGACCAGGCTGCCGGGCAGTGGCGTGATCTCGGCTCACTGCAACCTCAGCCTCCCGAGTTCAAGCGATTCTCCTGCCTCATAGCCTCCCAAGTAGCTGAGATTACAGGAGTGCGCCACCACGCCTGGCCAATTTTTGTATTTTCAGTAGCGACGGGGTTTCACTATGTTGGCCAGGCTGGTCTCAAACTCCTGACCTCCAGTGGTCAATCCACCTTGGCCTCTCAAAGTGCTGGGATTATATCACATACGGCCAGAAACAAACAGATGTTTAAATCTAGAGCAAATGTTACATCTTTAGTTTGAATATACTAGTAGAGTGGGAAAATTCTCCTGTTTAATGAAAACAGCGTTGCGACCCAGTAGTGAGGACGCCTGGGCTCCAGAGTCACACACAGCGCCTTGGCCTGGGTAGAGACCCTGCCCCACACTAGCAGGGAGACTCTGGGGGACTTCACTAACCTTGGGCCTCATTCATCAGAATGGGTAACATAAGGAGAATAAGACAGGCAAATAAAGCCACATCGGAGGATACGGAGAATAAAGCAGAAACCAATTACAAAATTAACCAAGTAATCTGTTAGACAACGGGTGCATAAAGAGAAAATCTGACAAAGTACACCAATTTAGGGTTATGTTCTAAAAATGCATAAAGACACAAAAAGGCCTTGACATCTTAGAAAACAGGAAGAGTAAAAGAGCAAACAGAAACTTCGCCTAACAGTAACAAGTGAAAAGCACATGGTCAACCCCCACCCACCGCATTTACAAACAACACGAAAATTTCTACAAACCAGTTTCTACGGTTTCACTCAGTTCCCGATCTTAAATCCCCAAACCAAAGCCTAAGCGCGCTCTGTGTAAAAGCTGAGGGGTCTTTACGCACCGACACCAGGCTGCCACCTGGCTCCTGCTCACCCGCTCGCCGGAAGTGGGCCCACTGGGACCGGCGCGGGACCAGCGCGGGACCAGCTCGGCACCGCCCCTCACCGCCCCGCCCCGCCGCGGCTTCCCTGCCCCATTGGTCCGCGCGGCCCTGGGTCTCCGCGGCGACAATCTAGTGATTCCCTCCCGCCCTGGGCGCGGCCTGACTGCTCCCCAGCCAAGACACCCAAGCCCTAGCACGTTCATAATGTGACAGTGGTATGGGGTGCCACGCAGTGTTTCCAGGAGCTCCGAGGGGGAGCGCCAAAATGCTAAACCCATTCTTAGCCAATTGTGCACCGCTCACGAGTCAGAGCTGACCAGCTACCGCGGAAAAATCTCGTGACACGCCTGACTCCTGATGAGAGTAAAATAAACCAGGCTTTGAATGCCGGTCACTTAGGACATCCAGCCTAAAATGAGGCTGGTTATACGACGCACTGGGGGAGACACAGGGCTACAGCGAGTTCTTCCTTCGCATCCCAGCGGGGGCGGGGGCTGAAAAATTTTCTCCCGGATGCATATCCCTGTCGAAACTGAACTTGGCGCCACCTGCGAGCGCCTGGAAGCCCTATGTTAAACACTGGGTTGCCCTTCTTGCTCCTCTTCCTCCTGGCCTTTAATCTCAGGCGCTTAGCAAGCCTCTTAAGGCTTCCAAACACTGCTGGGTACTGACAACTTAGGCGGACACAGTCGCCTCAAGAGAGACGGCTCCTGTAATGGCGCCTGCGTCAGACACTAACATGGCGGACATAGTCGTGCGCGGCGCAAACGTCAGCACCTCTACCCCAGCCGCTCAGAAACAGCGGAGGAGAGCAGGGCCGTGCTCACTGATTGGTCCCTCGGTGGAGCGGGCCGGACCGGGCGTTCCCTTTGGAGCCAATCAGAAAGGCGAGAGACCGAATTGGCCGCTGCGCCTCCTCCCGAGGCATGCTGGGAGCCTGGAGGACTAGCGAGGAGGAGTTGAGAGAACGGAGCGGACGCCATGGCGACCAACATCGAGCAGATTTTTAGGTCTTTCGTGGTCAGCAAATTCCGGGAAATTCAACAGGAGCTTTCCAGGTAAACGCCTCCCAGATTCTTCTGCTCCCAGCGGACCGTTAGGGCCTCACCTAGCCTTCTTTGGCATCTTTCTTCGGAGACGCCGTCGTTCCTCGGCTCAGGCCCCGCCTGGGCCTGGGATCCATTTTCCGGGCCCCCCCCAACCGCCCCCCCAGCCGCTCCCTTCCTTTCCCCTCGAGGAACTTCGCCTTTTCCGAGGTAACCCCAGACTCCCTGTTTTAGAACCGAGTTAAGATGCTCACCCTTCTCCCCTGTTTGGTTCCCCCCTGCCGTTTAGCTACTCGTAGGCCCGGTTGTCCGCCAGGGACGGGCCTAGTTCCTTCCTCAGCTCCTCCTCCGCCGCCGCGTATCCCCTCCCCCTCTCCGCCTCCGCGGATTTTGCCGGCCGGTGCCTCTGACCGGAAAGGGTCTCTAACGGCCGTTTCTTGAGTAATCTTAAATCCTCTTTATTATTGCGAGCTTCAGAGCGCTTGGGGGTCTGGATCTATTAATAAGATTATTCGGAGCCTAGTGTCCTGTAGGGTCTATCAGCCGTTCTAATAGTTAAATGTTTCAATTAAAACTAACTCAAACTAATATTTGCTACTTTGTTAAAATACTCGAGATGACGATGGAAGGGGACTTTGAAATGGTAGTGATTAATTACAGCAAGTGAAAGTGGACTTTGTGTGTAGGTCTGTTATTTTCTTGCTACCCCTGCCCCAGTTGACACGCTATTTTTGTCGTTGCTGGTAGACTTTACATAATTTGCGCTTGGCTTCACAAAATTTGAAGGCGAAGAGGTTGTTAAAGAAATGGTTGTTTAGTCAGGAAAATAGTGTATCATGTTCAGCGGTTGTCTTTCGGTATTAGCTTTGTATAAGATACTCAGTTCTTTAAAGTACAGAGGTAGGAAAGAGATCTTGAAACGTAAATGTTCCGAGTTCGAATGTTTTTAATTGTATTTTAAAAGTTGAGTGCAAGAGCAGTACGTGAATTTGAAAATGGGCCGAAAACCAGTTGTAAGTGCCCAAAGTAATACAGGATTATTAGGGCTATGATGTATTATTGCTAGAATCATCACTTTTGCAGAATGTTTTGTTTTTTAAGTGGAAATAGATCCACTCACATTGCTTTGTAAATATCTGTGATATTGCTAGTAGTGTTTTAGGATGAGAAGAGACCTGAGCTTAGAGAATATAATTTTCCTGACAAATCTTGCTGGATGCTTTAAGTAGTTGTTTGCTTAGTTTAACAAGCTGTGTTTTTGTAGCTTTTAAAAGCTAGTCTTTCCTTTAGAAAATGAGTATTTTATTATAGAGAATTTAGAAGAAATGAAAAAGAAAAGAAAAAACTCACATTATTGATATTCTTATGTCATTTTTCCCCCCCATGTATTGTGTGATATGTGATCATCTTGTATTGATCATTTTTCCAGCTAATACGTTGTTAACAAGTTTGTCCCTCCCATTCTGTCTTTTGGACTTCTTCATGGCTGCATAGAATCCCGTTGTAGGAATATATTGTTGCATATTTAGGTGGTTTGAAATTTTCATTGCTTTTCAGTAAATGCAGTTAACAGTTGGTAGCTGTAAGATGAAATCATTACTTCCTTGTAGATTAACTTTTAAAACCATAATTACTTTTCTGATTTTCAGATTTGTCATAATTATGTATAAGTGCTTAGGAAAATTGTAAAATAAAGTGCTACAGAAAAAAATATCTAAAAATAATAGTAGACGAAGCACTTTATTACTAGAGGAATATGCAGTTTCTCTTCAAGCAACACACAATGCATTATCAGTCTGCAAACAAGTTTTTGATTATTTGCCATTTCAGTGAGCTATTTTTTTTCTCATCTGCTTTTATGTAAATTAGAGTATTGAGGCTGACAGATAGTTAAAACAAGTTATCGAACTTCTGTTATAGATGGTGTGTAAGAATATGGCCTCTGGTTTGAGTACCAGCTTCACCTCTTAGTAGCTGTGTGACCTTCAGCTAAGTTTCTTCATTTATAAAAGAATAATAGTGGTGATCTTAGAGTTGTGTTAGGATTAAATGAGTTAATGTAGAACAGTATGACACTAGTTAGTAGTCAATAAATGTTAATTAATATAATTATACAATTCATTGTATTAGAAAATCAGATGTTCCTTGATAACATTTAGGTAACTCCTGAATTTTTTTTGGTTTTTCATCATTCAGACTTTTATCAGGTAGTGAAGCATAATTGTTTTATGTGTTTTCATTTAGCTAAAATTGAAGTTAAAATCAAACTATTGCTGAAATTATTTGATTTTTCAAAATTTTGCAAAGTCACACGAAAATAGTAGAAATTACTGGGCGAATGACATGTTCTTACCTATTTAAAGATTTCTCTGGCCCTGTGAATGGAAAATGTGTTAAACCATCTATGCTTTTACTGTTGGTATAAATGCCACTTGTTTTATGTGAGTTTTTTAAACCACGGTTCTTGATAATTGTGTAAAAATTACATAAATTATTTTCCTTTTTAAGTTTAGTGGCATTTCAATAACAATGTAAGCCTGGACAGAGGTTACAGGTTACCCTTTTTATTCAGTGTGCCTGTGGCTAGCTTTTGTGTTCCTTGATACTATTGATGGTGATTGTGATTTATGCACAGGTGTGGCTTTAATGTAGCCATGGTTTCTACCATAATATTAGGCCTTTTGATTTATGACTGGGTTCTTATTAATTTTTCTCCCCTGAGAGAAATATATGGGCAACCCAAAAGCCTAAAGTTAGATTTCTGAATTTATTTTGTTTAAATAAGAGTGTACTTAGAAACCTGTTTTAAAGAGTTTTTCTTAATTTTCATAGTTCTGAAAACTTTAATTGTATAAAGTGAAATGTCCTAAATATAAGTAGATCCTGTTAAGGATGCATTATTAGTGGTGAATATCTAAAATAGGAAAAAGGTAAAATGTCTGACCGTCAGTACAACATATGATTATTGTAATTAATCGGATTACTCTTTTTATTAATGGTATGACAAAATATTAATGAATTTCGATAACTTTTCATGTCAAGTGGAAGGAATGAAGGCCAGCTGAATGGTGAAACAAATACACCCATTGAAGGAAACCAGGCGGGTGATGCAGCTGCCTCTGCCAGGAGTCTACCAAATGAAGAAATAGTGCAGAAGATAGAGGAAGTACTTTCTGGGGTCTTAGATACAGAACTACGATATAAGCCAGGTAAGTTGGAGATAATTAACTGTCTCAAAAATTTTCTTTTAAGATTTTTTTGAAATTTGAAGGTTAATACTAGTGTTTGACCTTAGTATTTACGATATTTATTAAATTAAAAACTTCAGGCTGGGTGCAATGGCTCATTCCTGTAATCCCAGCACTTTGGGAGGCTGAGGTGGGTGGATCACCTGAGGTCAGGAGTTCGAGACCAACCTGGCCAACATGGAGAAACCCCATCTCCACTAAAAATACAAAAATTAGCTGGGTGTGGTGGTGGGTGTCTGTAATCCCAGCTACTGGAAGCTGAGGCAGGAGAATCGCATGAACCCAGGAGGCGAAGGTTGCAGTGAGCTGAGATTTTTATTTTTATTTTTTGAAACTCCGTCTCAAAAAAAAAAAATTCAGTAAATTTAAGCTTTTTAAAAATTGATTTAATGAAGATTTGCTTGTTTAAATTCTCCATACTTCCACTGAAACACAAACATTGATGTACTTATTTGTTCTGCTGGTAGAATACAATTTTTATCTTTGACTTAGTTTCAGTTTATTTGATTCAGTTTCTTAGTATCAGGAATTTGAGCATGCATTTTTATTAAACAGTTGCGTAAAAACATCCATCACACTTAAACTGCAGTGGATGAAGAGGAGTCATTGCTTGAATATTTAGCGTTTTTGGAATTGATTAATCATTGTTTAGAAATGAAGGATTTAGCCACAAAAATAACAGTCATTACCTTGATTTAGTTCTGGAATCAAGTTTGTAATATGGTTTGTCCTTCTCTTTTTTGGGGGGAACTTTAGCTGTGCTAAAGTAAATAAAGTTCATGACTCTCACAGACTTTAGCTATCCTTAGATTCATGACTCTAACAACCTTGATTGAAGTATAACTTAGCTAACATTTTGTATTATGAAACAATAGAAAATGATTAGTTTTTCTTCGGCCTATGTCAAGTGTTGATTTGTTGATTTATTTTTTTCTGTAGTCTTAATGGCTCAGATTTCTGATGAGCTTTTTTTTGGGATCCCTAAGATTTATCTAATTTGATATTGGCATTAGAGTAAATAAATCTCATTTGGTTGTTAAAGTTGAATACTCCCATCTGTTTAGGGTATGTAAATTCAGACCTTCTTAAGTTATAAATTAAGGACTAAGAATTTCCTCTCTAAAATCAGTATTTTCTAAAATAGAAACATTTAAAAAGTTATTTATTAGTGGTTTTAGAATAGTATTGGGGGAAAATGTTATTTTTATTAGAATGTGACAACATAGGCATAATAAGGTAAAATTTGAGTTCTCTGAATATTTTATATTTGTTGTTCAGATATTTTCATACTCTGTAGAAGCAATCACTAACCTTTGCTGAAAGCTTATTCTGTGCCAGGCATTGTTTGATGTACTTCGCATGTTTTAACTCACTTTATCCTCTAACTCTAGAAGACACAACATGTGTGTCAGTAATTTGACCAAGACCATTAACCTCGTAGTGATGATTGAGGATTCAAAAGTGGCAGTCTGTTTCAGAGCCAGTGCCATATTGCTTCCTGTGTAAACAAGGGTTACTAATCGCAAAAATTATATTATGTGGGTATTTTTAATAGGAATCGTAGCAACTAATAACATGAAATATATTCCTTGACGAAAGTAGTTTAAAAGTAATTTTGCTATAATTTGAGAGCTGGAGGAAATAATTATTTTATAGAATTTCGTGAAACATACCTTAATGTAATTCAAATTAAGTTTTGGTGTTAAACTAATAATTTATTTTTAAACCAGGCATTAGTTGTGGAAAGAAGTATCAGAAAAGTAGCAGTCTCCAGGATGTTTTATGAAAAATAGTTTATTGGGTAACTTTTAATTTAACGTGAGGTGTTATACTATGAGTTTTTTTTTTTTGGACAGAGTCTTGCTCTGTTGCCCAGGCTGGAGTACAGTGGTGCAATCTCAGCTCACTGCAACCTCCACCTGCTAGGTTCAAGTGATTCTCCCGCCTCAGCCTCCCAGATAGCTGGGACTACAGGTGCATGTCACCATGCCTGGCTAATTTTTGTATTTTCAGTAGAGACAGGGTTTCACCATGCTGGCCAGGCTGGTTTTGAACTCCTGACCTCGTGATTCACCTGCCTCAGCCTCTCAAAGTGCTGACATTACAGGTGTGAGCCACTGCACCTGGCCTGTACTACGGTATTTTAACATGGAATGTAAATATGGGCTTATATAATTTAATCTAACTCTAGTTTGGGGAATGTCTGACAAAATTAATTTCTATTACTTTCAGACTTGAAAGAGGCCTCCAGAAAAAGTAGATGTGTATCTGTACAAACAGATCCTACTGATGAAATTCCCACTAAAAAGTCAAAGAAGCATAAAAAGCATAAAAACAAAAAGAAGAAAAAGAAGAAAGAAAAGGAAAAAAAATATAAAAGACAGCCAGAAGAATCTGAGTCAAAGACGAAATCTCATCATGATGGGAACATAGATTTAGAATCTGATTCCTTTTTAAAGTTTGATTCTGAACCTTCAGCTATGGCGCTGGAGCTTCCTATAAGAGCATTTGGTCTGTCTGAGACCAATGAATCCCCTGCAGTTGTGCTAGAACCTCCTGTAGTATCAGTGGAGGTACCAGAGCCACACATCTTAGAAACTCTGAAGCCAGCTACAAAAACTGCAGAACTGTCAGTTGCATCTACATCAGTAATCTCAGAGCAGTCAGAGCAGTCTGTGGCAGTAACGCCAGAACCATCCATGACAAAGATTCTGGATTCCTTTGCAGCAGCACCAGTGCCTACTACAACAGTGGTGTTGAAGTCATCTGAGCCAGTCGTAACAATGTCAGTGGAGTATCAGATGAAGTCTGTGCTGAAATCTGTGGAGAGCACATCTCCAGAGCCATCCAAGATCATGTTGGTAGAGCCCCCAGTAGCAAAAGTGTTAGAGCCTTCAGAAACCCTTGTGGTATCATCAGAGACACCTACTGAGGTGTACCCTGAGCCAAGCACATCAACAACAATGGATTTTCCAGAGTCATCTGCAATTGAAGCGCTAAGATTGCCAGAGCAGCCTGTAGACGTACCATCGGAGATTGCAGATTCATCCATGACAAGACCGCAGGAGTTGCCGGAGCTGCCTAAGACCACAGCGTTGGAGCTGCAGGAGTCGTCGGTGGCCTCAGCGATGGAGTTGCCGGGGCCACCTGCGACCTCCATGCCGGAGTTGCAGGGGCCCCCTGTGACTCCAGTGCCGGAGTTACCTGGGCCCTCTGCTACCCCGGTGCCAGAGTTGCCAGGGCCCCTTTCTACCCCAGTGCCTGAGTTGCCAGGGCCCCCTGCGACAGCAGTGCCTGAGTTGCCAGGGCCCTCTGTGACACCAGTGCCACAGTTGTCGCAGGAATTGCCAGGGCTTCCAGCACCATCCATGGGGTTGGAGCCACCACAGGAGGTACCAGAGCCACCTGTGATGGCACAGGAGTTGCCAGGGCTGCCTTTGGTGACAGCAGCAGTAGAGTTGCCAGAGCAGCCTGCGGTAACAGTAGCAATGGAGTTGACCGAACAACCTGTGACGACGACAGAGTTGGAGCAGCCTGTGGGGATGACAACGGTGGAACATCCTGGGCATCCTGAGGTGACAACGGCAACAGGGTTGCTGGGGCAGCCTGAGGCAACGATGGTGCTGGAGTTGCCAGGACAGCCAGTGGCAACAACAGCGCTGGAGTTGCCGGGGCAGCCTTCGGTGACTGGGGTGCCAGAGTTGCCAGGGCTGCCTTCGGCAACTAGGGCACTGGAGTTGTCGGGGCAGCCTGTGGCAACTGGGGCACTAGAGTTGCCTGGGCCGCTCATGGCAGCTGGGGCACTGGAGTTCTCGGGGCAGTCTGGGGCAGCTGGAGCACTGGAGCTTCTGGGGCAGCCTCTGGCAACAGGGGTGCTGGAGTTGCCAGGGCAGCCTGGGGCGCCAGAGTTGCCTGGGCAGCCTGTGGCAACTGTGGCGCTGGAGATCTCTGTTCAGTCTGTGGTGACAACATCGGAGCTGTCAACGATGACCGTGTCGCAGTCCCTGGAGGTGCCCTCGACGACAGCGCTGGAATCCTATAATACGGTAGCACAGGAGCTGCCTACTACATTAGTGGGGGAGACTTCTGTAACAGTAGGAGTGGATCCCTTGATGGCCCCAGAATCCCATATATTAGCTTCTAACACCATGGAGACCCATATATTAGCATCCAACACCATGGACTCCCAAATGCTAGCGTCCAACACCATGGACTCCCAGATGCTAGCATCCAACACCATGGACTCCCAGATGTTAGCGTCTAGCACCATGGACTCCCAGATGTTAGCAACTAGTACCATGGACTCCCAAATGTTAGCAACTAGCTCCATGGACTCCCAGATGTTAGCAACTAGCACTATGGACTCCCAGATGTTAGCAACCAGTTCCATGGACTCCCAGATGTTAGCAACCAGCTCCATGGACTCCCAGATGTTAGCAACCAGCTCCATGGACTCCCAGATGTTAGCAACCAGCTCCATGGACTCCCAGATGTTAGCAACCAGCACCATGGATTCTCAGATGTTAGCAACCAGCACCATGGACTCCCAGATGTTAGCAACTAGCTCAATGGATTCCCAGATGTTAGCATCTGGCACTATGGACTCTCAAATGTTAGCTTCTGGCACCATGGATGCTCAGATGTTAGCGTCTGGTACCATGGATGCCCAGATGTTAGCGTCTAGTACCCAAGATTCTGCTATGTTGGGTTCAAAATCTCCTGATCCCTATAGGTTAGCTCAGGATCCTTACAGGTTAGCTCAGGATCCCTATAGGTTG